TTCGATTTGTTTAACTCCTTGTTTTGAAAGTTTAGAAAAGCTTTTTTTCTTTCTATAAGAGCATTTTTTTTCTAGAATATTGTAAAACACTTTTTTCTAGCCTGTTATGCCTAAAAGAAAGTCATGAAAAATTGTCAATTTTTTGACCAAATCCATGGATTAACCCCCTTGGAAAAATCTCAATTTTTGGTCTTTTTAAACTCTCTTTTTTTATAGCCTTTACAAACATCTTTTTTCTAGAATATCGTCAAACACATTTTCCTGGCCTATTCCTAAATAAGTAAAAGATGGCAAAAGTTCAATTTTTTGACCAAATCCATGGACTAACCCCTTTGAACAAATTCGAATTTTTCAAGTTTTTGAACCCCTTGTTTTTATAGTCTAGAAAAGCATTTTTTATTTCTAGAATATCGTCAACCATATTTTCCTGGCCTAACATACTTAACCGAAAAAGGTGAAAATTTTCAATTCTTTGACCAAAAGCCATGGACTAACCCCTTTGGAAAAAAATGCCAAATTTTCGATTTCTTTGTTTTTTTTTGTTTTTATAGTCTAGAAGAGCTTGTTTTCTTTCTAGAATATTGTCAAACACATTTTCCTGGCCTATTATGCCTAAAAGAAAAAGATGACAATTTCAATTTTTTGACCAAATCCATTGACTAACCCCTTTGGAAAAATCCCAATTTTACGTCTTTTTAAACTCCTTTTTTTACAGTCTAGAACAACCTTTTTCCTTTCTAGAATAACGCCAAACACATTTTCCTGGCTTATTTTACGAAAGAGAAAAACATGGCAAATTTTGACCAAAACCAAGGACTAACCCATTTGAAAAAAATTCGAATTTTTTCAAGTTTTTGAACTCCTTGTTTTTATAGTGTAGAAAAGTGCATTTTTTATTTACACAATATCGTCAAACATATTTTCCTGGCCTAATATACTTAACAGAAAAAGCTGAAAAATTCTAATTTTTTTGACCAAAACCATGGACTAACCCCTTTAAAAAAATCCCAAATTTTCTCTTTCTTTATTTTTTTGTTTTTGTAGTCTAGAAAAGCTTGTTGTCTTTCTAGAATATCGTCAAATATAGTTTCCTGGCCTTTTATACCTAACAGAAAAAGTTGGAAAATTTTGACGTTTTTGACCACATACTGTGGACTAACCCCTTTGGGCAAATCCTAGATTTTCGATTTGTTCGACTCTTTGTTTTTATAGCCTAGAAAAGCTTGTTTTCTTTCTAGAATATCGTCAAACACATTTTCCTGGCCTATTTTGCCAAAGAGAAAAACGGAAATTTTTTAATATCTTGACCAAAACCGTGGACTAACCCCTTTGGAAAAATCCTTATTTTTCAACTTTTTGGACTCCTTGTTTTTATAGTCTAGAAATCTTTTTTTTGTAGAATATCAACAAACACATTTTCCTGGCCTACTTTTCCAAAAAAAAAAAATTTTTTTTCCAAAAACCATAGACTAATCTCTTTGAAAAAATCCCAATTTTTTCAGTAGTTTAACCCCTTGTTTTCTAGTTTAACATTTTTTTCTAGAAAAGCAGTTTTTTTTTCTAGAAAATTTTCCATATTTTTCTCTTTGGCACAATAGGCCAGCAAGATATGTTTGACGATATTCTAGAAAGAAAACAAGCTTTTCTATACTAGAAAAACAAAAATTTAAACAAATCGAAAAATTGTGATTTTTTCGAAGGGGTTAGTCCATGGTTTCTGTCAAAAAATAGAAAAATTACCATCTTTTTCTTTTTAGCCAAATAAGCCTGGAAAATGTGTTTGACGATATTCTAAAAAAAAAACGGTTTTCTAGACTATAAAAACAAGGAATTCATAAACATTTTTTTGAAGTTTTAGGCAAAATAGGCCAGGAAAATGTCTGTGACGATATTCTAGAAACAATAAAAGCTTTTGTAGACTATATATAAAAAAGAGTTAAAAAAGGCGAAAAATTGTCTATGGATTTGGTCAAAAAATTGAGAAATTTCCGTGTTTTTCCTTTAGGCATAATAGGCTAGGAAAATGTGTTTCACGATATTCTAGAAAGAAAACAAGCTTTTCTAGACTATAAGAACAACGAGTTCAAAAAGTCAAAAAAGTGGGATTTTTCCAAAGGGGTAAGTCCATGGTTTTGGTCAAAATATTGAAAACTTTCCAGCTTTTTCTTTTAAGCATAAGAGGTCAGCAAAATGTATTTCAAGATATTCTAAACGAAAAATGCTTTTCTCAAAACAAAAAAAAGCTTTTCTAAACTATAAAAACAATGCAAGGAGTTAAACAAATCGAAAAATTGGGATTTTTTTAAAGGGGCTACCCCATGCCTTTGTTCAAAAAATTAAAAAATTTTCCATCTTTTTCTTTTAAGCAAAATAGGCCAGGAAAATGTGTTTGACGATATTCTAGAAAGAAAAAAATCTTTGCTAGACTATAAAAAGAAGGAATTTATAAACTTGAAAAATGGGATTTTTTCAAAGGGGTTAGTCCATGGTTTTGGTCAAAAAATCGAAAATTTACCATCTTTTCCTTTTTAGTCAAATAGGCCAGGAAAACTGTGTTTGACGATATTCTAGGAAAACACCTGTTTTAGACTACAAAAAAGGAGTTTAAAAATTTGAAAAATTAGGAGTTTTTCAAAGGGTCTGGTAAAAAAATTGAAAATTTTTAATCATTTTTTTTTGGCAAAGATAGGATAGAAAAATGTGTTTGACGATTTTTTAGAAAGAAAACAAGCTTTTCTAGGCTTTAAAGAAAGGAAGTTTACAAAGACAAAAATTGGGATTTTTTTCAAAGGGGTTAGTCCATCGATTTGGTCAAATAATTTTCAAATTTTAGAAGTTTTACTTTTAAGCAAAACACGCAAAGGAAATGTGTTTGACGATATTCTAGAACAAAACAAAGCCTTTTTAGACTAAAAAACGAGGAGCTTAAAAATTAGAAAAAGGAATTTTTTTAGGGATTTTTTAAAGTGCTTAGTCCATGGTTTTGATTTAAAAAAAATTGAAAATTTTCCATCTTTTTGTTTTAGCCAAATAGGCCAGGAAAATGAGTTTGAAGATATTCTGGAAAGAACAAAAAAGTACCTTTTTTTCTTTCTACAAAAGCATTTTTTCTTTCCAGAATATCGTGACACACATTTTCGTGGCCTATTATATCTAAAACAAAAAGATAGAAAATTTTCAATTTTTTGGACCTAATCCATGAACTAACCCCTTTGGAAAAATCCCAATTTTTGAACTCCTTTTTTTTATAGTCTAGGAAAGCTTTTTTCCTTTCTAGAATATTGGCAAGCACATTTTCCTAGCTTAGTTTGCCAAATAGAGAAAGTGAGTAAATTTTCAATTTTTTCACCAAAACCAAAATAGACCACGGAAATGTGTTTGACGATATTCTAGAAAGAAAACAAGCTTTTCTAGACTATAAAAACAAGGAGTTCAAAAAGTCGAAAACTTCGGATTTTTCCAAATAAAAGGGGTTAATCCATTGTGTTGGTCAAAAAATTGAGAATTTTCCATGTTTTTTCTTTTTGGCAAAATAGGGCAGGAAATGTGTTTGACGATATTCTAGAAAGAAAAAAAGCTGTTCTAGACCATAAAAAACGAGTTTAAAAAGACGAAAAATTGCGATTCTTCCCTTGGAATAAGTCCATGGATTTGGTCAAAAAATTGTATATTTTCCATGTTTTTCTTTTAGGCATAATAGGCCAGGATAATGTGTTTTATGATATTCTAGAAAGAAAACAAGCTTTACTAAACTATAAAACAAGGAGTTAAACAAATCAAAAAATTGGGATTTTTTCAAAGGGTTTAGTCCGTGGTTTTGGTCAAAAAATGGAAAATTTTCCATCTTTTTCTTTACTTTTACGATACTCAAGAAAGAAAAAAAGCTTTTCTAAACTATAAAAACAAGGAGTTTAACAAATCGAAAAATCGGGATTTTTTCAAAGGGCTAGTCCATGGTTTTGGTCAAAAAGTTGAAAATTTTCTATCTACTTCTTTTTGGCAAAACAGGCCAGGAAAAATGTGTTTGACGATACTGTAGAAAGAAAAAAGGCCGTTCTAGACTATTAAAACAAGGAGTTCAAAAAGTTGAAAAATTGGGATTTTTCCAAAGGGGTTTGGTCAAAAAATTAAAATTTTCCATCACTGATTTTATTGCCTCTGCGTCTTGACGCATAAAAATCCCTGAAGATGGAAAATAGTTCACAAAATGCGTCCCGTTTTACACAAAGTAGGAAAGATCGATTTGAAGAATTTTTGGTAAAAGGTCCTGTTCATGTGATTTTTGTGATGCATATTTATTTAAGTCTTTTTTTTGTGCTTTAAATATATAGGACTATATTTTAATTTCAGCAAACTGTGATAAAGAGTTTTTGCGTCTGTCTCCAGATTAACTGCCTGGATACATGTACATAAAGGCCCGAGCGTTTTCAATTTAGGACTTCTCGTTTTTTGAACTGGGTCTCATTAGTTATGGACAGGGACTCATGATTTTTCATAAGATGAGTCCCAGGACTCACCATAACTATTTGTAACAAAATCACTGCATGTTTGAAGTGGCCGCTTTAGTTAGGCGGCCGTCAGTGGAGGCTTGACAGTAAAAACGTCCGTAAAAACTCTCACAAAGTACCATTTATTTGCCAGCATTTTACAAAATGAAATGAAAAAATATTACTAATAATTTCATAATAATTTATTTTAATTACTGTTCTCAACTTTTGACTTGAAGCACAATGAACATTACCCTCGATGTGACTTATTTCCTTGTGACAATTGTTGTAAATTTATGTAAACGGCAGAAAAGAGAATGTATTAAGAGCAAATTTCCTGTCCTGATCCTTTTTTCAGATGTAGTGAACAGCTAACGATCAATCAGTCATCCCTTGCAGAACAAAACAAGGTTGCGTGGTTTTCTGTAGCATCTGGAAGCTGTCTTATCTTTATTCCTCTTCTTAGCAAAAGATTATCCGGTGAAGCTGTGACTTTGAATTGTTACAGCAGCCTTAGTTGGCAGGCCTTTTGAACAGAAGCACGTGTGGCTCTTTAAAGGCAAACAGATAGGGTACAATCCATTAAGATACTCTGGTCGGGATCTGTAATCCGAGATCACTTGGATCATACATGAAGCACATCAAATGAACCTGTGAATCCTTTCTCAGGGTGGATTTGTTGGTCCCTTATTATCTAAGTGATCTCAGATCACTGATCCTGATCTGGACGATCCCAAGCAGGGTTTTCAATAAGAGCAAGTAGCCCGGGGTGCAAAGAAAGTTGTGTCCAATAGCCCGAGGCTAGTAGATTTTGCAATCAGGCTAGTGAATTCTGTTCTTTTCAGGCAAGTGAAGTTTTTTTGGCAAATTCAAATTACAGAAAGGACTGTTATCAGGGCTGTGCTCTAGCAGAGCATGGTTGCCCCTGGCTGCTTTTAACTTTTGCCCTTGGGCAAGTAGAAAATCTCAGTTTTTTCATACAAATCATATGCTGGGCACCCTAGATTTTACAGGTTTCAGAGCACTGGGCTCCCTTCAATTTTCCTTAGAGCACAGGCTTGGTAATGAATGCTGCTCATCAAAAATTTTGTTGGGCTAAGACTCTTGGGCTAGTACATACTAGCAACAACTTGCCCGAATGGCAAGCCGTAAAACCGACTTTCTTTGCATCCCGAAGTAGCCACCAAAATTCACTGGTTATTTCACGTGAACTTGCCACCTACTTTTCTTTCAAAATTAGCCCAGCTTAAATAGAGTATTCATGCGCTGTCACTGAATAAAAAAGCCAAAATCTAATGATGTTTGTGTTCTGTTCAAACACGCTAATTTTTGTTCCAGAATGCTGGAAATACATTAATTTTAAGACAGTCAGATTTCAAAATTTTCCAAGAAACTTGTGCCTTTGTTGTGAGATTTTTCCTTCTCCGCCTACTCCAAAGCTTTTGCCGCCTACTTAAAATCTTACTGAAAACCCTGCCAAAGGAATCAACGCACCCATAAAAAAACTACAGAATGTGAAAACAATGATCCATGGCAAAAACCACCAGCAAAGTTGCATTCAGTTTGCAAAATACTGAAATACATATTGTACACTGGACATACCATGCTGAAGTATTGAGGTTCCATTTGAATGGTGACACTAAAGGTTCTTGTTTTCAAACTCAAAAGTTAGAATTACTATACACAACCTGTCTCCATAGGTAATAAAGAGATGTATGGAGAAAAAATCCACTGGGGACATTAAGCAAGGACGATGACGACAGCAGTGAAAAAGTTGGTAAAAAAATGAATTTGTGTTTTTTCAAACTTAGTTGTGTCTATTTGGACCCGCTCAATATATCAAATGCAGGCGACTTTTCCTGGAGTTGAATTCTTAAGGATTTTATTCAGGTACAAAAAGAGGAAGGAAAATTTGTCGTTGTTTGTCCACGTCATCCATAAAACGTCAAAATAGGAGATTTCACGTCGTTGTTGTTCAGTGGACGTCAAAGAAATGTATTAAAAAGCATGATGTACATGCAGAGCTGTTGTTTGGATGATTAAACCTATTGTTTTTTGAAGTTGACATTTTGGTCGTCGTCGTAGTTGCTTAAGCTCCCTACTAAGAGCCAGGACCAGGGGATTTCCCGCTGGCTACAATGGGCATGACCTCCAGCTTCTTTCAACAGAAAAAAGAAATAATAGAACCATAAGAACTCCCTAACTGTTAAAGCTAAGTCCTGCCTCAGACCTACAACAGTGAGCTTACACAACAGGCCCCCGTTGTTCAAACGTAAGATAGCACTATCCACTGGATAAAAATCTATCCCGTGGATAACACATTGGTTATTGGTTTTCCGGCCTAATATGGGATAGTGATTTATCCGGTGGATAGCGCTATCCAATGGAGCCAAGACAGCAGAAACAAGAAGACGGCAAAACACTCGTGTGACATATGTGCCGGGCTCAAAATAATTTCTGGAGAGTCTCCAGACACGATGACTAGCCAAATTCATTTTAGCTCTGTCAGGTATCACTTCTGGCTGGTCAAATTTGTAAGATAAATAACTCTTACAACAGGAGTGATGAACCAGAACTGGCATTAAATATTTTCAAAAAAGTTGTTGCTTAGAACTTTAAGCACTTTAAAGCACTCATTGTCAACAAAATAAATCATCGTACACATTAAATTTCTCTGGTGCCTCCAAATATAACGCTTTCTGTTGTGCACATCACAGTATGAGATTTTGATCCTAAAACTACGCCAGTAATCCATGTTGCTCCCTAAGGGAAGAAAATTTGTATTCTTCAAGAAAATTAACTAATACAAGTGAAAATATTTTTAACTTTGTGAATGGAAGTGCGTGAATCCCGATGTCTGTTTCAATGCGAGAATGGTTCTGAACAACGGTTCTTGTTGCATTTCACCCAGGATTTCAGATCAAAGTTCCGCAATACACAACGACTTGCTACATACTGATAACTGAGCGGCATGGAAATTTTAATTTGCGTCATTTTCAATACAATTGAATGTACTGGTCAATTTGACCAGTCAAATCCTCACTAAGTCTGGACATTGTCTGATGGTTAGCCGGCATTTTAAGCCCTGACGTGACAGGGCTATTACAATTTTGTTGAAAATTTTTCCCAAACACACTATTATTATTGTCACCCTTATTACACAAGATTTGCCATGTTCTTTCCTCTCCCATCCTTTTGCATAAGTTCACTATTTATAATAATATACCCAGCAACTTGAAATCTTTATAAAAGCCCTGCTAAGAGTAGTGTCCCTCGCAGCTGTTTTAGTTTTGGCATGCAACCTCTCATTTGTAATGTTTGTGGAGAGGAGCATTGCGTGACGACACTAAAATAACTGCGAGGGAGGCTACACTACATGTAAGTGACTACTTTACCCCTACCCACAATTTATTACACTGTAGGGTTGACATTATTCCTTACCTGGAGCATGGATTAAATAATGAATCCAGCCTGGAGACTGCTGCACTCCAAGGTTACGCCACTCACTTTCTGTCATCAGGTGGGTCCTAGGAACTAGCTCAGCCAACTCTTTGGGAAGGATCACATGCCTTAAAAAATGAACACAGATTTTAAACAGTGCTGTGCTCAGTTACTACAGTCGAACCTCTCTAATATAAACACCAAAGGGACAGAGCGAAGTGTTCATATTAGAGAGGTGTGCGTATAAAAGAGGTCATTATGATGATGTCACTTTTATGACTCCACTAACAGTTTTAAATTCACTGTACAAAGACACTGTCTTTCAGTAGCATACAACATTGTACATCTCAGCCACAGACAAATATTACTATTTAAAAACGAAACGAGCTACAGCGTAATGCTGCATGTAAAAAGTTGTAATGTAAAGCACAATTCTGAAAATGTCTTTCGCTATTTTGCAAGTGCACAGGTTTTGTACTCGTTTGAGCTCTTCAAGTTCCATGACTTTCCATGACTTTTTTCATGACCTTTTCAAGTTTTCTAAGACCTTAGGGTTAGTTGTCACCCAGCATGCAAAGAAAGTAGTGTCTGATAGCCCAGGGCTAGTGGATTTTGTTATCGGGCTAGTTAATTCTGTTTTTAACTTGCCCGACGGGCAAGTGATGTTTTTTTTGAGGAATTCGAATAACAGAAGAACTGTGAAATCAATTCTGTTTGTCAAAAAGCTTTTGGGGCTAGCTGAAATGACGTCTGGGCTAGTAACTGCTAGCTTCAGCTTGCCCTTCGGGCAAGCTGTAAAAGTGATTTTCTCTGCACCCTGTCACCATCAAAAATTTTCAAAATTTCCCTCGTTTTGGGGGCATTTTTTCACCATTAACTGTTCAACAGACACAAACTCTGGGGTCCACCAAAATGCGAGCCGTTTGCACTGTCTAATTACTCCTCTCTATCCTACATTGTCCTGGCTTTGTCATCTGCAGTAACTAAACTACCAAACAAAACTTTAATTTTCCATGACTTTCAAGGACTGACAATTAAAATCTATGACTTTCCAGGCCTGGAAAATAAAATTCTTAAATTCCATGACTTTCTAGGTTTTCCATGACCTGTACGAACCCTAAGTGCAGTAAACAGTGACTATAGAACAAAATGTAATAAAAAAAGATCTTCATGCTATCTGTAGTTATTGAAGCCTTCAAAAAGTCGGTTATGTTCCTCTGTATACCTTTCGCAAATCATTGTTTGGCATGCAGCGCCTGGGCTTTCATCCTACATAGCTCACCAGCCAGAATAGACAGGAGGATTCACCCTATGCAGATTCACCTGATCACCGCAGTGTCCGCAATAAAGAGGTTAAGTTTATATGAATTTACTCTCTGGGGCCGAAAAGGGTGCGTTCCTTTGGGATGATCTGGATCAGGATCAGCAATCTGAGATCACTTGGATCATGGTAGATCAAATGAACTGATGAATCCTTGTCCAGAGTGCATTCATAGGTTCATTCGATCTACCATGATCTGAGTGATTTCGGATCACTGATCCTGATCATCTCAAAGGAACGCATGCTTTAAGTGCCCGTTGTCCGCATTAGAGAGAATCTGTATTATAGGAGGGTTATAGGTTTTTTTTTTTTAAAGAAAATATATGAGACTTTTGTTTGGGACACTGGAAACTGTCCGCAATAGAGAGATGTCTGTATTAGAGAGGTGCCTGTACCAAGAGGTTCTACTGCATTTATAGAACTGAGACTTGATTTGAAATATAAACGTCAGCTAATTCCTCAGTTTTGTTTGACATTTTGTCATTAAAATGTCATTTTTATCTGACTTTTATGACAAAAGTCAGACAAACATTGAAAATTAGTCACTCTGATGTTATTAGTGGGATTTGCTATTATGCTTCCTGAGAACAAGAGCTTGTGAAGGTCGAATTTCTACGTTTTCTCACAAAAATCGAACCCCGCCAAGCTAAGGTTAACTGAACACAGTTTTTAACCCTCTCGCATTCACGTTTTTTTTGGCTAAAACTTTGCGCAGTGCAGTAAGCTCAAAATGCTTGTAAACGTAACATCAATCTAACAGATCCTATTAAACAGAACGAGACTTTACATCAAAGCAAGTGCCACATCGAGGAAAAGCACTTACCTATACTCGAATTTCTCATCTGAGTACTTCTCCGAATAACTAATTTGAGAAACAGGCATGTTTTCTCCCTAGCTTTCCGTAATCAGTGGCGGTGTATCTACAAGTACAGCCTCCAACCACACGCTGAAATGGCGGTCACCGTTGCTGTTTGTAATTGTAGCGAGGTTCCCAAGCTATGCAGAGAATTCAAGTGTTGATCGATTCGACTTTGGAGTATCTTTGTGAATTATTTCCTTATTTTGAAAACTTCCAAGTTGAACCGCTTTCCAAAAAAGCAAATTAAGAAAGTGCTTTTATGAAACAACTGCTGAATGTTCTCAATGTGGAAAGTACTCTTCCGTTAAATAGCTGTACTACTCGGCGATATCAATTGATAAATTCTCCTTTCTCACCCGTGGCGGGAAATTCGAGAGGGAAACGTCTTTGTTCTTGAAAGCGATATGAAATTGACCCGCAGCGTGACCTTGTTCATTTTTAACTCACCGCATAAACGCTCTAAATGAGCTTATATCTAACGGAAAAAGGTAAAAGAAGATATTGTTTGAAATGAAAATTATTTCAGTTGACGAGTCTCCACGCAAATTTAGCTTTTGTAGAATGAACAGAGAAAAGGCGAAAACTCGAAACAATCGGGGTTTTCCCCAAAAAGATGACTAATCACCTGACTGATTTTGGTCTTTTGATTCGTCAATAGATCTCCGCCGACTGCGGGCAACAACTCTCCACGTTGCATTTTCACAGCTTGCTTGATTTTCGTCGAAATTAAGGTAAGAAGCGTTGTATCTGAATTTCAAAGCCAGTCAAAGCCAGTCATACCAGTGTTGAGTGTAATTAACTGTAGATTTACGTCTTGTATGCTCATATCAAACTTAATAGTTCGCCTTGCATAAAAATTGTACCATGAACATAATCTTATGTAATCAAGGGCTTTTATCTAGTGGTTCAACTAAAACAGGCAAGACGCAATAAAAATAGTAGATAGGGGTCAGACTAAATCAGGGGAAACTTACAGAAAAGGGGTTTTACAACTATCGTTGGTGCCTTACAACATTAGGGTTCAAGATATTTAGGTATCTAGTATAGAATTACTTCACTCATGGAGCTAATTGTAAAATTGTAGCCTGGGGAGGGCTTCCGGGATAGACGTGGAGTTTTTTAGTTGGCCTCTCTATCCTGCACAGCAAGGTACATATAAGGTACGTTTGCCCTCTGTCCCAAACAGGTTTCTAAAATCTGGGTAAAATAGAGGTTGACTTGTCCTCCTTTTGAAGTCTTCCACCAATCGGAAAAAGTGCATAGCTTTCCTCGAACTACGGGGGTATGTGAGAGAACTGAGAATGTGAGTTAGATAAAATTGGGTGTCCTGTGCAAGTACTGAGGAAGATGGGAAAATGAGTTGAACAGCTGTTGATTAGCACAAAACAGGTCCTTCGGTTTGAATGGTCTTTCATGCATATTAGACTATGAGATAATTATTAAGATTATTATTTTTAAGATAATTATTTTATTTTGCTGTAGCTCAACAGCACTAGACACACTGCAAAAATAAGAATTTCTTTCCAGTAATTCACTGTTTAATAGCAAAAGACAGCTTACAACACCTCAACATCACCATTCCTTTTACTTGTCACTTCCTAGTAGAAGTCTAAACAGCAAGTCATTGAGCAGATAAAGGATGTCTGTCCTTTTTCAGGAGCAACATCAACTCATTTAAATGAAACTTCATTAATAACACTTCATAATAATACTACATGCATTATTACTGTGAAACTCACAAAATCGTTAACAACAGAAAATAATATTTCTGCAATGTTTTTGAGGCTTGAAAAAAGTCAAACAAATGGAAGAAAACTTAAAATGCAGCAAAGGTGATTCTTGTGATTGCATGGTTCCAACACAAACATCAGGTACCGTATTTCCTCGAATAATAGCCGGGGACGATTATTTCTTTTTTCGCACAAAAAGGGGCCAATTATTCAATGGAAGGCAATTATTTCAAATATTGCTAGCTCACAGGAAGTTGTGCCCTAAATATTTTATTTATTTTTCCATGTAATCAAAAAATAATCACATCAAATAATAATTATAAACTGAACATGGGCTTTTTAAGTGTTTCAAATGTAGTTCCTTTTTCAGACCTTGAATCATCACTGATCAGTTTGGCTGGATCACATTGCACTTCAACTTGACAGGAAGGGGATAAAAGGAAGAGAAAATGGCTAGAGGGGCGGGGGGAGTGATTATTTAAGGGAAGGCAATTAATTGAGGGACGGCTATTATTTGAGGAAATATGCTACTCATGATTTCTAGAGTTTGACAGTAATCACTCTTGTAGAAAACAAATTTGTGAATACAGTCGAACCTTCAGTAATGGCCACCTCTCTACATAACGGCCATTTTTTTTGGCAGACAGTCCTTACATTCACTCTTGTGAACAACCTTTCTACCACGGCCACCTCTCGATAATGGCCACTTTCTTCTGTCCCCCAGGTGGTCATTGTAAGGAGGTTCAACTGTATACTATTATTTTTTAAAAAGAAAATACTAATCTAAGTAACCCCAATAATGTTCCACTATGGCTTAGAAAAATTTTTGATGGCATAATTTTCCCCAATAGTAAAGGGCTACGAAGGTCATCAAGATGGTGACCAACTTGAAAAAAGTATTCATTGCTTAAGAAAATTGATGTAAAGCTAATGAGGCTGCTCAGATTTAAGTCTCTATCAATCAACAAAATCAATGCAGTAGAGTAAAACAAAAAATGAACCTAAGTTTATATTTCTGAGGGTACCTCACTAAAGCTAAATACCTAACTTAACCCTGGAAAAACAACTTAACCCTGGAAAAACACTAATCTTTGCAATACATGTAGCAAATGTTTATAAATACTAACTTGTTTGAAACAGTTATAAAATTAAATAAACAAAAATTATTATATAACAGTTAACAATTTATTATTTTTTTTCACGTATGCAGATTTTCTTGCTGTTTAGATGTTGGTGAGAATATTCACTTAATAATATAAAATCAATTTTAAGATATACAATACAGAAGTATGTTGCCAATTTTCTGCTTGTTTTTAATACTTTAATTAGAATCGGACTGTCAACTGAGGAATGAAAAGGCTTCAAGATGGTACACCCTTATACATGTACATAGTTCTCGTTCCTGATGCTAAGGAAACAAAACTCAAATGACTTCACTTGTAAAAGTGTTGTAAAATTGTTTATATTATGACAGCACTGTGCAGAATGAAAAATAGCATGCTAGAGTACTATCAGAAGGTTGCTAAATATTTTATATGCAATTTAACTTTTATTCTCTGACCAAACAATTTATAAACCACCAAGTGTTGTAGTTTATGTATCACATCCTGTAACTGATATACAAACATAAAAAAAGAATGCTCAAGTCATCTTACTAACATGTTCACCTTGTTCAAGACCAGATTTTTCAGTTTTTGCTCATAGCAGTAACCAAAAATATTGTCCTTTTGAAATCCCTGTGACACTTATTATATAATTAACTTTGTACCTGACCCCTCCCCAGTTGTCTTTGCATGACTAAGGTGAGACAACAAAGAGAGAGAGATGACTGGGGACAAGCTAAGTCAGGCCTTGTACATGTATATATGTCCTTGGGCAGATCCAGGGGTGGTTCGGGTGGTTCATTCAAACCCTCTAAACTGAAATACAACTTTTAAACATGAGCGGTTTCTGATGAAAACCTTTGGTGGACATACATCGCTGACAAATACTACATGTTTTCTTTTGGAAAATGACAGTGATGAAAAGAAAAAAAACATTAATTGACAGAGGGGAGTCCTATCCTGGTTTTAAATGCCAAGGGTGATTTTTAGAGAACATGGGAAATACAAATTTGTAACTGTTATTTCAGATTTATATTATTGGTCTCGATTATTGTAAATGTTTAAGAGTAGTTTAATTGTTTAAAACAGCTAAGAAAAGGGGTTCATTTCAAAGGCATACAGCGGTGACAACCAACAATAATAATAATAATATCCTTTAAAACACAGGATATATATCTGAGGACTTAAGTTTCAAAATATTTCCGGGGAAGCATGCCCCCAAACCCTCCTAGGATGGTATGCCTTTGGCAGAAATTTATCTGAACCCCCCTCCACTAATTCCTGGATCTGCCCCAGATGTCAAGGATAAAGAAAGAGTCCTGTCTACTCATCCAGGAAGAGTATTTTGTCTTGCTGAGCAAGTAAATGTTAAAGATCACTTGCCCAATGGTCAAGGCTCTAGGCAAGTCAGCCACCAACTAAGTCATTACTTAACCCTTTAAACCCTAAGATCAAAATTTGAATTCTCATTTGTTGCCCCTATTCATTTTCTACAGAAGTAATGTGGAGAAGTTGATAAAATATCAAGCAAATTCATCTTGTGTAGTCATGTTGGTAATTCTCATGACCACTCTGTTTTACAAAGCACTACTTCTATGACAACGAGAAATTTGATGCTGATCACACTTAAGGCTTAAAAGGTTAACTAAGACAAGCAAGAAGTTGCCACGGGTAAGCAAAACATGAGATGCTTGTCCAAAGTTAAGGATATGCTGGAAATATTCAAGCTTTTTTAGAGTTCTGTATGTAAATAGATGACTGTCGAATAGAACAATGAGATATTAACAAGACATTCTTTTCACTAAAACCCAAAACTAAAATTTCTACACTTAGTGGAGAACGAATGTTGGCCCTTTTTAAAGTACAGTTTGTAACTGGCATATCATTAATTTTATACTAAGGATAATATTCCTGCTTATACTTAATATTACATCTTTTTAACAACATAGAAAAATAACTTAATGTTTGCACAACATTTTTTACAAGCACAGTGGTATACTGGTAGTAATACATGTATGAACGTATAACTTACACACCGTATTATGACATTAACATGTGAATGCATAATAATTTACAACTTTAAGCAAAACAAATTTGTACATTAAGATATGCTTGAATTCTCTGACATTATTCAATGAACCACAGACAGTACTTCATATCCATTAGTCTTTCTTGCTGGCAAACATGATCAAGATATTAATCTTTGCCGTAAATCATTCTTACCTTAAATGTTAATATTAATTGAAATGCAAAATGTAAGTTTGTAAAAATTAAATTTAATGATAGCTGCCTTCAACAGTAATAACCTACATAATTAGAAACTGCAAATTTAATTAAGATCCTTTAAAATTTATCATAATTGACTAAAAACACTTTCAGCACTGCTGTTACCAAAGATCAAGGGTTCTTTTTAATTTATCTTGGATTCTATTTAACGTATTCTTTTACAGTCAAACCAGGTCAAGTATACCCCCACATTTCTGTCAGCTCATCAGCTTATTTTTTTGACTCATGTTTAAACATGTTTCACGACAAAGATTTTTCAATCTGACCAGATCCAGAGAGGTTGTACTCCAAAAATTCCTTGCCCAATATGCATACAGGACTGCAGGCTTGAACATCATTTAATACCTAAGTACAGTAGTAATGACCAAGAGATTCAATTATGATTATTAATACAATCCATAGCCTGCCAGTATGCTTGACCTGGCTTGACTGTAAATGCCACCGGAAGACTTACCATTGTTGATGGTAAGCCTGAAAATTTTATTTTACTGTACATTTTATTATTATGAAGTTATAACAAAATAATTTGCTTGCTGTTATGATCTTGCTGAGGGAACTGATTGAGATGACTGTGGTATCATGGGGTAGCCATTGGCTGTGCCATTATGCACTCCATTCATAGGTGAACTGACTGGCTGCAGAATCAGTAAAAAAAACGTTTTATTGAGCACACAAATACTGCTGATATAAGATGCACTAGTAATGTGGGAGGGCAAAACAATTCATCTCTGTGCATACTATGACAAATTAATCTGGATGTATGGTGGGGGTTTGACGGCACTAGTCACAGACTTAAATACAATGTGGCTAAATGTAACAACAACAACAACAATAATAATAACAACAACAACAATTATTTATTGACAGTTTTTCTACATGGTAGCTTTACATCTGTCATACTAACTAAAAAAATGTTACTCAAAAACTACTAAAAGCTATAAATAATTCTTAAAAAAAAACTGGATCCAAGTTAATCTACACAATGCACTTAAGAACTGTTAAAACTGTAAAATCTAAATGCTATAAATACAGTGAGTAACCATAACTAAGAAACAGTCTTATCAAGACAACTTATGAGGTTAAACTTAGGTGCACGTTGCCCCTTAACTCATTAAAATTGTAAAACAATTTATTTTAAAAGTATTAAAGTCTGGACTCTGTCGTACATTTGTGGGTAGGGCACCAAATAAAGTCGCTAACGAGTCCCAGAAAGAACCCTAAACTAAAGAAATTTTTATTACAGGCTCATTATAGCGCAGTGTATGTAGGGGATTGTGCCTAGGCAGCTGCAAGTATTCAGGCAAAGCTTCACCAAAAAGAGCGGATGAATTAAGGTTTCTGGGAAACTGCCCACCCACCCACCCCTCCCCTAAGCCAACAGTTTGCCCTAAGTGGGAAGCAAATTATTATGTTGACTTAGGGGAGGGGTGGGTGGTCAAGCTTAAGAATGGTGAGGTGACATTAAACATGACACAATGCTGGCCAGCAGTCTCCATCACTAATTAAGCGGCCACTTCACAGTACCCAGGGGACCGCTGCTTAATGAAGATTCAACTGTAATGGGGAAAAAACTGTGATTTAACAAATCCTACCTTGTTGCCATTTGCTATTCCATTTCCCAAAAACATAGATGTGATATCAGTGAAGTGACCTTCTTGTTGTGAGTAGTATGGCGGTGGTGCATTTGGGGGCGGCGGGGTGTAGTAGGCTGTGCCATTCTCTGCAGGTCTTGCGGCGGGAAGGTTCTCTTGGATGCCAATCTAAAAGGATTGAAGTAGTCCATTGGATTTGTAATGATTGTAATTTGTTTACCCGCAGAGCACTTACAAGTTCATAGGAACTCACTGAAATGTGTCCATGTGTTCCAGATTAAATTGGAATTTGGAAGTGTTGTTTTGTTTTAGGAGAGGGGGAAAGCAGAGTACCCGGAGAAAACCCTCTCAGAGCAAGGGAGAGAACCAACAAACAAACTCAACCCACATAGTTATCTTACGGCCTCAATGCCAGGATTTGAACCCAGGCACATTAGAGGCAAGTGCTTTCACCACTGCCCCACCCTTGCTCCCACATGTATTATACAAGGGTCTTCTAGTCCATTCTTTACAGTAGCCATTCATGCGCAACATATTCAGCACTACTTTATGAGAACATCTGAAGTTCAAGTTCAGTTTATTTGTACTCTTAACAAAATTTTGCACAAAGAACAATATGTTTGCTGTTAGAAATGAGTGAAGATGAGCAGTGGTTGCACTCATAAAAAAAAAAAAAGCTAATAAGGAAGACTAGAGAAAAATAGAAAAAACTTAAATTTAAAAAAATTAGAAAAGAACGCTCTTAAAAGCTGTAAATCTCACTTGCTTGCAATTGGAAATTAGATAAGAATGAGGAGGCGATTAATTCTACACGAAACAGTATTTCCTCGCTAAATGTTTTTCACTTCCTACTGTATTGACAGTTGTGTATTCTTCAGGTTATATTTATACCTAGATTTTTGAAAACTGGGTTAGCAAAAAATTAACTCATTCTACTACTTGGCAATTTAAAACAATAAAAAATCATTCAAAGGCTGCTTAAAAGCCTTTATCTGACACTGGGCAGTAAGTTTTTGGTCCCTATGGAAGCATTTCAACGAGTCCAAATTTAAAATGACACAAATTTTACAACATTTATTCAGTAATCTCACTCCGCGAAGTTTCAAACTGGTGTCATTTCAGTCTAGAAATTTTCAAGTAGCGTGAACTGCAGCCAATTAGCAAAACACCACTTTTTCCGCGGTCTGATAAAAAACAGGATTTTGCATGGAATAGACAACAAACTGAGCAAAACATAGTCCACAAATTATCACTTACTTATCTGCAAAAACCGGCCTATGGCTCAAAGACATTAGAACCCACTGAATTCAAACCTAGATCCAATTTTCCTGAGTCAAGAGTTGCTTTTGCAAGGTACAATCAGCTAAGCTAAACACCAACAAAACATTTTCATTGCTGGCACAGAATATTTTGGCAGAAAGGGAGAAATTACCCCCCAAAATAGGGAGGAATTGGCTTAAAAAAAGGGAGGAGGGAGATTTACCCTCCTGTACCCCTCCTCCCAACCCCTCAGTCTGAAATGGTTTTTGATGGATATAGGACTACTAGGGCTGATAAATTCTAATGAAAGTTTTTTTACCTGGTTGGTTCTCAAATGAAATGGAAAATTACTGTTTGCAGCAGAAGGTCTTGTTATAACCTAAAATGAAAAAAGTAATGTAAGAATTGCTTGTAGTGTTCTGGCAGTGTTAAAAGGTTATCAATTTTCTAACAGATAAAAAACGTCAATAGTGGGGGCAGCTAAACTGGTGCCTGAAAGAGATAGAGTAAAAATATATTTTTTTCTCCCTTGGTATTATTTTATTTTCCCCTTTTGGGTGTTATATGGCAATGAATGATAATGAAATTGAAACAATAGAAAACAAAACGTATAATTGACTGACAAAATATGCAAAGCACACCCAACACCAGACAAGGATGGCACTCTTGACCTTTGTCTAGAGAAATTTTAAAAAGCTTTTATTAGTATAATTGTGTATTTCAGCCACCTTAACTTACCAAGAAAGCAAAGTGTGCTAGGAACGAAATGGTCCAATCAATGCCATTGACAACTTGAGCTCTGAACAAAAAGTACATGTACATATTTCAATTGTAAATATGGTTACTTTGTTGAGCATAAAGTTATAAAACAAATCGTAAAATGAGAGTGGCTATCTTTAAAAGTAAGCTTTTACATAATTTTTTTTCTTATTTTAGATGAAGTCAAAATTAAAACTTGACTTGCAAATTCTCCACTATATAAACAACTTTGACAATAAATTATTTTACTGACAAAAGGTTATTTTCCCCTCATTATCATGATGGTTATATTGAGTATATGAAATTTCAACTCACCTTTCCCACTTTGGTATCTTAAATGTTGCTATTACAACAACAATTGGTCCAGCAAGAAACCTGAAAAGAGGTTTTTAGTTAAAAAAAAACTATACCATGCCAAGTTTAGAATTGACTTAGCTTAATTTGATAGTAAGAGTCAGAGGGATGCAACATTATGTGTAGTTGAACATAAAGAAACAATTTTAGATTAATTATTGAATGTGGTGAAAATATTAGCATTTTTGTTTCATGCATGCATATATACTATAATGAAAATTATTATTAATATTTACTATTGTACAAAAAACAAATACATTTGGATAGCTTACCATCCAGTGTAGAAAAACCAGAATGGATAGTAAAAGCCACACTTATTAGGAAAATGCTTCAGTGTGAAAAATGTTCCATAGCAGAACCATAGCCATGCCTGAAATAAAAAGTCAATTTAGATTGATCACAATACTGGCATTTTTATCAATGATAAATAATGTAATAAATGATTACTTTTAGTATAGAATGTAATAAATTAATACTTTTAGTATAGGAAAAATGTTGGAACCCTTACATGTTTTATCACTCACAACTCAACTGCACAAAAGGGCCCAAGTACCCCGCGAGCAGAGGCTACAATCATTTTCAGTGTGAGCTGTCATGCGAAAAGTAGCGTCTGCCGACAACCGTTCAATTTTCTGTCGTGCATGTGCGAAATTTGTCACGCGATTCACAAGCAAAATTAATCTTCAGGTCTGTCGTCTAATGGTGTGAGTTTCATGAGAGTAAAAAAAATTGACACAACTCTGATCTGCTACACAAGACTAACACAAGACTCACGCAACGCTCTAAACTGGTCAAGAACAGAAAAAAAAACATTTTTTTAACTTATTTGTCCAGATTTCTGGACAGATTTGAACAGTTGTTGGCAGAGGCTACTTTTCGCAAGCCAGCTCACACAGCGAAAATGTAGCCTCTGCTTGCAGAGTAGGGCCCAAGTGGATCCACCTTTCATTAACCATGTGACACCATTGTGTGGCATTGATTTAAGTATTATTTTCAAAGTCCTTTGCACTGCTGACATCTGCATAGTTGGCTAAATTAAATTACTGATGTGTATGTTTGCTTCTGGGTCCACATTGAAGCTGTTTTGGTGAGTTTTAAGTTACAAGTACTTTTGTAAACTTCAATTTGCAATGACTCTAATAGAGTCTAGAATGCCTCTGCTAAAAGGTGTCATCTAATAAAAGAAGAATTTCTTCCTTGTTAAATAATATAAGGCCCAGTTCAGACGTCATGCTTCTGCCGTGCCGAACTTAATTGTAATTTGGTTCAACTGTAGCACGGCAGGAAAACAACTTTGATTCAGACGTCGTGCCAGAGTCGAACCAAATTCAGGTATTACTGATGCCTCATAACAATATTATTCTTCTCCCAACTCTCCCTGGGAACGCAATCTCGCCAAAATACATTAATATAATTTATGAATTTTGTTTAGCGCGGCAGAAGCACGACATTTGAATCGCTGCTGTGCCAGAGCCGTGTAGAATGGCAGCGCTTGTCGAACTTAATTGCTTGCCGAACTTAATTCAAAAGTTTGATTCAGACGCCGTGCTTCTGCTGTGCTTTTGTCAAACTTAATTCCTGAATTTAGTTCGTCACGGCAGAAGCACAACATCTGAACTGGGCCTAATATTATTGATTCTTAACACTTTTGTATATAGTTGAGCTCATACAAATTATAATAATATTATTAAACTACACTATGAATCAACCAACATTATCAGGAGTTATAAAAATTGCAAATATATGACTAAAAATACTCACGATGACTCTCAGCACACAGATCCCAATTCCTGCTGCACTCTCATAGATATACAGAACTTGCCCAGGGTCAAAAACCTTTTAATTTGGGGGAAAATAGCAAAGAGTTCAGCAGAGAAAGAAAAGATGAATAGCAAAATTTCGGATGAGCAGAGAATGTAGGTGCTTATTTTTTCTAGCAATATATTATTACTGTGTATGTGCACAAGGGTGCTTTCTTCTTCTATGCGAACTTCAAAGCATTAGTGTTCAAAATTTTATGCAAGCCATGGCCACAGTGAAGTTCTTTATGTATTTGCCACAAATTCTCGACCATTTTTATTATTACTAGTAGAATTTGTGTTGTTCCTAAAATATCTCTAATGCATTACACTAACCCTTACCCCTCCCATGTGAAGATTTGCTCACCCCTCTACCCATAGAAAATACTAACCATTTTGTCTGTGAAAGACTAATGGTCCACAAAGGGTAAAGGAATTCCAACATTCTCTCCTGGGATTGTTAAGAGTCTGAATTATATTCTCTGTAGTGTATGGATCTATCTATCAATTTCAGGCGCACCTGCACTGAAATCACTCCCATTCCCATCTGTTGGCAATGACAGATGCAAGATCCTTCCTTGAAAGACTGGTGTCACTCTCTAGTAGGTCAATAAATGTTGTTGCTGGTCACCCCCTTGAACGTCTGCTATGTTTTGGTTCCCAAATGTTGGGAAACAGTCTCATTCTTGCTTCTCAACGGTGTATGGATAATATTTTCTAAATTCCCAAATTAGTCAGCGATAGTTAAAATATTAAGGAACCTTCTGTATGCAAGGTTGTGAACTAATGACAGTCAGTCATTGGACAATTGCTGCCAAAAATTTGCCTATGTCCAATGAGTGGCAACCAGGTCAAATCATCAATAACTTCACCACTTTAAACAGGGATATAAAATCAGTCTTGGGCGATTTTTAAACATAATTATTATAACTTCCTCACAAGCCTTATATAATTTTCTGTAATTGAGAATCAGGCATAATAAAAATGGTGGGAGAAAAGTTCAAGACAAATGATGACTGACTACATTTTTGTCCAACTTGCTCAAACAAAATGACAACTTATAGTTTGAAATCAGTCCTTACAAAAAAAAAAGATCATTAGCAGCCTTAATATAAATGCTACTTATTTCTCATCTATCATGTAAATTGTTAATCAATTTAAAATGATTATTATGAGGTGCTAGTGTAACAATAATTCTGCCCAACTTTTCATTTGAACTAACATTGATCACGTAATACTTACAGATGCTTCATAGAAGAAGAGAATGGCGAAACACACTGCGTACACTGTACCGAAGACACTTAGTTTGATTTGACCAGACGAACTGATACGTCCTCTGCAAAGTAAATCATCAGACCAATCACGGTAAGATTTTACCCTAATACATTGCGTGCTTAATTGTGGTGATTAACACTTATTGACATGATCAGTGTTGAGAAAGATGGCTGACACCCTTAAAATTTTTCAACCTCAGATTAAACTGATTTTGATCATGTTCAAAGAATCTATGAACTAAATGCAGCACTCAGATACTGAAGTATAAGAGATCCACTTGTTTTAACAACAACAACAATAAAAGTAATATATAATAATAACAATAATAATAATAATAATGCATATATTTCCTGTAAATGTGTTCATATGCACAAGATGGTTCAGCGAAATACATATTAAGTAACCAGTGAATAAATAAATACATAAAGCAAAATTAAAGTATTATTGCAATACAGTAAACTTCTGATTATAGAGGGCTTCTGATGTTTCGCGCGGTCACGGAGCCGCAAAATTCACAAAAACACGTAAAATACCGTGAAATTTGGAAGAAATCTTATCAAATACATGTCTGTACAGCAATTTTGAAACTTGTCTCAGCTACTGGGGGTATTTACTTGCCGTAAGCTCGCAAATTTATGAACAACGTTCCGAAACTACCAAGCCTCGGTGGTTCAAAGGCTGGATAGCGCTATCCATCAGATAAATCTCTATCCAGTGGATAGTGCAATAATCCCCAATACTTATCCCCTGGATAGTGATTTATCCAGTGGATAGCGCTATCCAACGTTTTAACAACTCAGGCCTGGTGTAGATTATGTGGCGAAAAACTGGGTACTAGAAATGATGTTAAAGGCTTTGCCATTGGTTCATTTCTAGTGTGTATTGTTGTTGAAAGAGCAAGTGATGTCCTCTGTTAGAAAAACATTTAAAACGCTGGTCTGATCAGCGCAAAACCGATCGCTTTCTTGCGAAATTTGCCCTGAAAATAACCACAAAATCTGCCGTTTGTTTACCGATTGCTTTCCGGCCAAGTTTACCCTGAAAATTCCCGCGAAATCGACCGATTTTTCCGCGATTTTGTCCCCCAAAATCCCGTGAAATATGACTTTTTTTTCCGCGAATTATCAGAAGCCCTGACTATAAGCCATAGGTTTATACAACTCTGTAAGGGTTTTTAGGAGGGTTTGTAATGGGGGGAGGGGGGGGGGTGGGGGGCTAATAACCAGACTAAAAAAAGGGTTTCAAAGCAAGGTACGTAGCAGTGCTTATCAAAAAAATATCTTCAAAATCCCCCGACATCTCACGTTTTTTTCCTGCTTTTTTCCCCCCCAAAACCCGTGAAAATTTATTTTTTTTTCGCGCAATTTTACAAGGGCCCTGACTAAACGACAGGGTTTAAAAAAGCTGTGGGGGGGTTTTTGGGGGGGTTGAAAAGGGGGGGGGGGGGGGGGGTTGGGGGCTAATAACCAGACTAAAAAAAGTGTTTCAAAGCAAGGTACGTAGCAGTGCTTATCAAAATACTTTTTGAATTTGATCACTTTGTTAAGCTTCAAAACACCCTAAAAAGTCGAATTCATTTCAATACAAGCTTGAGGGGGGCTTATAACTGCATGTATTTTTTTATTTAGAGGTAGATGGGCTTGAAAATGGGGGAGGGGGCTTATTGGCCAGTTCAACAAAGAAATGTTTTATATTTTTTGGTCAATAAACTAGATTATATTAAAATTCCTAATTCTTTGCCTTATTTTTCACCTTCATAAATATATCATTCATTGTACGTTGATTAATCAATATCATAAGAGTTAATAAACTTTATGGTTCAATCCTCCAAGATTTTACCAACCTTGTAACAGTCCACCCTTTTGCCATCAAAATTAACATGACAAGAAATACTACATGTGAAATGAAATGACTTCCACGACCTTAAAGGAAATTTATCAAGATATATATATTAAAACAAGCACTTTTGATGTGTTTTAAGTGTTAGTATCACAAGAATTTAATAATCTCAATTCATGCCCAAATGAGATTGTCAGTGATCAGAAACAGACCAAATACCCATAGTATACTTTTTAGTTTTGATTTGAATTCTTAAAACAAGGACAGGGTAGATTTATGGTTTGAGGCAAAAAAAGGAGAAAGAAAGGAAAAAACCGTAGGCAGGAAAGAAAAATAATGCAAGGCTTAAGTCCTCTCTGGGGAAGCAAATTGTGGAGCCAACTTTTGGACAGTTTTTTTTTTGCATTTTGTCGAGTAAAGGGAATGAAAGCAGCATGGCTGGTAACTTCAAATATATTGAAGAACCAGCCCCACAACAAACCATGAATTTTATAAACAAACCATAAAGCAAAAGACCATAAGTAACATGACAGCCTGCTCATAAATCCCTTGGGTAATAAATACCTTTTATCCATCCCATGCATTCAAACCTCAGTTACTACAAAGGGTCTAATAAGGGTAAAACAGACCTACCTGCAACTTTCCAGCCATATGTCTCTGTTCCACTTCTTCTAAACATGTCATAGTATATCATGTAGAAAATCAAGCTTATGACTGACAAAAGAAAAATTAATAGCAATAAATTAAATTTGATAATGAACCTAGATGGCAAATGTCTTAGTAGGGATGTGACAAAATTTACTCTGGCTGGAAGAATTACTATTTGCCGACAACATTTTACTTTTTCTCGACTTGTGACATTCAACCCACTGTCACTTTGAGTGTCAAAAGGCTTACAAAAATTAAATGTACTATATAATTACTGCATGAAAATGTGAAATGTAGCCAGGATAATCAAACCCAGAGGGTAAGAGTCTTTAATAACATAAAATGTGTGACTGCATTTATAGAGGTTTCATTGTAAATACACTAAGTTCTACTCACCTTCAAATGAAATTGAAGCCATAAATAACTTGTATGAAAAGTGAAAAAGTCTCCGCGCTGAAAGTAAATCTGCAACAGACAAATGCAGTGTAACAATAATGTTACTTACATGTAACATATGAACACTTTATAATAAAGCAATGAGGTACCATTGCACTTCTGTCACTTAACACAAAACAGTGACAAACTTGAGCCCTTTAATTCAATAAAATTTATACAGTAGTCAGCCGAAAACTTTCCAAAATGTGCAACCTCAATTCACCTTTCTAAAAATGAGAAGGAAACTTGGGCGGAGTCAGCTTTCGCAAAGACATCTAGGACTGTTTCTAAGGACGTGCTATTGACCAATTTGTTTTCCCTGTCCCCACTAACAGCCCCAGAAGGCTTTGCTTCCTTCTTGTTTCGAAAGTGGTGAATGGCTTGTGGACCTGAGCCCATATTACAGCCAATAATACTGCTTAGCAGATACCTCATTTTGACAGCTGTCAATTGACTATGATATAAAGTGGGTATGTCAAAGAATAAAAAAAGCAACATTCTCATTATGTCTTGGTGAAAGTGACATTTTGTTAAAAGGTTACAATAGGTGCTTACTTGCTACATAGACAGAAAGAAGCCACATTAACATAAATGCACCAAAGAAAACTGCATCCATAATAAGAATATCTGTTTAAAAAAAAAGAAAAGAAAAACAGTCATTAGAAAGATATTTCATTGATAAAAATAATGTTATAATATAGAGATAATCTGTATTCCCCATTGGCAACTTTTGTGGCATTAAGGCCAGTGGACCTAGGAAATCACTGATGCAGAAACAAAACAAGGCTAAGGATCCCATCTGGTTTAGGCGATTTACCAGTTGGTTGTTTACAAGCAGGGTCAGGGATTTGAATCCATTACAACCCAGGACAATCCAGCTTCTGCCTTACAGAGATGCCAATCTCTGGGGATCTAAAATCTGGAGACTCTCTATTTTGCACTACACCCTCCCACATCTCACCCCCTGAATCTCAACAGAAAGCATAGTTTTCTACTTTGTAACTTATAACTATTGGCAGTTTTAAATAGCATTTCATATATATTAAAAAAATATGGGTGAGCTAATAACCAATACATACATCTCTCATCAGCTGAGAAGTGTTTACCCCAGCCATCACCATTTGTCATTTCCAAAGTGTACTTCAGTGCTAATCCCTAAAATAACACAGTCAGTCAGTGAAAATAGCAAGTAACTAAAAATACGTGAATCACGCCTTACACATGTATGCATTAATCTCATGCTTATGGGCTGACAACATTAATCTCCTTCAAGGGCAACTTCTCATGTCTGACTCAAAAATCTGGACAAATTGTTCTTTAACAAATGATTAATAAGAAAAAATTAAATTCAATATTCCCGAAAATATTCCAAAATGGCACTTAACTTTATCCAATGAAATTGCTTTGAAAGTGCTCAAAGGTCGTTGGAACATCCTTGGACATTTTTGGCAATGTTCAAAAATAAAATAGTATTGTTGGAAATGTTCAAACAACAAGACAAAAACCTCACATATTTGACTCAGAAAACGTTGGCAGGTAACTAAAGTGGATCAAGGTGTCCTTCAAAGTTGATGGATCAGTACCACAACAAAAAAAATATTAAACATAGCTACATGTATCAGCAGTATAATCATCTATAAACATGGTGTCATTATGACGAAAATTAAAAACATTATTATATAATACTGCTTGCTACTGACAAATCATGCATATTACAGTTCAAAATTAAATACAGGTTGCTTCTCAATTTCATTTAGTTTGTCTCCTAGCTCCTATCATTTGTGAATTAAGGTAAGGAGAGGCAAACGAAATTGAGAATCAACTTTGGTTAAAAAATGAAATCAAAATTTAGATTTTACCTGTGACATATATTTTGCCTTTAACCTTATTTATGGACAAAAACTAAAGTCCACAATTCTAACTTAACTAGTTATCACAGCCAGTAATATCTGAAGGGCCCAAGTGACTCTTGATATTTTGCGAAATTCCTTCTCAGGGCTGTCATAAAGTTTTGATGCAGCTAAGCAAATTGGGATTCACCCATAACAACTCACAGACATTTACAGGGTCACCGTTAGCCTTTCACGTACACTGACCACCTGAAACATCAAGTGGCCTCAGCTGTCACAGGTGTTACGGGTTACGGCCCGTAATAAAAGCTCTGCTTCTGCTCTTTTAAAACAACAATAATAATATTAAAATACGAGGTAATTTTTAGGGTTAATAATGTAGAAATTAATTTTATTTGAAGTCACTTGGGACCCTTTTTTCAGCTCCCTTCTGACTAGCCGACAACAGCCGTCTCTCCTTACTCCTTGCTGTGAGGGATATTTTGCCAGAGGGGATGTCTGCGCCTCAGCAACAAAAATTCCATACTGATGATGTAAAATCTCTCCGGAATCTGGTTAGGAGCTTTGTTTGTTCAATGTAGTACAGTTAACTTCCCATAACTCGAATCCTCGCTAACTCAAACCTCGCACTAACTCAAACCACTAATTCAAAATAATTTTTGTTTCCCTTCAGACAATTTCTGTATGATTTTACCCTCGATAACTTGAACCATGCTTTAACATTGTGACAAGTTAAGGAAAAACATTAAGTTTATTTCTGAAGCAACCGTGTCAATTTCCAGTTCTAATTCAGTGTCCATTCCTCTATATTAATCAAGCTTTGCCGCTTAATTCCTTTTTCAAAACATCAATCTATATCTCTTGCATCCCTTGAAGTAAAGTGTGCATGATACTTGCATCCCCTCTCCATCATTTTTTTTAGTTCCTTATTTGTGGTTATTTGCTTCAAACTCCCAACAACTCAAACTTTTTTCTATTTCCCTAGAAGGTTTGAGTGATTGGGAGTCAACTGTAGTTATATTGTTTTTGAAGCAATATTGCTTACGAACGACAGACAAAAGACAGAAGGTCACAAAAGTCAAACAAGAATGCGATGAATCTATACTGCAAAACAGTCAATAATCGTGGAATACAGTCAGCTGTTGCCTAGCAGACACCCAGTCATAATGGGCACCTTGATAAGACAGACAGCAGCTACATCCCGGGCAAAAACAAATTACAGACATTTAACTGAAATAAACTCCCGCTATTACGGACTCTGGCTAATGAGGATACTACTTCGACGTCCCTACAGTGTCTGCTATAGAAGGAGTTGACTGTACAGTATATGTAACAGGTCAAAAGTTGATTCTCTATCCCTTTCCATGTCCCTAGCCCTAATTATTCATGGATTAGGGCTAGGAGACAAAGGAAGTTGAGAATCAACCTACAGGTGTAGGTAAAAAAAATTTAACCTGGATATAACTTTGACCTGTAACATATACATGTATTGTTCTTTAGAAGAAGCATTTAAGTTTTACTGGAGCTCGTTCCCCGAAGAGCACAAAACTTAATCAACCAGGAGAAACATAAAAGTCATAAAATCAAACAAATTTACATCTGGAACCCCATGGCAACTGGATTTATTACAGGTGTATGCGAACATTCATTTATGTCATCAGTACAGAATTTCTGTTGCTGAGGCGCAGATATCCCTTCTGACAAAATGTTCCCAGCAGCAAGGGGCGATGAGAGATGTAGCTGTTCATGAAAATGCTAATCCACCAAAGCTCAAAATTTTTCAGGTTCTTTTTCATACCTTTGTGGTTTCACAGTTACTCACAGCTATATACCACCATCTCTCACGATCTGACTTAAAACGTCGATCGCCTAAGGAGCAAGTAAAAATATCAGTAAACCAGTCAATTACCGAATTTCAGCGCAAGCTGAAACCGCAGCCTGCCTCATTGGAAAAATGCCTCATTTAAGAAATTTGCAATATTAAGCAAGACAAGTTTAAGTCTACCCTGTGAGCAGAGCTTTCTTCCTAGCATGGCTTTTAGCTTTTATGAAGTCATCCACGTGGCTTGTCAGTCGCTTCGTTGTTTTTTTATGCTCCAGAGAGAAACTACACAATTGACAAGCCAAGCAAACAACTTTGTGAATGCCAGAAGCCATGCCAGAAAGAAACTTCTGTTCATAGGGTAGTTTAAGTCTGGTTTGTGGTAAAGGGGCTAGGGTCTTCACCTGTCAGTGATTAAATGGGATAAAAAAAACCTTACTGCTTAATTCCCTTTTCAGCTTGGGCTGAAACATGAACTTGGCCAAACAAACCAGTTTTGTTATGATTAACACAAAACTAGAAGGCAGCTAAGAAGTACACAAGATTTTACTCAGATGAAGGAGATAAAACTTAATCCAACATAAAACTTATTAACTACCCAGGTATTTTTAGCTGCTATTTAGTCTACCTATTCCCAGTTTTGTGCATATTAATTCATAAAATAATAATATTATAAATTCTAATCTGCTACCATCCCATGCAATGGGCTGCAAAATATAGAGCCATGCAATAGAAGACTAAAATGCAAGAAAAAGGCATGTCAGTTTTCAATAGTGTCATCTTTGGTTCCACTTTGGTGAACAACACCTGCCAACAAATCCTCCCCCCTCCCCTCCACCATCCAAGTTTAAACCCATGGCCACAGCTGCAATAAATTGAAATTTACTATGTAACTGCTATAAGCAGCCTTGCTTAATGTGGTAAATGTCAACAATCTTACGTACTAATTGTGCATAAAAAATTCATGATCTAATGAGAAATTATAAGGTTCTCTACTGTGAATTCGAGATGCACTTGCGAATTTGAGGGGTGATTGTCACTGCTAGGGTTTTGTCCCTGGTGCTTAGTTCACACCCTAGACCCCACAGGTTTATCAGATTTTAGAGAATACTTTGAGATGGGGTCTATGTTTTTTTTGCCCTTATCAAACTAGTCTGACCATGTACAGATGGCAAAGCAAAGCAAATACTTTCTCCTCACTTATTTTTAAAAGAACTTAACCTGAGTCCAGTCTTGTTCAACCTGGGAATTTAACACAGGCCTTAAACTACTTCACAATCAAGGACCCAACCAAAACTAACCATGTGGCGGTATTACCTAATCAAACTGTTAGCCAAATAGGGTGTTTAAAAGTGATGGTAAATCATCTAATAGACACCCAGGGCATCTATTATTTTAATTTTAGGAGCCCAAGTGGCGGCGTTGAATAGAAAGGAGACGTTTAAATGAGAGAGGCATTTAGCGTCATAGCTGTAACAAACTCCACAAAACTAATATGCTTTTGGCAAATATATCACCACGATTTATAAAAAGCAGAATATCCAGTCCATCAATAATTGATACATTCAGACACAGCTAAACCATTTTCAGATTCACATCCTTCTTTTAAATCTCAACTTTAATGTCAGAATCCTCACTATGAACTTGACATTGAACAAGATGCAAAGCACAAACTCTTGTAGATCAAGCAAAAAACTGAGTAAAGAATTAAATGCTTTTGCTCTATATTCCCATTTGTGGGGCATCTACTAGACTTGGGGGGTATTTAATAGAGAGAGAGTACGTCTAATACAAACTTAAAAACATAGGAAGGGCGTTTATTAGGCATTTATGATTTGAGAGAGCATGTCCATAAGATCATTTTGTGGCATATCCCAGACAGATAATTAATAATTAATTAGTATAGAGTAGAAACACCAATCTTCTTACCATCACAAACTAGGTATTTTTCTCCCAGCACTTCCTTCTCAATGCATCCTGACCATATGTAATTTGTTGTAAGATTGATAACTTGATTATTTCCTCTATACACCTTGTCTTCTCTATCGATGCATTTCTGTAGAAAATGAATTGAAAATAATAGATTAGGAAGCGTGATAATTATTTGAAAAGATCAAGAACCATTATGCTCGCCCATCAGGCAACTTGAGATGAAAACACACAATACTCTATAATAATTACGGAAAGGTTATTATTATACCCCTAGGGTATCATAAAGGAAGTTTGTTTCTCCTGGGGCAGTATAGGTAATTCAGATGTTAATGTTAACGGAGTAACCTTTATTTTTTCAAATACATAACATTAAACATGGCTGTATTAACCAAAGACAAGCATAAAACTTAGGGTGTGTTTCTCTAGGAGACACCAAGATCAAATTACTATTGATCTCAGATTCTTTAAGGCTGGTTTTCACTACTGATGGAGTCAGAGTTGGAGTTGTAATCAGACGGGTAGAACTTTACAATCTAGTGACAACATCGTTCTGACTCCACTTACGACTCCATCGCTTACGATCTAGTGAAAACTAGAGTCGCAAGCAGAGGCAGAAGAACTATTACCAATCACAAAGTATGAGAATGAGCAATTTGATTGGTCTATTCTTCCGCTTCTGCTTCTGACCAAGACAATCTTGTTTTCACTAGATCATAAGCAACAGAGTCATAAGCGGAATCGGAAGAAAATGGAACATTCTGATTTTTCCCACTCCAATTCTGTCGTGCTTATGACTCTGCTTATGACTCCGACTTCTGATTTTCACTGGGTCATAAGTGCTCTTACGACTCTGCTTACAACTCCGTCTCTAGTGAAAACCAGACTTAAGTTTCATTATGACAAAAGGAACAAATTTCTTTAGTTTGGCAGCAACAGTCCCTGTTGCAAACTGTCATAAACATGGCCGTCCTCATATTTTCAGCCAAAAAACTGTTTGACAGATGTATTGACTGAATCCAGTTTTGGAATTAATTCAAAACACCTCAAATCCTGTTTTTGATTTTGATTTTCCCAAAGAAATAACCCTACAGTTGTAAGTAAAGTATCAACTTAACAATCACAAAGGAAATAATTGTAGCTGCTACCGTTAAAGGACAGTTTATATCATGTACAATGTATTTACTATCAGCTGATTAAAAAGGGAGGCATTGCAGGAAAGTTAAAATGGCTTGACAGCAGTAGCACACACAGTACACTGCTACACTGGCAGCTTTCTTGACAACCAGCTACACATGTATGCAGTGTACAAAAACAAATATCATTTTATTTGTTTGTGGTTGGTGAATTGGACATGACACTTTTGTACACCATATATCCAACATTTGAGATTCCTACAGTTGCGGCTTCCAGTATCAAAATTTGTTTACTGTTCAACATGTACCACTTAGCCAGCTCACCACGATTTAAGTTTCGGTTTTGTTTCAAAATTAATATTATTATTATCATTTCCACATACTACATGCCCAGTCCTTAAAACTTACAGATTCTCTCAGGGGTTTACTTCAGATTTTCTAGTAACGCGGATGCTTAAAGAATTTTCGGGGTTTAATGTTTTCCATTGCGGGATAACATCTTGGGTGGTAGGAAACTTTGGTAAGTAATTTTTATGTGTTTTAACAGAAGTAGGAGAAGAAGAAGCAGATATTCAAAAGACTTGTGGCGGAGTCGGTGTATCATGGACACACTGTTCTGCTAATAAAGTAGAACCAAACTTGTTTTGCAGTTGTTTTGATAAGTTGATGCATTACATTACATCTGACTCTGCAAAACTGCCTAATTTATTATACTCTGCAAAGTCTCCCCGGTGTATCAAACAAGTACATTGTATTTAATTTATTTAGTTGATTTCTTATCTACCGTGTTGATGCCCAGGCTTAACTTGGTAGAAATTCCCTTAATGCTGTAGTGAATTCTTGAGGCTTAGGACTTCTACATGGGATTTTTTGGGAGTTAAGTTTTGGTCCAGGGATTTTTGGGGGTTTTGCTATTTGCCCCAATTCAATTGCCAGTGTTATCTCCATCACTTGAAATCTAGAGTACCCTCCTAGGCTGACTCAATGGGGTCCTCAATATTGTATGTCTATACTTAATAGGAGGGAGTCCTGCAACTATTGATACTTATCACAACAAGATACATTGTATATTGTTGGATGGCTACATATGAAAAATAATTCTTGTATTATATTTTTCCCTACTTTGCCATATAGCCAGCTTTTTTTAGTTAAGCATGGAAAATGGCAGGCATTCTACAATTGCATAAGGAAGAATCAATATATCACTTGCGTGGTTTGCACTGAACCATAACATCTATGTTCGTCACACTGGGCTGTAATCATGACATGGCTAAAATTCACTTCACTAGCTTTAACATAATTTAACAGTAAAACATGTGCTAGTGCCCATAAGATGATAACTATTTAAAACGACAGAGAAGTTAAAGACATAAGCGTATATTATCACAGTTTGGTTAGCTATGAAAATAAGGAAACTTCGTCAAGAGAGAACAGGAGTCATTTTGAAGTTTTAAGATTACGTTAATATGGTAGCATACATGTATGCACCTGTATTAAATCTAACCCTATGAATCTTCAACATTCAAGTAAGTTTCGACGCAATAATATAAAGCAAAGATCAAAGCTATGATCACTATTTTAACTTCCCTATCTTCTGAGACAGTTATGGTATTCTGCCACAAGTAGAAATGACAGCATTGATGTAACCTTTAACAGAGTGTGGGTTCAGAGAACATGCACAGTTCAATGAGCTTCAATTCAGAAACATGCAATCACAAAAAAAGGGCTTGGAAAAATAAACAGTGCTTTTTGAGAGCAAGATCTTACCATGCCGGGTTTAGGGTACACATTTGGCCACTGTGTGTCAAAATACAGAAAAATATTCTGCGTAGCGTATGCCTGAAAAACAAATAAACAACTTCAGTTTGAAGCAATGTTAATATCCGTTCTCCATGATTCGATCATGTGTTCTCGAACGTAATATAATTCACCTTTGTAGAGCTTCTCTGAAAACACAGTGTAGTTTCTTACATAGAGCCATTTATTTAGCTCTGTTAGTTATTGTAAAAAAATTTTATCGGGGATTCTCATTCAACCACAAGTGGACGTTGAGATAGCAGACAAGGAAAAGAGCGGATGTACCTATATTTGCGGTCAGAAGAAGACGAAAAAGCCTTACATCAACAAAATGACCAAACCTAACTTACCAAGGGATATTCAAAATGATATCTTAGACGTCCTATAGAATCCTTATAACAAAATCTACTTAAGAAACTCCAGTCCTGTCAAGAGGAAATAAACGGGGAAAAATCATTAGCACAAATAGTGGACTTAACTACATACGGCAGAAGCTCAAACTTCTTCACCACACAAATGAGTCTCTTACTTCTTTCGTGTTCAACGTTCCTTCTACGATTTTAGGACAAACGCCTCTAACGTAAAGTAACGTAATACAAAGCTGTAACAGATCAAACCGCATCCTCGTCGCCATATTTTGCGAGCACACAGTATGGAAATCGAGACGATTAGTAAATGCTATTGTTCGTATGATGTGCGCGCGTGAAAGTCGCTAGGTAACCTTTCAAAGACAAACAAACACAGCATCCGTTCGGATGAACTACTAAATTACAAAATTAAAGTAAAGTTGTTCAATTTTATGATCGATTTTTCCATTTGCTCCATCAATTTCTTCATATGGCTCAGAAACCTTAAAAAACCGTTATATTTGAAGAGTTGGGAATGAGAATACCTCATTAGATCAAATTAAACAAAATAAAAAATTTCACCTTTTTTTCCTGAAACAAGGGGAAATTATTATATTTTTTCATATTTTTCTGCTCTATTCTTTTTTCTTTTTAAGCTTATTTTCATCTTCACGATTTAAGGGAGATAAAAAAGTGGGTAGGTGGATGGTCTCTATTTTCAAGGTTTTCAGATTTCAAGGTCTTGTTGAAGTTTTAAAATGAAACTGTAAGAACTATAAATTACAAAATTAAAGTTTATCATAGGGAGAAAACTGATACATTTGTAAACAAAGTGATTGTTGTGTTCCTCCATATTTAATGAAGTTTATGCTTTAACCAAATTTTTTTCCAGATTTAACTCAAAGTCTACCAGAAGAAAGCCTCATAGTTCGGGCTGTAAATAAATGAAAAAAATAATAATAATGAAAAAATTGTTTTTGTTGTAATACTATAGTAGAGGACAGACCGTCTTTTTTCTAATAAACGTTTTCAGAAGCTGATAAATAACTAAAGACGAAATAAGCAAACAGAGTATGACTCGGCAAACTTTTTTGTTGAGATCTTTTTGGGAAAACTAATGTGTAAAATTATTAAAAATTCTCACAGTATAAAGGGCTAAATTACAGTGACGAGAAAAACTATTTGAAACTTATTTATACCTTCATTTTTTTCTTGAGCCAGAGGTTTTAGATCTGTTATTACAATCATGTTGGCTAGGGGAAATGATTTTTTGTGGTTACTGTTGAACTCCAGAAAAACTCAGATTAAAAGTTTTAAATCTTGTCCAGTAAAGAAAGCCTGGAAAGCTATAAAAGCTGATCCGTAAAGATGCTGTTTAAACTCGACCTTCAATTTATGTCTTAACTTTTCTTAATATATAAGTCAGCTAATTGTACTTTATAAATTGAGTCAAAGATCGAAGTACATGCCAGGGGCGTAGCATGAGATTTTGAACTTGTACTCACGGGAAGAAAAGTTAGACCACCAAAGGTACTTCAAACCATGGGGTTCCGGGAGCATGCTCCCGCAGATAATTATCATTCAAATCAGTTTAGGGGGTTCAGAAATGCCATTTTCCGCTTTTTTTCGGCAGGAAATTTTCACTAAATAAATACAAAGAAAAATGCAATAGTAAGTTGTTTAATTTACCTCTTAATTGTGATCGGTAGGCTGAGAGCGGTTAAGCAGTTACGCCAACAAGGAGATTACAGACGGGCAAAGACGCTAATATAATATGATGGGAAAGATTTGTCAATCATCCCGATTTAACGATAAAAAATGCTTTCAGAAAACAAAAATATGAATTTTTCAGATTTCAGTTGTAGGCACGGGCGTATGTCATAAAGCACGCTCAAAGTCACGTGTGTGTGCTTTAAAAAACACACCCCCACTACTTAGAGCGCGCGCAATTCATGTGACGACATTTAATAAAAGAACATTTGTCATGTTTTATTCGAGCTCCCAAAGGTTGGCCCCAAGCAGCACAACAGTGGTTGGAAATATTGTGGCTCCTTGGATTTCCTGTCTCTGTTTAGTGGGTAAACGAACTTGTTACATGGTGAAAAATGCTTCCAATTAATTCAATCTTGAAAGCAATGTCCAACTTACAAAAAAGAACGACTGGATCCTAATAAAGGATCTAATGCAGCTATATTTGGAAATATAGAAACAAAAAAAGCAAGGCTGATTTTACATGTCGGGAATAATATATTTCTTTTACCAATACCGTAAAATTCCGAAAATAAGCCCCTCCATGTATAAGCCCCCCAGGGGCTTGTACTTGGAAAATTGCCCTCAAATACAAAGTAAAACAACCCAAAAACGGTAAATTTACTTCGAAGTATAAGGCTAGCCCAATCGATTTGTAAACTCAAATTTCCCTCCGTAAATAAGCCCCTCCGAATATAAGTCCCTCCAAAAATAAGACCCTCAAAAAGGGCCTTTGAAAAATATAAGCCCCGGGGCTTCTTTTCGGAATTTTACGGTATTTCGGAAGGCGTAGCCTTCCTCCAGGCAGGGGCACCCAACGAGAATATAGTTCAAAACTACTTAAACATAGCATTGTTAAACGTATTTTAGTATTTAGACGGTAGATAAAGGCATATTTTTATCCCCTAAAAATTTTTCATCTGTTCGGATTTCCTAGCTGAAAGTCTAGTGATCCGAAAATTATAGGGATCAAAACTCGCCTTTTCGAAAATTTCAGCCAGAAAAAAGATCGAAAATCCTAGGAGAGGCAGGCAAGCAAGAAATTTTACAACAAATGTTCCGAAAATTCTAGATCTCAAATCGTCTTCCGAACAGATATTTTTCCGAAAGTTGTCGTTGGGTGCCCCTGCTCCAGGGTCTTACATACAATGATAAAGCTAACCCAGCTAAGACATTACAATTTAAAATAAATAATAGCGTGAAATATGATACTATAATAACACGTGAAAATTTAAATAAGAAGAAAGTGAACGTTAAAAGTCTATGAAAACAAAAACTGTTGAAGTAGTGATAGGAAAGAAATTCGAAATGTAAAAATAGTATCAGAAAGAAATGATAACAAACGGAAGAAATACGAATGTATTACATTTCATCTTTCATATTGATTTTTCAATGGTTCAAGAGTAATGCCCCTCTCGATAAGGTATACTTCTCTAGCTTTTCGTACACTGTCTCTATTAGATTTGATGATTTTAGTGGAACAAGTGTGATGTCGTTAGCAGAGTGATCATTAGTGAGAAAGTGTTCCGAGACTGTGGTGGGTTTGGCGATATTACTAAGATGGGTTGTCAACTAGTCTGCGGTGTTCGTTGAATCGGTCTTTGAGTCGTCGTTTCGGTTCACCGATGTACTGTTTAAAGCAGTGGTTGCATTGTATCACGTGTAAATGAGGTTTTTTGAGTTACAATCGATGTGATAAGTGATAGGTCTGGTTTCTGTGTATGAAGTTTGTCCGTCAGATATGTATTTACAAGTAAGACAGTTTTTTCCGCATGAGTATGAGCCCCAGGGCTGGTTGTGTTGTGTGAGATTTCAAAGTTTGGCCCTAACTAGAAAATCACTGAGGTTACTACTACGTCTATAAGCTACAATGGGTGCAGCTTTAAAGACGTTATAGCAACGTGGTGATGAAATAAGGATGTGAAAGTGTACATGTTTGCGAATAATGGGCGAGATGGAACGAAGGGCTGTGTTGTAGGTGATAACGAAGGGAACACGTTCTGTTTTGTCCAGTGTGGAAGTGTCATGGGGCATAAGTGCTTCTGTTCGTGTGATATTGTTAACTCGTTGTAAATAGCGGCTATAGCCACGTTTGTAAAGGTAATCGATAAGTTCATTGGTGCGGAGTGTGAAAGTCTCGTTGGCTGAACAAATGCGGCGGAGTCTAAACCAAGACTGAAAAGCTACTGAAAAAAATAGCACGTTTGGTACACAGGTATGTATGGGATGATATGACTAATGTATAATAAGTATTGGTGTTTGTCGGTAGGTTTGGTGTAAAGGTCAGTGAAGATTTTGTCATCATCTTGAAGTGAGACGTTGACATCGAGAAAGGGTATGGATGTGAAGGAAAAATCGCATGTGAATTTTACGGTGGGGTGAATATTATTAAGAAAGGAACTGAGAATGTGTTGAGGTCCTGTACTGATCGTGTCCATATCATGAAGATGTCGTCTATGTAACGCAACCATATGAAGGGGTTTACATGGGACTCCTAATGACAATTTTTATAGATCTTCTTTGGGTTCTTCCCTTCATCTCACCGAGACATTGTTGTGACCCCAAACGGACTCATGTCCGATTCTTTTTTCTTTTTTTTTGCCCAAAGTTCAGCATTGTTTAAGGGTGGGAGAGGGAAGGTCGCCATTTTTTCACTGGGAAGGTCCCTACACTTCTGACCTCCATAGTGGATATACGTTTGTCAGGATGATTCTTAGCAAGTATCTCCAGCGTTGTAATTTCAAATCGGAACACTCTTATCGCGGCACTCTAGTTGCGCGAAGTTTTGCACATTGTGGCGCGCGCAAACAGTTTCAAATTATTTTCGCATGACTGTAAATAAACTGAACTGCCCAATAAAGAGGCAAGTCACAGAGAACTCGTGATGCGTAGGATTAGGGCTTTCCACAAGTTGCTCGAGATTTTCCAAAAAGTTGCTCAAAAAGCAGTCAAAAGTTTTTGTATCCAAAGTTGCTCAAAAGTTGCTCGAAAAAACAAAAACGTTTTTTGGTCTGATGCTAAAAATATGCAATTTGTACACCAAAAGTCGCGAAGATCGTCGCGAAGATGTTATATAAATAAACAGATTGATTTTTGATAAAATTAAAGTTAACCTCCGTTTCTCTAATCAGACACTTGCGGATTGCAATGCCGCCGATACAAAATCCCGTTCCCGTAGACAGTGGCTTCAGATCTAAGTTCTTAGCTTCGGTTGACGAGCTACGAGGCGGGTGTCACAGGAGAACCGTAGCAGCTTTATTCACTCTGAAGGATCTGCAATTCTGATATTAAAATATCATTGTACTTATCCCCAAAATAATGTCTCCGTAATCAAATAGACTGAGAATTAAGTCATTGTGCCGCGCGACAAGGCAGGCTTTCTTCTCGAAAAATGCAAAGAATGCCTACTCTATAACTGCGATGATCTTCTTTCATATAATTCTTCACCCCGCAGTTCCTTTATATGATTTTTCATATCAGTATTGATTATTACAACTCTGATATATATGTAGCTAAGTAACGTTTCAGTGTTGATTAATGTTTACCAATTCCTCGTGCTGGCCCTGGTTTGGAAATTCTATAACGTAGACTCACCCAGTTCTCTGCATATGAGAATTCAGTAAAAAACCGCGACTAAGAACCTGTTAGGTATAAAGTTTGCCAGTTAGGGGCCTTTCATACAAGAACCTGTAAAGCCTAAAATTTGCCGGAAACAGGTTCTTATTTTCTGACATCTTAAAAAAACTCTGTGCACTTGGACAAATAAGATAAGTCAACATTCAGGATACTCTTTGGAGACACTGCAATTGTAATGGTATACAGGTTTCACCTAGTGAATGAACTAAAATCTACTAAATACAACGTACTTTTTTGTTCAGAAAATAAGAACTTATTTAAGAACCTTAATAGCCTAAATTTGTGCTTATTACCATTTATTTAAGAACCTACATTGAGGCTAACTTATTGCGAAAGTAATTCAGGTTCTTAGTCGAGGGTTTCAGTTAATCTATTTTCATCTCTGCAATTCGTACGCAAAGAAGATATGCTTAGAAAAAGAGGTTCTGATTGGCGGGGGGTATACCTCGATAACGCTTAATAGTTTAATTTTGTTCTCTAAGAAACTTAACCACTAAAAACTCCAAAAAGTATTAAAACGTTGTTGAAAAGTTTTCAACATTATTAAAATTTAAATACTAAAAACGATGCGCGTCAGAATAATCTGAAATGAAACTCGATACTTGCTATATAAGTTCCTTCAAACAACCGTCAAACTAAATTCCGTGTTGTGACCACTTTTACTGATACATTCAAAGTACTAAACCAAATTTTAGCACCTTTGTTCCATTCTCTTCGATCAGTAGTACACGGCCGAGCTTTTGGTTTTTTTCACAGCGGGAAGTTGGTTGAAGTGCGACTGCTCAGAAGACAATCGCAAGTACAGAGAAGGATTTGTAGTCAAATTTAAATAGTGTGAACTGACAACCTGGCATTTTTAACTTCAAAGTTTTAATAATATCATTTGAGTTTTCAGTACCCCTTGGTTTTCCTTGTCAAAATGTATTAATGTGATCTAAGAACTGATTTTAGAGGCTATTGTTGTTTTACTTTTGCAGTCGGTTTGAAATTCACAAAGACTCTATAATGACATACGCATTAGCCGTGCGAGCGATATTTGCTAAGGTTAGCATGAAAGCTTTGCCTCCTGGATGTAAAACTGAAGAAATATATTTGCCTCTAGTCAAAGCAGTCTTGCTTCCTGATAAAGATTCTCCCCTGTCACTACGGCACCAAAAACTCAGTGAAAAAAGAGAGATTTTAATTTATTTCCTTGAATTTATTGTCAATTTCAAAATTCTACTAGCTTTAACTGTTTTTATGACGCTCAAAAATTTTCGTTCACCTCGTGAAAAGAAACACGACCAACAGCTGCTTCTTCGTGCCTTGCTTCTCTGTGTTTTGTTAAAAGTTACATCAGTTCATATTTAAGGTTTCGTTTCCGGAAAAATGGTTGTCGTGAACACCAGAAATAAAATTAACATACTTCAAGGAATGAATCACGGATATTTTTATGTCTTAGTCATGTTTGTGGCGATTTACGTCTTCTTAAGGAAAATAAATGAAATATTGACTGTGCATGCACGTTTAGCATGGCATGGGTACTCTATAACTAGTCAAATATGCCCGTATTTTTTAGCCATTATTTTTCGACCTATTCCACGAAATCTGAAAATTTAACGTTCCCGTTATTTTACGAAAAACTACTCAGCCTCGGCCAAAAGCTGCAATTTTTAAAATTAAAATTTAACCTTAATTTATTCATATAGTTTCAGCTCAAGACAGCTGAAATTGACAGAGCAAAAACCTCGAATGAACTTGGGTCAAGGTAAACTGTTAATATATTCCGTTTCACTTTTGTGAGGCTGTTGATATCGTAACCGCATTCATTGTATCTCGCATAACTGGGGAAAAACAAAATTCTTTTCTAGTGGATTTTCTAAAGTCTAGCGTCGCACCAGTCCAGGTAAATTGCCCTTAAAGATTTGATGCGATTTATAAACAAACAATAGCCTAACGTAGTGTGCGATAGCTTTACAGGGATTTTCATTGTTGGTCGTTATAAACCATAACTCGACGGTTATATTCGAGAAAATACCGTTTGAGTGCAACGTTTTCTGTCTTCCCTTTTTAGCCTAGCTGAAATTTTTATCTCACCAGAATTTTTTGGAACAAAACATGCGTACATATAGAGAGAGTATATATAAATCTGTCTTGTTCAATTTGCGTGATGATCCAGTAATTTTCTCTTCTTGAACGGAAAAACAAGCATGGCTCAAAACAGCTCCCAATAGCAAATGTGTGATCGATTGAACTGATGGAACATTGCTCAATTTCAACTAGAAGAAAATTACGCTGTGTTGCTTAAAACTGACCTGCTATATAATGGTTTCAATCTGTCTGGTTTTAGTTTTTCTCGTGGTGAACTGACGATCAAAGCTGCGCTGGTCAAGAAAAGCGAAAGAATCACTGCCACCCATGTGATATTTTATTCATGTTTTGGTTTATTTGCCAATTCTGAGTAAAGCATGGCTGCAGGGTGAGTAAAATATATCATGAACCCATACACGGAGCAGCAAAACAGATTTTAGAAAAAGAAAAGAATCGATCTGTTTATATTTTGCTGGTTTTTGTAAAACACATAATATCATGAAAACTCAAATCATAATAACTGCAAAATACACCCGCCCCTGGCCCCAGACGACAATCTTTTTACTGTCAATTGTTACAGTCTAAAAAATTTCTGAAAGTATTGCAGTTTTGGGTTTAGAAATTTTAGCTCGATCGAACAGTCGTCAATGAAAATATTAGCTGGATTCGAAATCTTTTCCGTGCGCGGAACAAGAGTTTTAGTTAGCTATCCTAGTGGGGGGTCCAGAAACCTTACATCACACTTCAGATAAAAACTATTACAGCGCGATTTTTATTCAAATGTTCACAGCGTGGGAATACATCTAAAAACCACGAGTACCATACCTATCGACTCCAAAAGCATTTAATCTGTTTCTGGCACCTTCAGCTTTCGCTGCACATTCGCAAATATTTTCGGTAGGGTAAAAATTTTCCTGACATAAAATTACAATTTTTTCTCCAATCTTAGTCGTAAAATTCACAAATCAGGTTTTTTAGCATTTTATTTCTTACTCAAAGAGAATTGTTTACGATGGACGTCTAGAACAAAAAGCTTAGCTTGCCTTGGCATATGATAATATTTTAGCTCTCTGTCTCTAGAATTATTTATGATTGTCAGTTTTGACAAGCTGTCGATTCGAATTCGTTTTAGCGACAGTCATTTAAACGAAAGCAATACATTTCACATATTTTAATTTATTAATTGACTTATTTCGTTCTCTATGCTATGTGATTCGAACAGTACCCAACAATATTTCGTCTCGATGGGCTCGCTGTTCGGCAGGAATTCACTGTTTTGAGTTTCCGTGTATTTATCCGTCGCTCGCTCGTTGATTGGTTCTGCCGTTGTTTAGAACTGACAACGCCACCGCTTTTAGATAGGTCACACTTTACACATGTGAATGAGTTGTATCGCTGACCAATCAGCGACGACAACCGTTCCATTCACGAGAGGCAAGCAGATTGTAAGTTTATATTTCGAATTCTCTCTCCATCGGGAACGATCGTTCAAGGTAGTTCTTGGCCTTACGTTTGATAGATCTTTCACCTTTTCAGTTGAAATTATCATTTCGCATCTGCGGCAGCAAGAAATTTGCCTCACGATCGCCGATTTGTCTTCGATCGAATACGTCGTGTGTAAGCTTAAATGCAAATAACATGTAAACTTTTTCATCCCGTCCAATTCTCATATTTCCCAATCGCCGGATCGTCCAATCTTCTGTTGAACTAACACGGTTCTATTTTATTTTTGCAGGTATGCTGATGAAATCCTGAACTTTGAAGGTAAATACTAGAAAAATTCACTTAGATGAAAATTTACTTTCGAGCGGACATGCCCGGGCTTATTGTAGAAATTTTTTTGTTCCGATTGACGATCGTGTTTATTGTGTTAAGGAATTGTAGCGAAACCGACAGAAACACAACTTCTGAACGAAACAGAACTGCTTTCAGCGAGGTAGATCGAAGATTTGATCGATTTTTCTGTTCGAACACGACTCTGACAAGCAATCGAGTGATTACAAGGGTCCAAGGTTGTCATCTGGGTCCGTAAGTTTTTTTGGCAACATTACTCTCGACTACTGTAACTTTACTCTTGGCGTTGGAAATTATTTTCTGCTTCACTCAAAGTGCATTTCAATCTGTACCTCAGGCTTACTTCCGACTCAAGATTCCGTCAGGGTGATTTTTTCCGTAAGATCTGCGGATCACCAGCGTTCCGTTCTCTCTTCAGTTCCTATTTTTAATTTTTTCGAATATTCATGTTTGATGCAGTATTCAGATTATATCTCGGTCTCAAACCTTGTGCCCTCGAATACCTTTATTTGTAATTTCCCGGCAGATCTTTTTGGAAATTGTTTCTTCTGTTCTTTTATAGTATTTTTCCCTCCGCTTCGCTAAATGTCAGTAGAATCATATCGGGATTACATAGTCTAAAGAGTTCGAGCGGATAACTATATTCTTATTGTTACAATTTTTTTATTTGTGTTTACCTCCGATATCGTGTTGTGTTTGACAATTTTAGTTACCCTCGAATTTTAAATTACTATGCCCATATTTCTACATATTTCATAAGTTCAATACGTCTAAAGTTTTGCATTCGATCTTGTTTTTGATTGCTAGCAATCTGGCTCTTTGAGTTCAAAAAATAATATGTTAAGTTTTATTTGTCTGAAGGATATCAACAAATGTTTATTCATGAGTAAAATTAGCTTTTCTCTATCCCAACTCGATTTATAGCGGTCGTAAAAATCTATGTGGTTTAAATGCTGATTTTTATTTTTTATTTTTTTTTCTAGAAAACATGAATCGAAAAGGAAAGATTCGACGTGGAAATCCGCCAAAAAAACTTAATGAAAATGGCGTTGCACTTTTAGAAAAGATCGTGGGATGTGATAATCAAGACATTTTAAATGGAAATAATCAGCTGTCAAGGAACACAGTGAAAAGAAATCTGTCTAAAGAAATAGAGGAAGAATCTGGTCGGGAAAGAATAAACTACCATTCATGGAAAGAAAAATGCCGCTCAAAGGAAGATAACCTCGGTGATGCTTTTGTTCCACCGAAATGTGCGACACCAGCTGTTTCCATCGCTGAGAATGTCAAAGCGAAATCGCCACAGAAAAGGAAAAAAAGCCTCGATGAAGGGAATTCAGTTAAGAAAATTGCAAGTGGCTGCGATGTTTCGGGCGCAAATAATTTAAACATCAGTGGCAATTTAAAGAGAGAAAACAATTCAACTGTTGCTAGGCACTTGGCATTTTTTAATGGCACCAACACATCTAGTAATTTAATGGAAGACGAAAACACTGACAGCGCAATATCCGATGAAGAAATTGAAGGTGCCAATGTATATGGTAAACTTAACAGCAGGCAGAGAAGCCAGAAAAAACCCAGCCGTGGGAGTCAAGTAGAAAATATAGTTTCTCGGACTCCCACCCCTACTCAACAAAAATATAAGAAGGGTGATATTGTGCAGATGGAGAACGGTGTTCGAAAAAAATTCAATGGAAAACAGTGGAGACGATTATGCTCCAGGGAAGGATGCAACAAGGAGTCGCAGCGCCGAGGATATTGTTCACGGCACTTGTCATTGAAAGGAAAGACGCTTACAAAAGGAGTTGGGATTCCAGGACAAAAGAAGGGGAAATTGCATGGGGAAAAACTTACATGGGAATCTGGGAATGAGAGTGAAGGAAGTGTAGAGGGAGAGGTTTCAAGCAAGGGATCTGGTCATCATAACATTGACCTCAATGATAAAGAAGCAGAGGCAGCCTTTTCACTTGTTTCTCTGAGTAATTCAAGGTGTGCTACACCTGCAACGCCTTTGCCAATTTCACCTGGTCAATGCCCCTCACCCTCCCCGTACAGCTGTTATGGCAATACGCGCAGCACAACTCCGGGCCAGCATCGGTCAGTTACTCCAGTAAGGACTTGGGTGGGTGCAACACCACGTTCGGGGCGGTCGTCAAGCGCTGAGCTTCTATCACCTTTCCCAAATGGATTCTCATTATCAAATGCGATTAGTCCAGATTCTGGTATTATCTGTCGAGATGAGTCTGGAAGTCGCGCAAGTAATACCTCTTCTCTGATGTCACCCGTTCCTCTACTTTCTCCTATCACCCCGACAAAAAGAACATTCTCACCCATATCTCCTCCAGCTGGCTCAGCCTATCGTTCATTTTCTCCTATACCTCGCACCCCTCCTGCAATATCAGGAAAGCGGACATTTTGTCCTGTGTCACTCCCAGCACCTTCTGCCATTACACCTCCTAGAGATAAAACAGGCAGAGTCATGTACTCACCGATACCCACCCAACCTCTGCCGGTAACGTCAAACAGCACATTTGTGCCATTTTCACAAGAATCGAATAAAAAATCCCAAGATAATGAAAAAACAGCTGATGAAAGAAATGATGAAGATCAACAAATGGCTTCTAATGCTGATGCTGTTAAGGACATTGTTGAGTCAAAAGATGATGAGAAGTTAAAAGCCGCATGCACAGAGGTTAAAAATACTCAGACTGATCAGCACAATGCTGATTCAACTGAAATAATTACCATGGCTCAGCTTCCACCAGTGCAAGTAAATACCATTCAGATAGCTGTCTTCCCATGGCAGTGTTTAGTCCCACAACTGATCAATGTTCCTGCAGGCAGTTTGACTCAAACAAGCACTAGTAACATTTCAAACTCACAGCTGGAAGTACAAAAAAATATTTTAAATCAGGCAAATGGATTGGAAAGTGGTGGAAATTTGCTGCCACTAAAGACTGCCGATGGAGAAGATAATTCATCAGCAGGAGAATTAAGGAATGGAACTGGCAATTCAATAATTACTGGGCCAAATACAAGAAAAAGAGCTCGCTCTGTCTCTGTTAGTAGCGATGGAAAGCCTGCTGCCAAAACAGTGGTAAGCAATCTTGAAATAATAACCGTTTTCTAAAAATATATATGATAAGTTCTAGAAAATATCCATACTCTCTTTTTCTCTCTAAAGAAGGGGTTCCAAAAACCTAGGCTAGGTATTGGGGGGTGGGGGGTGGGGTGCTTTCAACGATTCAAAAATTTAAAACAATGTGTTACTAATTAAACCTAAGTGGGAAATCTTCCACATGGAAGGGTAGGATATTTTCGGGAACTATAGTTTGATATTGAATAAGTCAAAAAGAAATAAGCAGTTAATTAAACCCCTGCTTATTTGGGTATGTTCTAAAAGATTTCTTCCCCCTGCAAGTAACAGTCGGTCTTTGGACATTGGCCGACCAAAATTTGCATAGTGTCTGACTAAATCCCACCTGTGTTTAGACATAATATCCGGATAATTTTTTTTTATCATAAATCATTTTATGGTAAGGAAGACTAAGAATCTTGACTACCTTGAGTAAATCTTAGGACATGTTAGGACCATCTCAAAGTCACGAAACAGCATAAGTGTAGTATGTCCTCTGTTTTACCCGATATAAAGTTCAACCTTTTCTTGGTGATGTCTGACCAAAATTTTGTTTTGTCCGACCAAGATGGTGTCTTTAGTCGGACAATTTGTTATGTCCTTTCAAGAGAGAAAATCATTTTCAGCCCTGCCGTTTACTTTGTACAGCCTGTAAATTAGGTGTTGATGACCACTGTATATATGGGTTATACATGGGATTAGGATCTGCGCAGGTGGTTACAGGGGGGAGGGGGGTGGGGGTTGGTGAAAATGGGTCAATTTTCAATCCCTGATAACATCTCGTATGCAGTGGCACTTTGTATATATGCTGAATTCAAACCTTTGTAAGACAAACACCAAAGGGGTTAAAACCCAAACATGCATCACAGAGATACCTCCCCCCCCCCTCCCTCACCCTCCAATGGAAATGATCAGGAAAAAAAAGAATTTCACTACTTTTTTTAGAATCTCCAGATTTTTACTTGTGAGTCTCCATATTTTCCTTTATCAGGGGTTGGCAGGTCTTAAGGATATTAATTAGGTCTTACTGGTTGGCAGTTTGAAGGTGCCTGGGTATGTAAATGCCACTCACAGGGAAATTGTCAAGGTTATGCATTGCATTCGCCTGCTGTTCGTGGCTCCACCGGCCTCCTAGGCACCTCCCCCCATGCTCGTCTCTGTAGATGAGTTTAATTTAATATATATTTTTTGAGTTCAATATTTTTTTTTTCAGGCCACTGGGAATCAGGCAAAACAAGAGAAAGAACACATCCGCCGGCCAATGAATGCCTTTATGATCTTCAGCAAACGTCACCGAGCCCTTGTCCATCAGAAACACCCCCACCAAGACAACAGAACAGTGAGCAAGATACTTGGTGAATGGTGGTACAACCTGAGCCCAAAAGACAAGCAGAAATATGTAGATCTTGCAGCACAGGTGGGCCTCATTGTTAAATTTTAAAAATTCCCTTAAATGTGAACTTTTATCAAAATATTCTAATTAAAATATATCATCCTATTTTTGTAAGTAATTTTTGTATATTAAGTTTTATTATTCTTCTCTTTTCCTGTATCCTAGTTTATACTGTAGTTTATTTTTTGTAAAATCATGTCATCTTTTCTGTAATGTTTTGTCTTGACTTTAACTAATCTAGAAGGGAGCCTGGATCCCATATAAGCCCCAGGCTTCCAGTTCAGGCTTCCTCGTCATTGTTCCAAAGGAATGTCCCCTTAAGCTTTTCTGTTGCACAAATTAAAATTGAGCTTGGGATTTAATACATGCAATTTTTCGCCCTTTGCCCTTCTCAGAGTGATATTTAAAAAGAGCTTCCTATAGTAATAGCTGTTAGTTTATTTTACATGTAAGGTGTGTATAGTTTCCATTGTAGAGGCCCCTGGCCCTAAGGGGGTGTATGTATGTCCCTCATCTAAATTTCAAAGACAGTCATTTCGTGTTTTGAAGAGTGGGCCATGTCTTTGTCTGTATAGGCAAATCTTTGTTGACACTTTTTGCTTCATTAACATATGCATATCACTGTATGATGACACTAATAGAATAAAAACTCTGAATATTGAAAGGGCATAATCAGTTATCTCTGAAAATTTGAGCCCAATACAGCAAATGGTCTCGGAGAAATTCTCTTCTAAAAACTCAAAATTTTCCTTTTTCAACACACAGCAAATTCGCAGTTTTTGATAGCTGATATTTCCTTCAATATTGCTTGCAAAGAGCTGAAAATTGCATAAATTGCTCAACTTAATCAGCTCTTTCAACTTTTGCATTTATTTCATACATACCACCATGGCTTCTATGAGTTAAGTTGTATGCTAATGAGGACAAATGTTAACAATGACGTCAGCAAAGATTCACCTATTCAACCCATGTTCATGTCGTTTGTCACCATTTCATCTAGTACTCTTATGTCGCTGTTTAAAGGCCACATCACTTGTCACAGTTTTACCCCAATATGGTCTCATTGTACCAGTATTTTTTTTCTCAGGTCAAAGAGGAGCACTTCAGGACTTATCCACACTGGAAGTGGTGCCAAAAAGACAGGAAAAAATCCCCAAGAAAAGGTTCAGATGTAACGGAGTCTGCTGATTCAATGAGTATGTTGTCATCTATTTTTAATGATTCGACTATAAGTTCAAAATCAGAAAAAGTAAAAGTAAAAAGAAAAGTAATTATTACACCACGTAGACATTTTGATCCAGCTCTCCTGAGAGACCTCCTTGTAGAGGGCCTGCCAGGGTAAATTCCAACAAGCGACAGCGCATAAAATGAAATCGCCACAACAGACAACCTCCCCGGGCCAAATTGCGACAGTGACGGCAAAGCCGACAATAAGCGACAAGCATTTATCAACACCGACACGAGACGTTTTAAAATTCAGACGGGAGACATGGGACCCCCCCTGGCAGGGCCTCCCTGTACTCTCAAAGAGACTCGTAAGAGACCTCTTGTAAGAGACTTGTTAAGGCTCTGGTAAGAGACCTCTCTTTTGATCCAGCACTGGTAAGAGACCTGTAAATCTTTAGTAATTAGCACTTTAGATGGTTGCTTGTAGTACATAACTTTGACTGTACTTATGTATAATAAAGTATCAACATCTCTCAGATGGTAGTTTTTATTGCCACCAGGAGGTCTGTGACAGTATATAGCTAGGTACTGATGTTGTCTGAGATATACAGAACTTAATGGAATCCTGATTTTTCAAACCACCATGGGGAAAGCAAATTGGTGTGAATTATCAAGAGGTTTGAAAAATTGGGGGTAAAATTATAGTGTTTGAGTGGTCAAGGGAAGTTAGATTTGAATTTTCAGGAGTTTTGAAAAAACCAAGGATTTGAGAATGCTGTATTTTACTGTATGTCAAAAAATATCACAGTGATTTGTCATACTATAATAGTATTAATCATAACTATAACAAAATTTCCAAATCTGATTGGCTATCAACTGTCCTGATTTCAGCACTAATAGGACAGTGTAATAGGACAGCATGCGTCATGTCTATGTAATTGGACAGTACTCGCCATCGCGTGCACACATTCAAATGCTAGCGAGAAAACTCTTGGAATTTTTTGTTTTTTATTTTCTAGAGGGCAAAAACATCCCAAAAATTAATTTTGTTATAGTTATAGATAGAACTTCGTTTTGTCCGATTCTGTCTGTGATCATACTCGTGATGGAACAAATCGGACTCCCACTATGTTGTCATCCGATTTTGTTAATCATCCATATGGTTGTTGGATGAAAAAGTTAGAAAAGTCTATCAAAATCGCTTCTTATTCATACTCGTATGATTACAGACCCAAGTGGACTCCGCTCAGTCTTATTACCATTAAAACTGACCAGCTGGATACAAGGAACCACAAATCTCTTGACCAGGAGCCAGTTTGTTTTTCCGTTGGGATGAATTTCCACCTAAACCAACCTTCTTTTCTGTCTTTTGTCATCAGGTGATGGTATTGAATTTCACGCTGATGTCACAGTGGGCAGTGAAGAGCAAGAGGTATGTTTTTGTTGCTTTTTTGGTGTGAATAGTCTACTGTGGTGACCATAACACTAAACCAGTTAACGTATAAACCACACTAATTATAGTTGTTTTGTTGTATTATGTGTGGTGAAAATTCTTTTTTTTCTTAGCCTACAACAGTTTGAAAATATTTAAATTTACAAGGATTTGTATGGAAAACCCATCACCATGACTGTGTGTTAAGAGTTGTTTTTCCTACACAAATCCTTCTAATTTTGTTGTAATCCTTACTTTTGAGATAAGTGGCTGAAAATTTATGTATTAGCTACACTGTAATTTTCATATACTGATTCAGTTCCTGCTTAATTCATTTTTCCAAACAGAGTTGTTTTGTGTTTACAGAAAGTTGATCACATTGCCAACTATTACAAAAGGCCTATTGTTTGCAACAAATTGTGTTTCAAAAAGTAGATGAGTAGGGACCTTCCCTCAAAAGTTATTCCTGTGGTTTGATCCTCGTAAGTCACCATCTCCTGCAGCTACTAAATCTTTGAATTTGGTGTGGTTGCTTACAGGAGGTTTCACTAATATTAAATAGCCCTTTTTGAAGATGTACGTATGTTCTATTCCTAGGGTGTCTTTGATAATGACGGCGATGTAACCACAGATGCAAAACCAATGCTAAGAAGTAAACGCTCTCAGAGCACTCCTGCACACCAACAGGAATCTTGTCTAAAGGATGTGCCTCGGCCATTTACACCACAGCCTTCGCCTCCAACACAACACTCACTCTTAGAACTTGCACAGGTAACTGAGCCATTGACAAAGCTGAAAATAATTTTCTTCAAATGTTTCTTCAGTTGAAAGGACACAATGACCAGCCAAAGAAATTTTTGCTCGGTCAAGTCTTGTTTCTGACCGGTCAAAATAACGAAAAGAAGTAATGACAGCCTGTGAACTTAAAACTTAACCAAAGATAGCCTAAGATGACTTACAGGTGAGGATTTTTCTATTCGTTCAAGAACAAGAGTGTGTGTGATCGGTCAACATGACCAGCAAGTGAAGTTTTTGGCCAGTCAAGTCACCATTCTGGCCGGACATTGTACGTTGACCAGACGTTATTTTGAGCCCTGTAATAATATTATATTCCATCTTATTTTTAGATGTGTTCTGAGCTTGACAATGGAGAAGTGTCCACTGTAACTGATAGCAGACCAGTATTATCTGAGGAAAGACCCACCACATCTGAACAAGACACTAATGATACGTTCAGTGAGTCAGAAGATGACGATATTGGCTCAGAAGAGCTGATGTGTAATGAAAACATTGACGTTAATGACAAAGAGTCTGATGACTCGGACGATGAAGAACTTACGAACAGGGTGTTTCCACAGCAAAAATTCTCCCCCGTTCCATTTACAGTGAGACGGAGTCAAACGCCGGACATTGGCAAGATCAGATACTCACCCATTGCATTCCCCCCAAAGAGGGCAGTAACTCCCAATATGTACGAGCAAATGCTTGGCAAAGTCCATTCTCGTGAACAGACAGACAGTACTTGCAGGCCACTCTCCAAAATGGTAGATTTTGGCTTCAGGGCACCCAAAGGTTTGCCCTTCTCGAGCAAAAGTAATTCTAGTGACAAAGTTGACAGAGCAGTTTCATTGAGTGGTCAGTTTGTCCGTCCAAAATTGCCAACAACAAAGAGTAACTCTCCTGGGCTCACTGTAAGTGGCTACTTTCAGCCTACTGGATCTGTCTTTAGACCAAGCCAGCCGTCATCTAGTGGTACCACTTTGCATTCTTCACCTGGTTCAGACAGTTCTTTGAAGACCGTGTTGAGCTCGTCAGCTTCGTCACAGTCGGCGCCATTTTCCAGTTATGTCACAAAACCTTTGCCTGGGGTCACTGTAGCTGCAAGAGGCAACCCGACAGATTATCCAGCGATGGCAATTCAAGTGAATTCCAACAGTCCCTCATACAAAGCGGGCAGCCCTGGACGGTCTGTAGTTAGCTCCAGCCAATTCGGAGAAAGTACCCCAGTTTCAAGATTCCCATTTCAACACCAGAGTGTTGCAAGCACACCATCAGGGCCACTTAATACTGTTACAACCCCACAAGTGGCTAGTTCAGTTTCCACGGCCTCTGCCGTTGGTCAGCAGTCATCATGGTCTCCGGGTTCTATGCCCGCGCCCTTGGCACCTCTAACAGTGTCTGTGGCCACTCATAACATTCCTCCATTTCACCAGTCTGTAAAGGCTACTCCTGTTCTGTCACCAAGCACCAAAGGGAAGCAGCAGAAGCCTATTGCGCCACTTCTGTCGCCCCCACCGATGGCTGCATCTCCCACCGGGGACAAATCAGCTGGACGAGTGCTGCTCGCAAAGAAGCCTCCGCCTCTTTCAGGGTTAGTAATGGGACATTCAAATGCAAAGCAAGGGCCCTTCTCACCTGGAGGTTTGGGGTATTATAACGTAAACCCTGCATCACTTGGTGTACACCAGGGCATTATTCCTGCACCCTTGCAAAGCCCTGGAAAGCCAGTCAACCAAGGACCTTCAATCAGACCACACCCTGTGTCACCAAAACCAACTACCCAGCCAGTTTCACCAAGATTTGCTGCATCTAACACCTCCCAGCTGTCCCCTAAAGGAGTGAAAATATTGGCAAAACCATGTTATCCAAACGACAACCATGCTGCTCCAACTTCTTCGCCAAGAACTCTACCTTCCAGTGATGGCGATCACACAGGGACTATTAATACCAACAGACAGGCCATGAAAGCCGAACAGAACCAGACTGTGGATGCACAGACAACCCAGCTGTGTCTAGAGGATAGTGCATCTAAAGGTCAAGTGTACGTCAAACCTATACTGAAAAGATTCATAGCTGACGGAATGGAAGAGTAAGTGTTCGTTCTTAGAGTCTCTAGAGTTAAACTCAGGTTTCAGTTCTTTGGAAAAATCCAGAATAGTCTCTTAATCTCAAATTACCTGGATTTGATTTGAAGGTGAAATAACAAAAAGTCCAAATGATTCTCCAGCGTGACAACAATTTGGATGGCGTCGTGTCTTCACAAGAAGCCGTGTGGCCAGATGCTCTTTTTTGTGTCCTTAACCGAATACCCGAAGTTATCCTATCTCAGTCTTAAAAGTTTTGACGATATAAATCCACTCTTTAAAATTTTCAATCCATTTACGGATTCTAGTAGAGAATTCAAGAATCTGGATTTGGGTTTTTCAAAGACTCTTTGAAAAATCCAAATCGAGAAGACACTATAAAGAATTCTTCATTTATGCACTTCTCTGCTAGTTGGTTATTCAAATGTGTCCACTTCTCTCGCCAAAGGTCACTCTTTATCAACCTCGTTGCCATGGTTCTCTCACATCCGTGGGACGAGTCTACGAGTGATTTGATTTCCTGGCCTAACGTGATTTTTTTGTAACCATTCAGTTGAAAGCTTCTAAGAGGCACTTTTCCTGTGATGCTGTTTATCATGCTTTTTCGACTCACTAAATTAGGGTTAAGCAGTAGAGAAAACCCATTACCGCTATGGGACTGAAATTAAGATAACAAGATTTGATTGTTCATTTTCTTAGGGTTCTATCGAAGGTCAATTTTGAGAGGCAGTTTGCTGAACTTCCTGAATACTCTCCTCAGCAACGCCACGGCACACGGGAGAGCCATAACAGAGGATCCATCAACAGGCGAGGTCCTGTAACAACGGGTGGACCACACCCATCGGATGGAAGTGGACAGACGTCTGAGAATAGTTTAGGTTGTGATGCTAGCCGTACGGTGGGAATCAGAGCAAGTAGTATGCCGAGTCTTGAAGCGCTGGCAGAAGTGGCCTCTTTGGAACATGGCAATGGACTGACAGAGGTCCTTAAAGATGACAAAGGGGATTCACGCCAGCAAGAACCAAGCAGTCCTACAATGTCCGCTCACAAGAAGCCAATAGATCAGCGACGGGGAGTGGTGCTTCAGCTTTTCCAGGAACACGGGTATTTCCCGTCTGATGGCGTCACCTCAGTGTTTCAACAGCGCTTTTCAGATCTGTTCCCGACGAAAGCAGCTTTGCAATTGAAGATTCGTGAAGTTAGACAGAAGATTATGCATAATGGCGGGGTTAACAAGTAAGACGCTTTTTTCGTAGTTAAAGAGCATTCCATTCACCAAGCTTGCATTCAATATGGCCGGCTTGCAATGGAAACCATGGTATTCATGGAGTTTATATAAGAAAAAAGTACAGTTATGTTTAAACGCTGTTAAAAGGAGCTAAGTCGTAGCATAAATATCTTGAACATTTAAAACGTTATTTCGTCAAGTTTCTCCATTGCAAACCATTTTGACATCGATCGTCCATCCTCAGCGATTTACTCGTTTACAGGTTACTGTAATGTCTTGGGTTGTTCTTTTCTACCCAAGTGATGTTTTGAGATTTCCTTCTGTGTCAAAGAAAGTTTTGAACGCTGCAAAATAGCGAAAAAGCCCGCTGAAGTTAAAATAAATCGTGCCGATAAAATGTTACTAAAATGTAAGTTTGTTCTTTATTCCACTGCTCGACGAAAAGATTCCGTTAAAGTGAAAGAAAAGCTCAGTTAAAATCCGTTTGCAAGAAGGTTTTGCAATGGTACTTGGCGGGAAACCTTCAATTTGCTACACATGTTTAGGTCGCGTGGCACATTTCTATGATTTTTCTTAAAACTTGTTTCAGATAACTTTTATTCTAGTAACTGGAAGCGAGTAGAGTCGAAGTTCTCACAATTTGCCAGTTGAGTGATGAAATTTATCTTATGTTAAAACTTTCTCTCAAGGGAGACAAGAATGTTACTAATCATTTTGCTTCTTGTTGTCGAGAGTTTACTCTTCGACATTCCTTTTGGGCGTGTAAAATTTTTCTTTACATGTAGAGATATGCGCTCAAATTCTACATTTTTCTTGATAATCTGACTTTATTCGCGATAACTAGATCACGAAATTTCCGAAAACCGAGGATTTTCCAGAAGGTGAGGTAACGCGTGTTTCATAGATGTCCCAAATACTCTTCGTGCCCGACAATTTGGGTAATTTTAAGGAACGCGCGCACGTTTACGAGTCAAGTTGCGCTGTAATTTTTCCGGTCATCGGTTCGTTCGGACCGAGAGTGGTCTGACAAATACAACAGAGCTCTGGAAAAAATATTAGACGGCATTGCATTATACAGCAGCGCATTTTTGTAAAGTAGAATAGAGGGGTGTTGGGAATCTAAAAATAAAAACAAACGTTGTTTAAGTCTTGAAAGATAATGGAGACCTTTAGTTTCGAGGACGACTACGATGACGAGATTTAACTAAGTTTTTTTGCGTATTCTCAGAAAAAGGATATCCCGGAAAGGTTTATTGAACTTATGTTTACCAGAAAAGTTGGCGCGGTTATTTTTGTAGAAGAGGTTAAGCCCGCCCTATCCCAAAATGATGAATAATAACTTGTTTCCGCTCGTAGTGGAATGACGATGGCTATCGCATTTTCCCGCCAAAATATGACCCTGGGTCAAAATCTCGTACTCGAAGTTGTACGAAAGGTCTCTAATTAACTTGGAAATATCAGACTTTCATCAAAGTGTTGCGTGAGGGTTTATAGTGTATATAAGAGTTTCTTAACAGACTCTTTTAGAAACTCGAGTTTGCTTTTTGGTTTATAAGCAGTATTTATAAAAAAAGGTAATACTTATGTTGTTTTGTTTTGTAAGTTATTTGAAAAGAGCAACCCCGCCATATCGATTCGTGTTTTATCGCTGTCGTGGAGTTCAATTCCGACGATTAGGTCCGAGCGAGAGGCTTGAGATGTCATCGGAAAACTTCGGCAAAGTACGAGATTGTGTCGGACGCGTTTCGATGTGAGCGCGGCAGTTTAATAGTAGTAGTGTACCTATTTATTGAGTTAACGTTCTGTATAGTTGTAAGATAGTGTTGAGAAGGGTATAGAGTGATTTTATGGCAGCTGTATATATCATGGTTTAAGTCTTTTTAACGTTGATAGTGTAGAGCTTAAGGATAATATCCATTTCAAACCTGAGTGGCAGTGAAAAAAAGCCGTAGGGGAATTTATTGATACAGGTGTTTAAGGAGTTATGCGTTTAAAACAAATACTAGGGAGCTTATGAAGACGCCGACAATAGCAAAGACAACGTTATAAAGACGACAATAAAAAGGAGAACTCTCTACGTGCATCACACGTTTTTGTACACGTTTTTTGTCGTCCAAATGTAACGCAACTTAACCTAATGTCAACTTTGTGTGACGTTCTATACGCAACTTGCACATCTCCCATAATGCACCTTATTTGCTCCCCCCCCCCCCCCCCCCACGAACAAAAAAAAAACAACGTTTAAAACAATAAATAAAAAAAGAAAACTCTCCTATAGTATACAAGTTTTTTTGTTGCGTTTTTTTTCTTCCAAAGTTACACAACTAAACTCCTATTACACTTTTTTTTGCGTTGTTTAACCCAACTTCCCCACTCCCCAAATTGCCCTTTTTTTTCCCCCCCCCCCCCCCCCCCAAATTTTGCGTAAGCATTGTTTTCAGTTTCTCTTGGGACGGCTGTAACACCCAGGAGAAATGAAAAACAAAATTTTAGGGGGGCAGATAAGGTGCATTATGGGAGATGAACACGTGGCGTATAGGAATTAGAGGACGTGGCCGCAGGACGACGAATTTTCCTTTCTTCGCTCTAACGTGGGTGCATTTTTTTAAGAATTTAACTTGTGCAAAATTCGTCTTCATTTAACAAACTGATGAAACCTGAAAGGAAGCGAATTATCTTTATCAGTGATGTTTTAACTGCCTTTGTCGTGGTGGTCTTGAAAGCTCTCTACTATTCTACTCGCGATGACGTCTTTGGTTTGCTTGGTCACGTATCTTGGTTTTTCCAAACGCAATAGTCCCATTTTGGGAAACCGTGCCACTCTGTACTTTACTGCCTTGGTTTGAATAATTCAGGTACTTGAAGTCTTTTTTGAAAACACTTAATAGGATTTCAGCCGTTGACACTGATTCTTATTGCGTGACTAACCACACCTTACGCGCAAATCATCTAAGATGGCGTGACCAAGCCATAATTCGAGGTTTCAGAAAAGAGTGATAAGGGCATCTAAATTTTTTATTGGCCAATCGCTGCTTTCGAGTCTCCAAAAACTAAAATGTGATTAACTTAGTGACTTTAGAAGAAATCTTTGTATTTGCATTTTAATACTAAGTTCCTTCTCTAGTCTTGGGTGTGTATAAGAAACTAGGGGAATCTCGCATTTCCAGGTGATTCGCTCTTGTGCCAAACTGGTTTGTAAGCATTATTTATCTTTCTATGCTTTATATGCTTTATCGCTTTTTTATTTTTTTTTTCTACCGTTTTATATCCGAGTACACTGACTTTTGAACTTTGTTTGTGTTTTTTGTGGCTAAATTTAGGAACAACAAACCCTTTTTACCTCGTCAAGTTTTCTATGCACAAGAGCAATTTACCTTATTGTGACCATAGCAACTTATACGTTAAACTGAAGCAGCTTTGTCTTTCCTTGTAAAAAGTACACAAGTCAAGAGATCATAATAGAACAGAGGGAGCCTATCTGAGTTAAAAAAGGTATTTTTAGAAACTATGTCGACCATGCGAAAACAGTTTCCGGTAAAATGATTGACTCCCGGAACCGGAAGACGTTTTTGAAATGAAGATATCCCGACCAACGCCCCTATACTCCCTGTGTGTCTTATTATGTTCTCTTGACAGGTGAAGGACAAAATTAGGGTACGAAAAATGTTTCAAGATGTCCAAAGTAGAGGGGTGTTTTCTTCGTTAAACCTGAATATACGTCAGTTTTATGTCAAATTGCATTATGGGGCTCTGGGGACTGTTCTGGGGAACACTTTCACTTCTTTTATTGGCTATTACGAAGTTGCGCAGGAAACTGGGGACAGTTTTAACCAAACAGTCCCATAATGCAATTGGACACAATGCCTTCCCAATAGGCCACTTGCACGATGACGTCATTTTACTACTACGACCAGAATCCTTCAGGGTTTTGTTTTCTTGTGCGAATTAGGGCTTTTGTCATTTAATGCTCCCTGGGATTACCAAATATAAATGTGAAAGGAAAAACGTAAAGTATTCTGGTCGTAGTAGTAAAATGACGCCATCGTACAAATGGCCTTTTGGTCAGAAGAAAGCAAAGGAGATTTATACTTGATGATAGAGTTTTACCCAGTAAAATAATACAGAAAAAAGTACAGACGTCGTGTTTGTTTGAGTTTTGGCTTCACGTTTTTTTTTTCTTTTAGCCCCTGAAGAAGGTTTGTCTTTCAAACCGAAATATTGGCAAATTTGTTTGAATATATATATTTTTTGTTTTATTCTTCTGTTTACTTCTTCATCGCCTTGCCGTAAGGATTAGTTTGCCGTTTTATATTTCTACAAGTTATTATTGTACTGATCCAGGTCTAAAACTGGGAGATTCGGCACCACTCAACGGTTTGTCGCTGTGGACTTGCTGACATTTTATATTTTGTGAGATTTTAATTCGGGTTTCTTTTTCTTTTGTTGAAAATTTGTTTCTGGGATAATTTTCTCTATTATTTTAAGAGCATCCAGGCATCGAAATGAAGAAAAAAATGATTAACCTGGATTTTCTTTTTTAAGTTTTCACATCTGAATTCAATTCTGGCACTAACCTGGATTATCTCAACCCGGCCCCGGCTTCAGTACCCTGGGTGCCAGTGACTTTTCTAGCGAGGTTTACGGTTTCTATCAAGTTTTTATAGTGACCCGCGCGAAAAGTGGAGTTTTTCTCGAGGCTTCGGCCTTCGGCCAACACCAGAGCGGATAAAGGTTGGGCGGTGAAACGAGCGCGTCCGAGCAAAAAGGTGTGATGCAGTGGACTGGGACTCTGCTTAGAAATGTCGCTTGTTTTCGACTTTGGTCAGGGCTTGCGATGTGGTTTGTACATTAGACACTGCCGCTGTCACTGAATAATGACGGCTTGATTTTTTCTTGCACTTCTTCCTCGTTCCTTTGTGCTGGTACGCTGTCTCCGAGAGGCGAATGTTGCTATTTTTTGCGGGAGGTTTAGTTGGAGTAGACAAACATCTCTTTCAAAGGGTTTCTTTCATTTAATACTTCCATGACTCTACTACTGGATTATATTTTCGTTCTGCTACTCGCCAATGTTGCACTCGCCAGTGATTTATTCGGTGGATAGCGCTATCCAACGCTTCAACAATCGGTTAGGGTTTGTGTCATACTTTTGTGCAGTGTGAACACCAATATTCGGTCCGTCGCGGCACTTAACAATTAGGAGCGAGGCCTGGAACCCACCGAGACGGAAGTAAATATTCAGGAATGAGGACTAGAACTTAGTGCACCAATCCCTCTCGGTCAACCGCGCCGGCACGATAACGACTTGCGTCGCCCGACCATTTATCGGATAGCTTTTCGTCATCATGATATCACCTTCCCCGCGTTTTAAGGTGGCCCGAACCTATTTATTTGCGCGTTGGTTATGTTTTTGAGTCGGGTTTTTCGGCAGGAATGATTTAAACGATTTCAATGATTTTTTGCAACCCTAATAAAGAATGGTCGAACTTTAAAAAAATGTTATTTATTTTCGTATAGGAATAAAAACATTTGAGATATCAGCATATGTTCAAAATCTTGTTTTTACAAAAAAATGTCAATAATTTCGAAACCCTTGGACAGATTTTTCTCTAACTTCGGCAAATAAGCCTCAGAGCTCTTTAGTTTTATATCTGCAAGTTTGAAGTCAATCGTGACCGTAGAACTCGCTGCACAAATTTAATCTTAAAATGCAACGCTAACACATTTTGTGAAAGTTGACACATAAATAGAGGACAACTGCCGACGGACTATCTCCTATCTGCAAGGGTATTCTTGCCCGAAGCTTCAGTTGCAAGAAATTGAGTAATCAGAAACCTACGGCGAATACAGTTGGCAATACAAGAAGAACAACTTTATGCTGAATGCGGGGCAAGATTAAATAACTTCTATTTATCAAAGTTACTGTGTATTTTCCCTTCTCTTTTCGCAAAAAATCTCAACAAAGCACAAAATAACATCTACGGAAATCTCTTACCAGTTTTTAGCACTGAAGGTTCAGGGTGAAGGTTCCCGTCTTGAGAAGAAATAAAGCCACCAACTCCAGTTGCAGTTTTCAGCTGCAACGAAAATCCTTGTATTAGGTAATTTATTCAAGTTTGAAAGATTTGCCATCGCATTCGCACGGGTATTTTGCCGTTGGGGATAATGAAAAGAACAAGACGATTGTCATATTTTCTTCATCTTTATCCCCAAGTGGCAAACGTCCCGTGCGAATGTGATGTCAAGTCTAAAAACTTTGAATAAATTACCAAGTACAAGGGCTTTCAGTGCAGCTGAAAAATGGACGGTTAGAAGTACTGGAGTTGGTGGATTTACTTCTCCTCGCTGAACGGAATCCTGCGACGCTAAAAACTCTTGAGAGTTTTTCGTAGATAATATAATTTGCCTCTTTAAGATTGGTTTCGAAAAGAGAGGGACAAACAGAAAGTAAGTTTGATAAACAGAAATAATTTTCTCTTGCCCAGCATTCAGAATAAAGTTGTTCTTCTTGCATTACGAACTGTATTCGCTGTATGTTTCTGATTACTCAGTTTCTTGCAACTGAAGTTTTGGGCAAGAATACCCTTGCGGATAGGAGATAGTCCGCCGAGAGTTTCCCTCTATTCGTGCGTCAACTTTCACAAATGTATTAGCGTTGCATTTTAAGGTTAAATTTGACCAGCTATTTGTGCAGCGAGGTCTACGGTCACGATTAACTTCAAACTTGCAGATAAAAAACTAAAGAGCTCCGAGGCTTTTTTGCCGAAGTTAGAGAAAAATCCGTCCTAGGGTTTCGAAATTATTGACATTTTTTGTGAAAACGAGATTTTAAACATGTGCCGATATCTCAAACGCTTTCATACCTACAAGAAAATAAATGACATTTTCTTAAAGTTCGACCATTCTTTGTTTAGGATAGCAAACATCATGGAAATCGGTTAAATCATTCCTGCCGCAAAACGCGATTCAAAAACTGGCATAACCAACGCGCATATAAATAGGTTCAGGCCACCTTAAATCGAAGAATTTACACGTGCCCCGCCTCTTTTGGTGCCAGGAGTCTAAAAATGCGAAACAGACAACAATGATAAAAATGAATAAAGAGGTCGTACGGGTGTTAAGTGATCTTAGGTTTTACAAAGAGCTTAACATGATTGGAATCAGTCTGTGTATTTTTTTTAAAGAGGCCGTTTATAAATAAGTCTTCAGTATTAGTAACGGTCGCTGCAAACATGGCAAAAGATTCCCGGGAAAAGATTCCGCTTATTTTGTTGAAAGCCGAGACCAATTGCAAAATTCAAGTACTCAGTGAATTATATAGATAACTGCAATAGCTCGAGGAAGTGATCTCTCTATGAGAACGAGGTCATTACACTAGGGGAGGGGACCCACACATAAAAGGAGCGGGAATGACCGGAATGTACTTTATCTCGTTTAGGATTTTAGGATTTCCACGATGGAAGGACAATATTTCGATTCAAGAAGGTATTGCCTAGGACTGTTCAAGAAAAATGGGAAGGGCAAGGCCGAAAGGGAAAGAAAAAAAGAAAAAATACCCAATGACAACCTCTTTATCGCAACTAGAAATTACTACATCCCTTTAGGGCTGTCTGGTCTCAAATAGACTGCTCTTTTTCTTTAGATTTAGTGAGGGGAGTGCACACGCGCGCGAGCGTCGAGTGGCGAAGCCGCGAGTTTCGAGAAACGAGGGCGGCAGCCCGAGAAGAAAAAAGAGAGTCTCTCTTTTTTCGTGCCTCTCGTGTCTCGCGCCTTCAGTAAACCCGCGTGGTCATTTGCATGTCTCGCGCGTTTTGCTCGATGGACCAAGAAAAAAGAGAGACTGCTCGTAGTCTAGGTCTGGAACGGTATCTTAAGTTTTTTTCAGGAGCATCCCCGTCCCATGTATATGAATGACAGTCACCGCTCTCCTCGCCCGCCCGCAACCACTTCCGGCCTCATCGAGGTCAGTTTTCGCCGAGTAACCAATACCTCTTCCGTTACATTCTGGCTCTTGAATTCAGTGAGCAGTCAAGAAGATGGAGTATATATAATTTTAGAACAATTTATTTAAGATTACTCTTGGGTATTCAAACATTTGTTAGAAAAAAGCGATATTGTTCCTCGAGGTTGCTTTAAATAGCTTAACGTCACTTAAAATAGTAAACGGCTAGCCAACGTAACATACACCCGTTGATCTGAGGGGCCGGAACAATAGCTCACCTAAATCGCCTTAAGCCAATCCTACAAAGACCATATGACGCTGAATTAGTAAAGAAACAAGTCAGGCAATTCATATCTATGACTCATGATGTTTGGTAAATATTTCATCAACTATTATAAGAAGAGATTTCACTAACAGCAACTAAAATAGGTTACAGCCTTGAATTTATAACTTTCCTCAAATAACTTGGAGTGCTTTAAATAGCACAAGGTATTAGATTTAACAACCGGCTTTAAAATCTAACGTACTTAAGGAATGTTTCATTTAACTTCATCAAAGGTTGATCTTTGGTTTAAGAAGGTGCCATTTCGGTCCACCCGAATTAACGGAACAGTTATGTTTGCTTGTAATGTGTGAAATCTGATTGAGACCGTAAAAAATCTTTTGATCAGACAAGGGGATTAAAACAGATCTAGAAACATGTATGAAATGCATTTAGGAATTTCACTGTTTTGATAATCTATAACGATCACAAATAGTATAAGAAAAGAAATAGTACTGTTTCAGTTGCATTACTGTGCATGTGCTGTTGATATGTAGAATAAAGATATATTTTGATTTTGTTTTGAGCGTTAGAGCTACGCTGATTTGTGTGTTTTGAAAAATTTAGCCTAAATTTGTCACGTTGATCGTTTATTTATAACCTGAGTTTGGTCTCCTCCTCTTGAAACATCCCTGTAGTTTCCTATAATCTCTCTGCTAATTTACTAAACAAATATTTTGAAGTTCTCTTAAATTTCAGTTAAAGAAGGAGCTCCTGAATTGTTTTGCTTCAACAAAAGCAGGTTGAGTATTAAATAATGTATCATATATACCTGAAACGCGCAATGATGACAGAAATCTAATAATAAACAAGCAAAGAATATCGCCCTATTTATAGCTCAGTCACATTGCTTTCCTCTTTTTAACAGTTACATAAGAAACACATTTGATATCCATGATGCTGGAAACAGAACCTTACGACAGTGGAACCTCGATATGACGGAGGGCAAAGAGATTGGCAAAATGTTCGCTAAATAATAAAACGAAGTTTCGTTATATCAAGGTTCTTTTTCACATGTTTTGCTTTCACTAGGGTACAGAAACGCGTTCGTTACGCCGAGGACTTCGTTACATAGAGGTTCGTTATATCGATGTTCCACAACCTCGTCCCCAGGGCGCTTTTTCCTGGCTTTGGAAGTGGGGCGCGGAAAGCGCCCTGGGGACGAGGCTGGAGGTTCGATTCACCACACCCTTCAAAATTTCATGTTTCCCGCGTACTTTTTGGTAAAAACTTAGCTTGAAGCTAAGTCATTGTGTACAGTGTTCACTGTGAAGGAAGGTGAGCCAAAGAGCTGCCCAAATTTTGCACAGAGCAGAGAGCAAACCGCGCTGGAGATCTGTTTTAAATGATTTTTAAAAATGACGCCTTTTCATTGGCTTCAAAAAATTTCATTTTCCTCTCAAATTTTCATTACAAGAAGTTCAATTTAAGACCTGAAATTGAAGGTGAATGGGAAAAATGGTTCGTTAGCGTTCACTTTGGTAAAGAGGGTGTAACTGAACCAAAATTTGGTACACAGAAAAAAAATCGTGACGTAAAATGTCATTTCAATGGCCTCTTTTATCAGAAACGCAATTTTATCTAATCACACAAAAAGCATTCGCCACCGATTCACCAACTTCCTTTATTTTTAATTTTTGATCACGCGTCATATCACCTGACCCTGTTATACGTTCTGATAGACGAAGACCTCAATATTTTCATTCCATTAATACTTAAATAATAACAACCTCGAAAGAATTCTACCATATTCCTGGTTGAATTAAAATTTGGAAATTATGTTTTCTGAGGAGAGGGGAAAACTGGAGTACCCGGAGAAAAGATTCCTTTTTTGGAAAAGTCTTAGGACCTTTCCTGGATGAAAACGAAAAGTTGAAATAAGGTCCAGTAGCCACCGCTACGTAACAGACACGAATCATGAGGGTGATGAGGGATCCTGTTTTACGCCTGAAGATAACCCATTGCGACCAGTCTCGCTTTTGCTCCAAAATCTGTGGAGCGAAGCAAAAAAGAAGCACGATAGGTAAGCGGCAAGCACCCGCAAAACTCGAGGCCAGTAACAAACCACGGCTTCGATGCTTACCACTCGCATAAAACGTTGTTGCGTTCGCTTTTTTTGCTTCCTTCTGCGGCAGTTTTTAGACATGAAAAAGACAGATTGCAAGCAGTCTACTTCTTAGGGGACGCACGCAACAAACATCATATTAGACAGGCCATTTCCTTTTCCTTCTAAAGGAACGTAAAGACATCATACGTTTCTGGGTAACTGCACACCTACCCCTCCTCTAAGCCAGCATTAACACTTTCTTCTCACTTAGAAGCTCACTTAGGGCAAAATGTTGGCTTAGGGGAGGGGTAGGTGGGCAGTTTCCCAGGAACGTAAAATGATCCGGTAAAGATATCAGGAATTCCTTACTTACGATAAGCAAAACACGACACGAATAGTTAAAAAATTCACATATATATTTATTTAAAAACTTGCGATACAGAATCTAACAATCACACTTTGCCTTACGATTCACAAGACAGGCTGGCATTCATCACAATGGAAAATCGTAACCTACTATACCTTCCCATTTCTCATACAATGGAAGCAACTGTACTGTTTTGTTGCTGCAGAAAATATCACCAATTGAATAGTTAGTGAAACATTTCTAGTCAACCTGCTCTAAGTGTCTAGTACAGGATAGTGGTAATAAACCGGAAAACGAGTGATCGATGTCAAAGTCTGACTTGAAAATACCTTTATAACTGTTTTACCTGTTCAGTGAAAGCCCATATTTTACAACAACCACAGTATATTTTTAAGAACACATTAGTATAGTACAATGCATGGAACGTTAAGTACCTCCATCCGTTTTCACACTGGCAACCAATTTTTGCAGTTTGTCTTTGTATTTCTTGTCATTTCTTTATTTCGCGATTCCGAAAAAAATGTAACACAGTAGAAACCCGCGACTAAGAACCTGTCAGGATAATTAACCCCTCTATACAAGAACCTGTTTAGCCTAAAATTTGAAACAGGTCCTTATTTTCTAAAATCTAGTATATTGAAAAAATTCTGTACAACTGGGCAAATATGATAAGTCACTACTCAGGATCCTCTCTGCAGTTTTCCTATAAGGAATAAGCTGAACACCACTAAATGCTCTTAGCTACAATTTATTTTTTTCTTCAGAAAATAAGACCCTATATTTAAGAACCTAAATAGCCTAAATTTGTGCTAATTAACATTAACCCTTTCACTGCCAAATGGGGCCAAAGGCAAATTTCGACCAAAATTCCAAATTTCAATTTCTAAAATTTTGACAAACAAATAGCACCATGTGTAAGTGCAGGCAGAGAGCTTTCATTTGAATGGTCACATCACAGGATTTCGTCCGTAGACTCAAAAGTTAGAGTCGCCTTACAAAACTCCATCATCCTCTCTGGCAGTGAAAAGGTTAATGTAAGTAATGTAAGTACCTGTTGAGGCTAACTTAGGAAAATGCGGGTTAGTCGCGGGTTTTTACTGTATTTACTTAACCACATTAACACTTCCAAACTAATTAAGTCTCTACATCTGACTACGCATGCGATGCTTTGAAACAAAGTTACAAGTTATCACTATTTTTTTGCAGGTGTTTTTATTGCAAATTTGCCTTTAAATCATAAAAAAAATCCTTATTCACGAAATCGTGTAACTTTGTTCATTTGCATTGAAGGTCCTTTAAAATATGAAGATTTGTCAAAACGTGGGATGTTCTACAAGCACTACAAAAGGAAATGAAAAGATTTAAAATTTTTCTCATTTAGGTTAAGAAAATTTTAGGCATTGTTCTATTAAACAGCAATTTTTTCAAACGGCATGTAGCCAAGCATACAGTCCTCAGCAGCGATTTATTACGTGTTACTGTTTATTCAATGGAGAACACTGGACTAAAACATTGAATAACGACAGTCATCAAAAGTTTCAAGAAAAAAGTCCCAGTAATGGATGTAGTTCAAATCATCACTGACTATATATTGCCCAAATGATCCAGAATCTTAACACATTCAGCGTTCTCCTAAGTTTTACCCGTAAAAATGACAATCACAGTTTCTCCCGTTTTAGAAATGCAAGACAACGATGTAGTATGTTTTACAAAAGGTTAAGCAACTTTACGACTTCAAAAAGAGCATTAAAGAAGGATATTTCTATCAACTGTTCTCCCGAGATTTAAGTCTATCCAAAAATTCCTAACATTGAATTTCATGGCATAAGTCTAAAAAAATAATTTTTCCATTCCATTCATTTCATTATAAAGCCGGATCGTCTAAAATTTTGAAAAGAATTTTTGGATGGTTCTTAGAATGTTTTGAATGAGAAAGAAAATGGAGTTGTTATGTTTAAAAATTGCTCTGGAAAGGGAGGAAATTTGATGTTAGAAGGTAAATCAAAAGTAAATTTATTTACGCTTCATGTTCAATTCCTTTACGACTGATCAAATGTATTGAGATAGGCAAGAGTGTTACTTTGAGGGAACTCTGTTTGCTTCGACACAAAATAATAAAAAATTCATTATGGGATGAATCTGCCCAGCGCAATTTTAGTAGCAAATAATAAATAGACAAAGACAGGAGCTGAGCTCCTGAAAGAAGATCACTCAATCCGCTTCTACAGCAAGGTGCAAATAAAAATGTTAATCAAGAGAGAATGCTCGAGTTCTCTCTTGGTTATAATCTAATAGACTGAGTAGTTTATTTTTATACTCTTCTACCCAAATTTCTTTCATTCCCAATTGAATACCTCCTGACATGGTTTAAAAAGAGTTCCTCCGTTTTACAAATAACCAAAGAAACTACTAAAATAGTTACATAGTACTGTATAAAACAGCTATAGCTATAGCATAAGGCAAGACGAGGCGCTTTTCACGTCTACTGCGTTTGCTCTCTTTCCTTTTCTGTGTTGATATGCCCCTAGACCCACTAGTTATTCGTGCCTTTGGTCCTTGCAGCGCTGGTCTAACAGACAGTCTACATCTCAACAAACGACATTTACTCGTTTGAAAACGAAATATAAGATGTTCCTCATCATGTTATATTACAGCAAATATGACCGTAGAGCCCAACCTGTGGAGAAAATACCCACAAGTTCGGATCTACGGGATCGCATGAGCTGCTAGAATTTTAAATCACTTTTCCACTTCCTAGCCAAGTTACGATGACTCCCTGCCTGTTGGAAAAGAAATCACAAGTTCAAGAATTACTACTAAATTTGGATTTATAGTAACTTAGGTCAACTGCAAGTCAGACAAGTAAGGTCAGAGAAGCCTCAATTCAAAGATCTTTCCAAACTCTTGCCTCAGTAATGTTTCATTCAGGGTGAAGACATTTTCATTGCCCTAACTTTTTCTAAATACTGTCGGGTTTTAAAATTATTACTTGAATGCTAGCCTTACCCAGGAGTTCTAAGATAGTGGAAAGGCGCAAAGAGAAGCTAAGCAGAGTATCTGCACCCTTCGCCTTGAATAGGCTGCTAGAGTGTGAAAGAGGTTTTTGAAACCAAACGTAACCTACAATCATGGACAGAAGCTCTCCGGACAGTAATCCAGTATTAATATTTTTCTGTAATATCTGGGTTCCCTCATAAAACAGTACATCCTTTTTGAAATTTTCTTGTAGTTCTCCCTCCCCCCACCCTACACAAAGTTAAGTTATTAAAAATTATCGTACAATGTGCTAGAAAGACAAAGTGAGAATAACAAAGATAACCTCCTTCAGGTGAGTAAATGAGATATTGAGTGTGATACAAAATATTGTGATGTATCCTTCGGTAGTTGTTTAATACAGGTTTTTCCGGCCTTCGAATGTCCGCTCAATATTGGATTGCAATGAAGGTTTAGAATTTTTATAACGTTTGCCATTAAAACATATTTCTGGTTAAGGTACATTTTATTTTAGATTATTATATCATAGCTAATTCATAGTCTTTGCAGTTAGTAATTCACATTTTGAATTTTGTATTTAGCTTTTGCCCTAATTTTATCCGAAGAATATCTGTAAACTAGCCGTAATGGCTACGCATATTTAGACTATTTACCACGTAAAATAAAGTGTCCAGAGGGTTAAACTCCCTCGATAATCATGCTCGCTAAATTTACTTTAGAAAGTGAGTTGTTTCTCTTTTCTTTAAACTTCAGTTATTTGTAAAATTTAGAAAACGGGCGATGTTAATTCCGACCATAAAAGGCGTTCTTTTAAAAGGCCTTAAGCAGCTGGGTAAAGCTGTGGCACTAACCTTTTTAATTTGAGTGAATTATGGAAGCTATCAAAGCCATACTGAGAAAAGTTCTTTATTCGGGGCGTTATTTATGTACAGTGGAACGTCGATATAACGAACCTCTATATAACGAGGTCTTCGGTATAATGAAAGATTTTATTTACCCCAGAAATAGTAAAATATGTGGAAAAAAAACCTCGATATAACGAAACTTCGTCATAGCAAACAAATATTGCCAGTCCATTGGCACTTCGTTTAATATATCGAGGTTCCACTGTATTAAGCCGTGCATTTAAGTTCGAATATAAAAATGCACCCCTAGGTTTTACCATGTTTCATATCGAAATTAAGCAGACTAATGTGTTGTTTTCTTTGGCAATTCGAGTTTGTACTTCTATTGATAAGACCATAAACTTGAAGTCACCAAGATCAACTTCTTTTGTTGAAAAATGAATGCTTCCGTGTCAAACTATTAAACCGAGATAAGGCGTGCCGTCGCTTAATTAAGACCAACTAAAAATATCCACAGTGTTTTAACCGACTTTTCAATACAAAAATACTGACAAATTTTCGAAACTTTAATTCTGCAAAAGGAATGAAAAACGAGCAAAAGCTTGAAATTTTTCTTTACATATGCACGTAGCATTTGAAAACCGATTTTACTGACTCGGATATGATCCACAGTAGGCCACGATGATGGCAACTTGTCGAGTATCTCATGCAAAGGTTCAGCTATCAATTCGGGAAACGGTTTCAACGAAACAAACCTATTTAAGGACAAATTTTTCCTATTAGAAAAACTTCATATACATTGCTCGACCTTGACGAAAAATCCCCAATCAACAACGGGAAAAGGGCGGTTTTAACCTTTGTGAAACAACAGCTCATTGAATTGAACGATGTGAAAGTGCGCAGACTTGAGCAAACGATATAAAGAAAAATTAAACATGGTTCATATACAACACAAATTATAACTAACCTCGGCTTACAATGTGCTCAGAGCAGCAGCCTTTGGATATTACTGCCTCTAAATCGAGTCTGAGAAGCGAAAAAGTTAACAGGCGTGCAATTGAGCACACCTTTTTTGGTAAAAGTATCAAGGAAGCATTATATGTCATGTAATATGGGTGTAGTTTGCAGACTGGAGACCCGACTAGAGAAAAAATGTTTTCACGCATTAACTAATACAGGCTGATGGAAAATTCATTATAGGTTCATGTGAATACGGTTAGACTAGGGTTTTTGTCATAAACAAACGAAGTTTAGTGACGTTTTTAGTAACTACAACCGAGATTTTGACAATAGCTAAGGTTCAAAGGTTGTCAAACTTATACTACTACGAACGCTCCCAACGAAAGAAAGAGTAGACCTGAAAATATTAGGAACATACAACATCACTTTACTTATTCGGGGCGAAATAATAGAATAATACTTTTCAGTATCATTTGAAAGCTTGCATCTAGTGCACCGGAATCGCCGAGCTCTCATAGAGGCCTTTAAAATTAATCCACATGTATTCAGCATTACAATGGCTCCTCTTTTTCTGAAAAAGACCATTAGCACCGAGGTAACCAATGAAATGATCTAGCCTACCTTCCTTCGTCCTCTAAGATTTCTTTTAATTTAGTTTGTACGCTTATTAGTTCTATCTAGGATAACAGCAACAAAATTTTATAAATCATAGGGTTTGTGGGTATAGTCAATTAAACTAGCTTATCCCATGAACGTTATCTGTGAGACTGAACGAAACCTCTTGCTTCCCTTCACTTCATTCTTGTATTCCAAAACTATAACAATTTACCCTCTTTGGAAAGAGTAGAAACATGCGCATTAAAATAAGAGATATTTAAAAATCGAAAGAAACTACTTGATCAGTTTTTACACTGCTAGCAAAGAAACACCGCCGAGACGGAACACATTGTTTGAGGCTTTGGGGAATCTTGCTCTTATGACCGAACTCTCTTGTATTCTTGTCACGATATTCAATCTAAAAGTTTTTCATTTGAAAAAAACGATTTATTTAACCTTTTCCTGTTACGATTCCTTTAGTCTCACACCTGAAATGATGCTGCTGAGCAAGGCAATTTTAACCCATGTAACCGTGGTCTTGCAGTTCCATACTTGAAAGAACCTTCATTGAACGGCGTAGTATTCCAAGCGTCAGACAAATAGTACTTTCACCTTGTCGTGTATTTAGCAAGCTGGACCTCCAGCACATATGAACGCTCAAATTTGACTATATACAGTAGCTACAAAGCTCTGCTCTTTACGCCAGAAGTAATACAAGGTGCCATTCTTGATCTCTTTTGCGTGCGGGATCGAGAGACTCGGTTTTTGCACTCAAGTGTAGCTTTCATCCCGGTTAACTATTCCGCAATGATGAAATTTTTTGGACGAAGGAAAAGCGGAAAAAATAATGATTGAGAAACCGCAAAATGCCAGAAATTAGGCTAGACAGTGACTTGAATGTTGTCCGTTTTCTTTTTTACTGAGATTTGATCTTAAATTCTCTGGGCAAATATCACACGGCCATATTAGCGCGGAACTAACCTTAACTGACGGCGAAAACCGGCATAATGGTCAACCAAGAGTCTGTTAAATTTTCCTTAGCTCCTTTTTAAAGGCAGGAAATTACCATCCTATGAATTGAAATACTACTAAACAGCCTGTTTAAAAGCGTGACATATCGTTTGTCTTTACGCGGACAGCGAAAGACAATAGCAAGCGTGTGGTCCGAAGACGGAGAGGGAATATTGACACATCCCCAACGAAACTGCTTTCCAAAAAATTCATTTGATAACAGCTTTGAAGTCCTTTCGATATATTCAAACGCTAAAACTACCTTATACATCGCATAAACAACCTTAGAAGAACGAAGCTTTGCTGAGTACATGTAGGTGTCGCTTTGTTTTCCAAAGAGGTTTTCCGGCGTTCAATATTTGCGACTGCGGGTCGTAGTATCCTATACAGCACAACAAACAATATGAAAAGAGATTGTTTTGTAAAATTCCTTTGCCGAAATGGTCACATTTTGGTATTTCTTATTTATAAATTCCACAGCAAGTTTGAAGTGCTTAAAATAATTATGTAGGAAAAATTGTAACATTCACCTTTTTAGCTTGGAACACAACATATACATAACTTGGAAGAAACTTACCAGCAGGGAGAGTGGGTCTTTCAAAGAAAAAAATTGATCAAAACATTTCCCATTCTCTACGAAGAGCAGAAAAACAGGAAAGAAATGGTATTTTCATTCTGACCTACCTCCCTCCTATGTTCCAAAAATTTATATGTAAAGTACTTCTCTTTAACTAACTCAGTTGAAATCGAGTGAGTCATCAGGCACGATACTTGCAACTCTTTTACCTCAATCATGTTAGTAAAATATACAATATGGTTCTGCTGATCAATGGAAGTATTTCCAACTTTGCTGGTCCCGAAAGGAATGAGACATACAATTTCGGTATGCTTATTGATATTCAGTAGAAGTTGTGCCAAGAGCACACAATGAATCAAAGTTTCTGGTTGATCTCTTTCGTCTGGTCTTCCAAGACCAGTTTTCCGGCTGTAGCAACTTATTGCTAATAGATAAACTATTAAAGTAACGTTCTTTATAAAACCCAGCCTTTGATTTGTAAGAAGAGGAGAAGAAACTAAGAGGAAGACTTAGTTCTATTCTAGAATCCAGAACCATTTGCATGACACGCTACTTTTCTCCATAAAATCAAAATTAATAGACCATTCCTTGCTTTCAATTCAGGGAAAAGCTTTGCTTGTAGATATTTTCTGAAACCCTTCCTTCTCCTTCTTCTTCTTTTTTGCTTAGAAATGAACGAAACAATTGTGCAAACTGCATTGTGTTCAAGTTATTAAAAGATTCAAGAGTTGCTCTTGAACTCACGTTTATGATCACTAAAGGTTGTGACAAGAGCACACCTCCCGACAAACAAAAGTTGATCGCCTTTGATCTTTTTCGTCTGATCTTCACAAGGCCAGTTTCTTATAGCGAGAGAACGTTTTGCTTATAGACAAACAACTAAAATAGTCCGTTTTATAAGAGCTTTGGTTTATTACAAAAACTGAGAAGAAAAACGAGATCCCTCAATAACTAATTATTTGAATTCTTGACTTAAGTTCTAGCTATTTGTCTTACATTTGGCAACCTTTCCTCCATAAAATTACGAATTCTTATCCTTGCTTTCAATGCAAAAGGAAGCTTTGCTTGTAAAAGTTTTTTGAAGGCCTTTTTTTTTCCTTTTATTTTGTTCTCAAAACATGAATAACTGTACAACTTAAACTTGTTGTGTTCCAGCCACAAGGAGATCGAGGGTTCCTTTTGATCTCGCCTTGTTATATTTGAGTGCTGGTATCTCAAAACTGTTAATTCTTACTCTGTAGAAATATATAGTAAAATGATTACTAAGATCTCACAGATACGATTCAAAGAACCGCAAAACTTCTTTTATGGAAAACGAAGTAACGAAGTGTGTGTTTTACCTGTAAAATGTACTGAAAAGGCGAGGCACAATTTCCGAAAGTAAACACACAGCAAAGAAAGCCCAGTCATGAAACTCTTTCTTTATCATTTGAATTTTTCCTTAAGAGAGGAAATCCGAATTTGAACAGCCTTTTTATCTCTTAAATGTCTCCTCCAAAATGAACTTAAAGATGTTATAGCAAGTTGCAGTTAAAATTGTGCAGCTGCTCATTGCATGTTCAAATAGTGGAATCAGAAGATCGAGCCATCAAACTGTTGTGTGCTTACAGAATGAAATATCTATCTCTCTTTTTTTATACAAAAGGCATTTTAGTTCATTTCTTAGCAAGTGCCAAAACCTCAGTTGGTGATTAAAGAGCGTGGAACATTTATATATAGGTCTATAGTGATAACTCCAGACTAGTGAACTATTCTGCTGAGTGAACTACATCATTCTGACCTTCCTTCAGAGTGCACAGTACATTTTGATCGAGAAGGTATTTATCGCCTTACATTTCTTCCATACAGTCATCTTAAAAGTCAGCCTAACAACGTAGACGAAAAATCAACAAGCTGGAAAGATTAAAAAACTTTGCAGAAAACGACGTGGTTTTACTTTCAAAGCACGTGTTTGAATGATCAAAATTATTCTTCGTCTAGTGTTTGCGTTGATTCAGTACTGATCTCTAGTCCTATTATACCAACTTGTTTCAACCTCAAGCTTTCAGAACAAAATGCGTGATTTTAAATAATAAAATAAAACTTAATAATTATATCGGTAAATGCCTATTTTTCCTACACTTCTGAATCGATTGGAAAGGCATACCTATATAAAAGACTTGTTTACAGCCTCCGAAGAGATTCTTAGCACTGAGCCGGACGCCTTTGAGTATTGTTCTTGTTGAAAGATTATAGTACAAAGCGAATGATCGTTATTGTTTTTTCAGTATTGCTTAAGCTATGTTTTTTAGAATCTTAACACAGTTTTTGCTAAAACATTGGTTTATTGAAAAGCCTTCATTCCTTCGACTGAAACATATCTCTTCGAAGGAGTTATCCATCTTTTTAGTCTGAGAATTGAGATCCTCTCCGGTCTGAACATCTCTTAAGCAGCGCTATCGTGCACCGCTGATAGTTTTTCCCTCTGTAAAAGTCTTTAATTCTTTTTTAAATTCTCTTCTTCATCTCTGAAAGGACAAGAAGCTAAAACGTTTTCGCCAAAAGAATACAAACAAGAGTTGAATATTCAATATATTACAATTACTGACGAAGCGGGCTTTCTTTACCATCTGGTCTGTCTGCACTGATGAAATTCTGTCGTAAAATTTGATTAAACATTTTGATAAAAATCTTCCTGCTGTATCCGACAGTAAGTGATTTTTATACCAGGCTTTTTTAGTTTTCTTGCTACACACAATCGAAATAGAAGCAAGACCTTAATCGCTTGCGTGTCGCGTGTGAAACTAACTCCAGACGAACTATAAACACAATCATGCAGTTAGGGTTTCAAACCATGCAGCTAATGTAAAAAGCTTTTACATACGGCTAAATGTAAGCAGTACTCTTGAAACCCAATTCTTGAATAAAACTTATTTACGTAAAAGTGAAGGTACTGTAACTTCAAACAGCAACCTTGCACACCCATGATTCGAGAAACACTTTGGCAGGAAAATTGTTACGGTATGTAATTTCATGGCTTAATCCGAGGTTACCTGAATTCTTGAATTCTCACAGAAGTGTAAAAAAAGTGGCTAACTTGGATGAACTTTGACGAATGATAAAAAAGCTTTTCGCGTACGTTTTTACACGTGTAATGTTCACATGCTACGTGCCAAGTGAGTGCCTCAGTTCATCAGGAAAGTACACTGTGCAAACAGAACCCGACACAAGCTCTATTAGGTGGTGTCATATCGATTCAAATAATTCTATGCTTTTTAAAGCTTTCAGAGAGATTTTTACACTAAAAAGCGAAAACAAGGTGATTATATTATCAAGCTGGGCACCAAATACCTCAAACGTGTGTGCGGCAATGTCGACTTCTCCTAGTTCTGGCCTTAAATAATGTAGCTGCGTTATTTGTGACCGCGCTCTTATATCTAACCGACCATCCCGGCCCACGTGTCGCGTGAGCTCCTAGTTCCGGACCGTTGAACTCAAACCAGAATGGGAAAACAAATTAAAACGAACACTTCCGACTTGTACGTTTAAGAGATGGTTGTAAATAGCTTGAATATGAATGGAAAACGCATCCTTTAGAGTTGAAGGATCGCGGACAATTGAACTGGCAAATTTTAGTAACAAAAAGTTCGCTAACAAGGTTCAAAGTTCGCCAGCTAATAAATATTAAAATGAAGAGGAATTAATTAAAAAATACTTCCCTTGCATCCAAAGCTAGAAAAAGTGTTTAGGACCGAACGAAACAATAAACAGTCACTTTAAGGTTTTAACCCTGGCCCTGTGAACTCTAAAATCTAAAAGACAACCTTAAAAATCTTTTTATTTCGCTAGGAGATAAGTTATTTTTCAGCTAGGCTTTTGTCATGCCACTTCCCTATTGCAAATGTTTTAGGCTATTGTCTTAACCGTATTTAAGCACATTTTTCTGATAGCTCCTTTCAGTAAATCAACCTTCAATGTTGTTAAAAGAGTTTTTTACTTGAATTAGCATTTGATGTGTATAATATCATATAAATGAAGATACATCGTCATTAGTTATAAGATAACTACTATTATGATTACAATCACTTCTCCTATACTCTTCTGCTCAGAGGGTAGAGAACACAAAATCTCAGTTTTGAAACTTATCAAGGCAGATTAGCCTTTAATTGTGTTGGATATTCATACGAAGCACACAAGACTTCAATTTACCTGCTTTAAAAGACTGGCACAATGAATCGATTCTTTGTTTGGTTGCTTTTTATCAAATGTAATTTTTAGCCATTATGGTGGTGTATATAAGTGGAAGAAAAACTTGACAGTAGAGAAATTGTAATTATCTCAGAGATGGTATCTTTCTGACCTGATCGATTTCGTCTCTGGTTTTGATAATTTTGTGATATTTTACTTTCTCAAGAGACGAAATGATGGTAGTTATCAAAAAAAAAACTTCCGATGATTTGCAAAATATCTCACAACTTTCTAGGTAGTGACCTAAATTTTAAACTGTTTTCTTACTTAATATCGCAGCATCTTGTTTAAAATTTTAAAAGACCATTAAATCCTCTTCAGAACACTTTAAATACGTCCTATTATATTCTTTCAATTCTAGTATTCACAATCCAGTTCATTGGTGGACTGAGAGTACTCTGTATTTCTTTAAGGCTATTTGATTATAGTTGCGAAAAATTCATCTTCTTATTCTCCTGAGAGCCTTCGGAGTTCCTATTCTTCTTGAATAATTTGCTATGGAGAAAGAGATTAAAAATAAATGGTCCGGCAGAAAGATGTTATTTGAAACAATTCAAGTATTACGTCGATTATAAAGATTTCATTTTCAGAGGTTTTATGCTAGCACTCCGATCCCTGCTTGCAGAACGTGTCTCCTTTTCCATGATGTATTAGACAAGTAGACAATACACGAATAGTACATAACGCAAAGAGGACCCTACTTTGTTAGTACCGAGAACGTGTACAGCATTAAAGACCTCACAGCTGGGAAGAAAAGCTTTGCAAATTCACAATCAAGGCTTTCGACCAGAAATACAATTGTTAGAAACACCTTGACAGCAGAACAAAATTGAATGACACAGGAATTAACTGCTCAGTAAAAGAAAATCACATTCACTCACCACAATAAAAGCTAAAGAGTTCTGATGTACAAACTGTATCAAATGTTAACAGTTTACTCACAGCAGAAACAGGGAAAAAAAAAGATTTGATGAGTCTTGAAAGGAGAGCAGAAAAGTAATCTTGTTTGCATAGTAAATGAAACGCTCTTGGCTAAACAGGTAGACAGTTTCTGATCATCCAAGTGTTGTGTGTCAATAAAATTACATTTCACCTTTCTGTCTGCAAGAATTGATATGGTGGAAGGTTAAAGCCAAAGTCTGATGCTAAATTATCATGAACATGCAAACCCTATCCTGATAGATTTGTCCGAAAAGCAAACTGTACAGTGTGGACAAAAGGGAAATAAAATTAAATATTTTCTGTTGATCCCCTTTGCCGAGTCACGTATTACCTAGTGGAAGCATGAAAAAATTTGCAAAAATACTTTAACTTTACGTTTGGTCAAGAAAATAACTCTGGTGCTTAATTAATTAAGTTAACCAACTACACAACGTGTTCGAACTGAGGATTGACAAAAAAAATCGCTATCGTAATTTTGTCACTGCATTTGCATATAGTCTGCTCTTTTCCTACAGTTTTAGTTTTTGAACTTTACCTAGATAGATGTACTATACTGAAACATGTTTTGGAACGATTTAGAATAAAGTTTGAACCGAGGATAGCTCGGCTTGAATCAAAGTTTAATTCACAAGCAAAGCGTGTCAAGTGCACCTGCAAATTTTTGCCCTATTTTTATATTTTTGTATTGCAATCGATAATGTCATGTTCTGAAGCAAAAGATCACAAAAATATAAACATTCTATTAAATTTTGTGCTTTCTACGTTTGGTTTCTCTGACGATCATTTGTTAACTAACTAGCATCATTCTAAAAAATGCACAAAATCGATCTCACAGCTACAATCTTTTCCTCATCTATAAGAACTAATGCCTTAAGTACTATTTGTACTGGCGGCCTATTCTAACCCTCGCTTCTAGCTCTCCAAGAGAATAGCCATTTTGTGCTTAATCCGCCACATAAAGATGTTTATTTGACTTATTGAGGTAGCAGGCGAGCGGAGAAATAACCTCATGTTCAAGATGAAAAGGTGTTTACAAGGATTAAAATAAATCTTTCACATTTTATCTCCCCTAGAATCATGTGCTTGTATTTCTAAATGGTTTTGATCTGTAGTAAAATGATTACTTAAGGCTAAGAAACGCATAGTAACCTTAGAATCTTTTCGCTTTTTTATCCGAACGTAGCTTTGGTAGTCGACTTTTTTCAATGAGTTGAGAAGGCATCCCGGGCCCATAAAATAAAAGGATGACGACCATACATCACAAGCTACACTCTCTATTCCTTTTTCAAGATGCAAAGAATAATTTGCTCCCTTTTATAAAAAAAATAGTAATTCAGTCCTTTTGCATAAGGCTTCCTGTATGTTCTTAGAGCTTGATGACCAAGAATTGTTGTCCTTGTAATGATAAGTGTTCAGATATAAATCACCCCCAGAAATATAATTCATTAACCATTAAACAACAATAATTTTCCATTTGGAGTTTCTTAAGCGCACGATTATTTTTAGATATAACAATTTGATGAAGAACAAGAATCCTTAGTCAAGAAAAAAAATAGTTTTTTCTTGCTTACAGTTCTGCTCAAGTTCAAACTGAAAAATGTAACTACGTTTGTATTCAGTATTCTTGAGGTGTGTCTAGAAGCTTTCTAGTCGAGAAGAGATTATTATAGTTACCTCGAGATTTTGCTTCAAAATCATCTTTAAAGTTAGTATTAATTCAAAGACTCGGAAAATGGAGGGCGGAAATAAATAAGAACTTAAAAATGTGTCGTTTAACTTCCCAAACAGTACTCGTGTTGGGGCCAGCATTAGGATAGTTCTTCTTAGTCGATAGAACATGTCTTCCCCAAACCTGATAACTAGGTCTGGAGCTATGCAATAAAACTTCGTTCTTTAACTCAAAATTGCCTAAAGAAGTTAAATTTTGGTATAGACTTGAATAAACTCGATATTCTGCACGAACCGATAAAAACTTTAAGACTGTGTTCGAAGTTACTCGACAGTCTGGTTGCTAAACGCTTAGGTGTATGTGCTAGACATTAAATTAAAGTTCTTCTTGTCCAAGAAGTTGTGGTCATCTCATTCGATTCTTTTGTAAGGGAAGAAATGTGGAACCTTTACGTGTTTTGATGAAGAAAAAAACTGTGTGAGTTTTCAAAGAAATGGTTTACCCCTTAGCAAAGGTATGGGCTTGTAATTTCTGGCCTGTGATGGAAGCCCCATAGGGAGACTAGTAAGTGAATAGCAATTCATCTCTTTTCTGATGTAACTGTTAGAATTGTAGGTATTTTTCCTTTATTTATATTTCTATTTTGTTCATATTCTTTACTCCTGAAAAGAAGTAGGATATCAACTCTTTAAAACAAGAAATAAAGTAAAAAATTCTATGCTAATTGATCGAGGTTGAGTTTATTGATCATGCCTTGAAAGTACAAGAGACTTTTAATGAAAATTTGAAGTAATGTCTTCACTAAAACATGAAATATTTTCGATTTATTGAGCCAACTATTTGGTTCCATCATTCTCTCTTGGTTCCATAAAATCGAAGCACAAGGAAATCATATCGTGACTTATTAGCGCGTCGCGTGTCTTATAAAACCAGACAAATTGTAAACACAATCACAGTACATCGTGTAAAGGCTTTTCCATGCATAAAAGTGAAAGCCCAACTTTAACTATCAAGCTTTCCCCGTTCTTATATTTCTGTTAAATAACTGAAACTTAACGTTTTATGGTAAAAATCGTGCTTATGCAGCGATGAATTTGACGAGCACTCAGCTATTTAAGAAGAAACACACACACTCAGTATCCCAGCCTGCCGGGTTATAAGGCTGTAGTAAGTACCAAACGAACTTCGATTTTAACTTCTCAATGTGTTGGAAAATCGGCCAGCTAAGATGAACTTTGCAGTTTACCGTGCTGACAAACACGTGTAATCTTCGCATGCCACAATCGCTGTGGTTTTGACCGTGAAAAGAGAATGCAGAAACAGAACGCGACAGAAAATATATTAACAGGTTTCTTGTGGGTTCAGATTGGATTCTACCTTGAGACAAAGTTCCTTATACAGTTTTTGGTGAAATTCTTGCCCCCAAAAGGCCGACAGAGTTAACGTAATAAGGAAAAGAAGCGTTAGTTACCTGAAAAGCGTGTTCTGCTATGTGCACTTCCCTAAAGCTAAAATTAACGTAACGGCCGTCTTCGTATGTGACCACTCTTTTAATCAGACACAAACCCCGCCCCACGTGGGGCAAAGACGAGACGAAAGTTCCCGGCTGTAAAACTCAACAAAGAGTCGAAATCATGATTGCCTAAATTAACAAGAATTTCCGTTCAATTCGTCAAAAAAACGATACAAAAAACAACTTGATCTGCGATGGAAAACTAATTGACATTATTAAAAGCCCTCGGGAAATGAAACGCGAAGTAACAAGTCGTTGGGTCTCCACAAGGTACAATAGTTTGCTAGCTGTTTTGAGAGCCTACAAACAAAAGAAATCTGTTAAAAATAGGTCATTTTGCAGTGGTGGTAAGGCAGGCCTCTCAGGAACAGATTTTGGGGCAAGAAATCAATGACCTTATTCTCCTGTGAAGTGTTTGAGAGAGCTGTGATTTTTCAAAGGCTTATGCTAAACTGTGTAGTACTCACATAGATTATGTCTAAATTACAATTCGATTTTGTCTGATCTTATTGCTTAATGCAGATATTCTGAAAGTCTGGTGATTTTGTAGCCCTGCTTCAGCTGAAAAAACCCCTCCCTGATATATAGTAAATGATTTTAAATTGACAAGAAATAACAGATGCAATGAGAAAATTTAAAAAGGTAAAAAAAATCTTTCTTCTGAGGGCTTAAGACTAATGTCTTTTAACTGTGGTCTCTTCAATAATTACAGTTTCCTTGTTATATAAAACATACCTTGCAGCTCTCTGATAAAATAATCTTTAATGTAGCCTTGTGCTAAACTGAAACTTGCTTTAACAAATTTAGAAAATCGTGTATTGAAGCTTTTGATTGAAGCTCTAAGGGTTGATAAATTGTTATCTCTGCCCTAGCCAAGAAGCTGCCATTAGTCTGTTCTAATCAATGCATCCAAAAAAATCTTTGGGATCTAGTTATGTGAGATACTCATACTAATTCATAGGACTAAATCATACAAGAGATCCATGTAACTTTTGCAAAGCCAAGCTGGTAAAAGTAACAATAGATTGGCGTCATTTTGTGAAATAGCTCGCTGGCGATTTATCTGAGGCAAAACTCTTTTGTGTCTTTTCTTTTTTAGAAATACATGTCACATAAGCTAATTGCTTTATGCAGTAGAAAAGTCAAACCTAGATTTAAATAGGTGATATTCTGGGTGCCCATCGACAGTTCCTGCCGTTAGGCAGAGCTGAATGATCGTGATGTTGAATACAGAAAGAAACTTTTGCATAAAAGCTAGACAGGCCGAGACACAACAACAAGGTACCCTTCCGAGAGTATCACGGCAGATTCATGGAGAATTCGTGGCATATTGTCAATGTAAAGGTGACGAAAAACGGTATGAAAAAAAACTGTCTTCCTTTAGCTTTCAGAAAAAACCGAGTGGGTCGATAGTTACAATAAGGTCTTACGAAGAATGACTCATCGCCGCGTGCTTTGCCAGACGTTCATTTTGGGTTATGCAAATACTAAACCGTCTTACAGCAACAAACGCTGCAGAGAGCCTGAGTAATGCGATTGAAGAAAAGAGTTATGACACTCACCTAATTGTTCTCCAAGTCTCAACAACTGAAGGTATATATAACTCCTGTTTAGAGCGGTGGAAAGTCCAAGCACGCCATCGCGTGCTTGTCGAGTCATCATCTCCGCACCGGTTCTCTATCGGCTGGTCGTGTCGGCCGTATTGTTTATCTACAGCAGACACAAAAGTGCATTAGTTCATAAGTTTGAAAAAAGGAGATGTAGTGAGAAAACACGTATGTCTTAGTTTGAGATGGTAACGACAAAAAAAGCTGTTGACCTCGTAAGAACTGTCAGTAGGAGATCGAGAGAGGGAGACGGAAGGAGACGATGAAGACACGCAAAATGACTTCGTTAGCTAATTGTGTCGTGGGTTAAGACTTGATTAGTCAAGCCCAAAATTTCTGCCAAATAGATGGCATCCAGCTCTTCCAGCCTTCTTTGCCTCCAATTTAGAACAGCAACACTAAGATAAAGCCAACTTGTTTAGGACCTGAGCAACAATGAGATCACCACATTGGCAGAACACTGAACAGAGTTGTGTCATGCACAATCTTTCATGTTAAGTGGCAAATTGTAGCAGAGCAAGTGATTCCAGATGTGACAAGAGCTCTCTTGTAACATTGGTAACTCATTTTCCAATGTTTGGCGTACAAAAGGATACAGAGGTTGAATACAAAGGTGTCTTCTAGCTTGGTACTCAGGCAGATAAGAGAAGGCTGACCAGACTTGATCGTGTTCTATTTCAGCGCATGCGACCGGAGCCCCTTTGCCAGTGGGTCAAAATCACATTGATTAACACATCAAAGAATAAAGATTGAAAAGACCTTACTAATGCATACCAGTTAATGAAAATTATGATCAATTATCTTCAATGCTTTTAGCTTCGAGCTTGTTTAGATTTAAAATCCGGTCCACCGAAAACTTGATCGATATGCAATCAGTTTCCTTGTTTACGCACGTGCAGTAAATTGGTTTTCTCGTCCAAGTTGTACATTTCAGTGGTGAGTTATCACGCTAACGTAAAGCAAAACCTTTTCAAGTATTGGCCGACAAGCTGTTTTCCACTACAGAGAGAAAAGACAACTTAGTATGACGTTTTGCTTAAGCAAGGGAAAATTCGGAACATTCGACCATTGCGTCTGGATGAAAAAACTCTGTCGTAACTTGAAAGCGGAAAAAAAGAAAAATCAACCGAGTTGCTTTACCTTGCTGGTTGAGTATTCGTCTTTCTCCTAGTTTTATCCTGTTACAGCATAGCCTCTTACCTGTCGTACGAAAAAATCTTACTCATCACGTAACAACAGCCTTGGGCTATATCAGCCGTTGGAAATGACACTGTCTGTGTAGGCTGGAAATTATGCAAATTTTAAGTAAATAAGTAATTCAAATATTTCGGGCCAATTACTTCTATGCTGTTGCCTTTAGCGTGAGTTGAGAACGCGCTTCTTCCATATGGAGGCTGCTTGAAAATTCTCAGGTAAAATGATCGAAGTACCTGGTGAAACTACAGACGGTCAGGGATAGCTATTCAGACGGTGAAATCCGATAGTTCATATGGTGTCCAACATTATTTACACGAGACGTCACGGCGAAATTCAAGAGTGCAGCTAAACAGAAATTGATAAAAATGAAGAACAAAGCGAGCTTCTTTAGCTGCTCAGACTCATTGTGTCTGAAAGATCCAAACCTATAACCTCTGGCTCTGATAATTGTATTACGCACGGCGCCATTATCTAATCCATTTCTGCTAAGAGATATTACAGACCGGTCTGGTAAAAGCCGGTCTTTTCAAGCACATGTCAGAGCTAAGAAATCGTGACGCATATCTGTGAAACAAAATGATTTCCGGTCCAAGATTGCTTAAGTACAAGCGTGAGGAAGACGCGATGCCCGCTACCACTTAGCGTTTTCCTAGCAAGAAAGAACCGTTCTTTCGAAGTCTCGCCATGTAAAATGAGACTGTAATTGTTTGATGGGGTTGATTCCATTTAAAGATAACACGTTTTGGGTTTCTTGGAGGTTTAATTACTAGTTTTCTCTCTATATAAAGAAATTCTACGCGTATTTGCTTTTCGTGACATCTACGTAATATGAGATCAACATAGCGTGAATAATAACAATCTTAAATCACGCTCCTTACGTCATGTCACGCCATTTTATGTAAAAGTTATTGTACCGCGACACTTAATTTCGACGTTGAGTTATACAGTACCAAAACAATCTTCAGCCCTCGTAAAAGGCGTAGACAGGGAGGGGTGAAGGAGGGTACAAATGACCCGCGTTTACTCAATCGTGCTGTGACCAGCAGACTGTTGCAAGTGGTATCGCCAAAAAAAACACGTCTTGCCGCTTTTCATGGATAATAGACTCCTGATCCTGTGTTTTCCTGATCTGAAGCTTTGGCTATTTAAGACCAATCGCCAGTCATTATTATTTTTTGTTTTTTAAATACAGGCAAATTATTGTATCAATTTTGATTTACCATAACACTTAGAGTAACAAGTCATAAACTCTTCTATACCCTAAAATGAATTACACTGGGATCTCGGCAAGCTTTCTTGAGCTTTACTGGGGAGATTCCCTAAATGTACTTAACTATTACAGATAGCAGATGGGTTTTTAACACATTAAGTAATTAATGGGTAACTGAGAACTAACTACTAACAGTAATAAACTTGATCTCTCCGGCTGAACATAACCTTTAATTAGTTTTTTAAAAGAATTATACGATTTTATTTTCTTAAGTGGTGGGCGTAACATTAGGTAGTCTAACTCGCAAACAGGCGTTTCTTCTTTTTTTTCGGGGAAGGCGCGAAAGTCGGCGAATGGGGAAAGGGAATTCGAAGAAGGACCCGTCTGATCGCAGGTTATAGGTGGTCAGAAAATCTTCGGAAACCACTTGATTTTAGAAAGAGTAATGGGGTTTAATCAAAGACCAATCATTAGTTTCCGACTCTACAAGGAGGTGGTAGGGTTGTCGGAAAATCTTGGGGGAGCCACTTGAATTAAGGAAAACCGAAATGAGGGTATGCTAAAAGACCAATCATTATTTCCGTTCCTTTGGGGTGGGGGTCAGAGGGTCGGAGGATTTGGGGGGTATCCACTTGACTTTAGAAAGAGTTAAATAGGTTTTATTTTCTCACGTAGAACAGAGTGAAGGGGGAATATGAAATTAATCCAGCGATTTTCCCTAATATTCATTCATTTATATATCTTCTTCTTCTTCTTCATAAATAACAATAATAATAATAATAATAGTAATAATAATAATAATAATAATAATAATGATGATAATAATCAGACCTGCCGTCTAAATAGCTTACAAGAGATCCAGCACCACTCGACTGTCTGTCGGCTCCGGAGCCGTCATAGTATTCTCTTCCAGTGTAGCTAAGGCCCTGGAAAAGGTTCATTTTGTTAGCCGAAATATTGGCTTTTAATAAATCAGCCTTTTGCCGATGCATTCAGTTTTGTTTTAATTCCCACTTCAAGTGACGTTTGGCATTAGCATCTCTAAGTTAGAGATCCGGCAAAAAAAAAAAAAAAAAGTGGTTTTTTTTACACCTTGATGTGACCCTTTTTTTATATAAATAATATTGCCCAAGTTTCTTAGGAATTTTTAAACTTTACCACACAACACCCCACCACCACTCCTCCAATGACACCTTAAAAACTATCATGGCATTAGCATCTCTAAGTTAGAGATCCGGCAAAAAAAAAAAAAAAAAGTTGGTTTTATTTACACGTTGAGTGGACCTCTTTACTATGTAATGCATGTTGCCCTAGTTACTATGGATCTTTACACGTTTCTGGGAAACTGCCCACCTACCCCTCCCATAAGCAAACATTAACAATTACTTCTCACTTAGGGCAAAATGTAATGATCAGTTTCTAGTTTATCAGCCATACACAGCACTCCACGGCCCAAGCCGCCATAGATGGAGACCTAGACTCTTCTGTCTAACGACACAGAAACAATAGCAAAAAAGAGACAAAACGATCAGATGGCCATTAATTATAATGGCGACGTCCGTTCACAGGCGAGGTTTTTGTTGTGAAATCATTCACTCGACTGTGAAAAGTTTCCACGATCATGCGCAGAATGTACAAATGTGTATTCGTTAGTTAATTTAATTTGTAAACGTAACGAAAAATTGAGAATGCGATGGTTACTGAGTTCAGTTATTATTCTTTTCTTTGCGTCTGGCGCTGGCTCGCCAAAACGCAGATTCGTTTGTTCTGCGCATGATCGTACAACACGGTTGCTCAGCAAGAATTGCCGAGGTACCAGACTTCGTCCTAGACTGCAAAACAGTCGGGTTTTTTCTCAAAATAAGTAAAGAAATTGGTAAAGCGCGGCGTAAGAGTATTAATAGCGTCTCTCCCCAGTCTCACTCTCCGTTTTCAGCCTCGTTCCAGACCTTTTGTTTGACTGCTCGCGCGTACTTGAATACGCAAAAATACGGACTGTTTTCGAGTCTAACTTCGTCCCCAGGTTCTTCTCCTTTTTCCAAATTGCCATTTTGAAAACTAAGAAGCCATGGGGACGATGATGTTAAGTTAACTCATGCTGGCCACAGCCGGAAAGTTTCTGAAATTCCCTGACTATTCCCTGACTTTTACCTGACAAATGTAAAATTCTTCTGACCAACTGAATTAACAATTTCACAAATTAGTCCCGATAATGAGCTCAGCCATCCCCACCACCCCTTTAATTCATGCTTTCAGCAAGTCACGTGAAGTGTACACGAATTGATAGCTCCTTAATATAACGTGCAAAGAGGATTGATTTTTTTGAAAACCCAACATCAGCTTGTCGTTCAATTTCATGAACAATGTTCTAGCTATACAACTCGCGTTTCGGTAAATATTCACCACGCAGCTACTTCCTTTTCGGTGAATAATTGTTAATTAAACCCTTTAAGCCCTAATATTCACTTACAAATTTCACGGGCTGATCTCCATACTTCTTTTTTTAAAGAATCACTGGACTGAATAGACGTTTTCATCTCTGCCTGTTTTAATTTCTCGTTTCGGACCACGTAACAATACCCCAGAGAACTGTTCTCGTCCTGTCCACCTGCATATGTATGCATAATTTATAAAAAAAAGAAGCGGAAAATTTCCTTGATGGAACGCGTGGTCGACGCGCGGTCTAAAATGGGAAAACAAAAGATAGGAAGTAAAAAGGTCTATTTGATAAAAGATCAAAGCATTTTCCCTTAAGTGATAATTTTATTAATTCTCATCCCGTTTCCTCTTGGTAATGTATGGATATTGTTGTGAGAAAATTGATGTTGGTCACTCCTAGGACAAAGAGGGTTAAGTGCGGCCCAAAATGATAAGTAATGAGTGAGCGCCTAAGGCCCCGTCTAGATGTTCCCTTTTTTGTTTGAAAGCGGGTAATGTTTTCATCCGGTTGAGTCACCAAAGACGCATCTGTTCAAAACTGATCTTCAGAGTGGGGACTTTTAAAAACATCGGCTTCTCGTTTACGTGTGGTCGGACAAAAAAAGAGTGCTTTTCAAATACGATATCTTACATCATATACTACTAGCATAACGCATGCTCAATAAGTAATGCTTATCGTATTTTCATAGTTTTAGCATTTTCGTGTGCAGGAGCGAAAACATTCGAATACGCTACGTGTGGACGCGTATTTTTTTTGGAAAACAAAGAGAAAAATCTCCGTTTTCAAAAGTATTCGGATACCTGAGGACGGGGCCTAAGTTACGTCTACTAGAATACATTTAGCTTTCCAGTTTTTTTTCCGGGAAGACAGTAAATAAGTTTTTAGTATAAACAGATGGTTCAATTAATCATTGTTGTTGTTACAAAGACAACAACTAAAACTAGAAAATAGAGAATTCACATGGCCTCTATTAAACGAGAAGGCAGTTTATTCCATTTACAAATAAACGAGCTTTGTTGAAAATTCTTAAATACAACTCTCCAAAACTTTGCAGTATGTACATAAAAACCTGCACACTTTAAAAAACAGTGTACTCAAGGCCAACGCAGCCAGTACTGAAGCACATTTGCCATTTACGGGAACACGTGCAGTGTAAGCACCTTTGAAAGCTAAACTATGAAAAATAGCCTGCGTAGCAGGTGGGTTTAGCCTGCGAGTACTGTCTTTATTATTATAATTGGGGTGGGGGAGAGGGTGGCGGGAGCGGAGCTGCAAGAAGATTGGGAGCAACTCACAGCTTCTCCGCTCTTGAAAATTCCTCGAAGCCCCGCCGCCAAGGAAGTACCCAGCGCATAACAATCCCGAGAGCTACGAAGGCTATGTGAAAAAAGAAAAAAAAACGATTAATTGGTAGAGTAGACACTGCGTACACAAAAGACGGTTGGGTGGGGAAGGGGTAAACAGATAAACCAAATATCGTTGCATATTTCGCTCCGGAATTTTCAGATACTACGAAAATTGAACGGCCGGCTCCGGAGACTTTTCAGTATTTGCTCTTGTTTCCTGCGCCTAGCCATGCTTCGTCGATATTTCGACATTCACCTTTTTCACATAGATCATAATCCATCTTGTTCACCCTCCACAATTTTGCATAACCATTATTGTTTCCAAATTCTCCTGGGTATTACAGTCGTCCCAAGAGAAATCGAAGACAATAGAGAGATTAAGCTTAACGTATACGGCAAACGGAAAACGTCAGATTCGAGTTGAGAATTTCTCAAGATAGAAAAACAGCTCAAAACAATTCTTATGGATAAAAAATTGCGTGAAACTACAAAATTATGTGTAGAAATAATGAACAGTAAACAACAAGTAAAGGAAAAACTTGGTCACGTGGTACAAATTCGCGTTTGACGTTTGACGTAAACGTGACGCTTAACCTCTCTAATGGTTATGCAAAATTTCGGGGGGTAAACTAGGTGCGTTATGGCCTATGTGAAAATGGCGAATTTCGACATGGAGAGTCTCCTACGCAGTCGCTCTTTATCTCATCACGCAGCGCTCCTCTGCAAAGGCAGCGTTACGTGACGAGACAAAGAACAGGTGCGTGGGGGCAAGACAAAGAAAACGCTTGGCACGCCATGGCCACGTGTCGAAGAGTTCCTCACAGGTATTGGCAAGTGTTCCGGGCAGCACTGCTACGTCTTAAAAACAGCCTGGTTTGCGTTGACAAGTCCCATCGCTTGTACAAAACGATCACAAAGTTCACGAGAGCTGAGCGGGCGCATGATCGGTGGCGGTTTTATTTCAGGACACGATTCGCTTGGAACGTCAAGCAGTTGGGGGAGAAACTCCTCAAGCTTGGCGCGGTGACGATCTAGAAGAAATGAAAATGGAAACGTCAAATTCACCCTGACAAAAACAAACGTTCATAGAAGTAGATGATGGGGCAAAATGCCCCACCATAAAACAGGTCCGTCGTTGAGAAAGTGGTTCAAACAGTTTCAACATTTGGAGAACAACGGCAGTAAGAGCCAGGATACTGGGACAACGTTTAAGTATTTGAACATCTTACAACAATGAAAGTGGGTGTCAAGTAGTTGGAAGATTAGGCTAGAATTTCGCCGCTCTCTCGGGTCCGCCTTGGTCCAGTCCGCCTCAGGGAAGGAGCGCGGGCTCGTTTACCGAACAGCGGCTAGCAATCGAGCCTATTGCAACATTGGCTCCGCGCAAACGTCGAGACAATAGGGCCATTCATACCAGAAAAAATAAGACGCGAACTGTACCATTTATACGGCCATATCTTATCTAAGACGAGAACAGCTCGAATAAATGGTTCGCGTCTTATTTCTATTCTTGACTCGTTTTCATGTGAATGTTGCCCGTAGCAACGGCAATCCAACGTGGCGCGCTAATAATTAACCCACGCCTACTATGCGTTCGCGTCTTATGTAAGGCTGTTCTAAAATAAGACGCGTCTTAGCTAAGCCGCGTCTTATTTTAGACGAAATGTGCCGTTTAGACGGAAAGTTCGCGTCTTATTTAAGACGCGTCCTATGTAAGACGCGTCTTATTTTTCCTCGTAAAAATGGCCCTAATGTTACCATGATGTTGTGATCGATTGATCGCTTAGAGGGTGCAAATATTCAGCTGTCTTCACAAGTCATTAACAACGCGTCTAGAAACTCTAAACTAGACAACTACCGGAAACCAGATTACATCACAAGCCATTTCCACGGTTTTTAGTGTCACTTCAAAGAAGTAAAAGATACCATCCTCTACTACGATAAAATCGCAAAACAATTGTCTAGCTTTGTCAGTCAGACCATGCAACAGAACTGAAACTACTTCACGCAACCGGTTACTTTGGAGAGCAAGGATATAAAGTGTAAAAACCAACGTCAAATACCATGTCTTCACGGAAAAAAAGAAAGAGCCAAATGTTTATTTTAATATATTTCCGGGATAAAAAATATCACGTACTCGAACCCTGTGTTAAAAGCCAGTCATCAAGTCTATAGCTTATACTTGCTTGTTCTTTTTTTAAAATCTGATTTGATTAAATATGCATCGTTGTTAGGAATCAGTTTTTCGCCTATATTCTGAGTATTAGTTAAGGCATAGAGCCTCTGTATAACATGGTCTTTACCTTAAAGAAAAAAACCACGTCAAAGTATTACTTTGAGAAAAACGGATTACAATGCGTCAATCTTTGGCTGAAAACGTATGTCGAACAACAATCGGAAACTGCATTTCAGCAAGTTAACCTCTGACCAAACTGTTGTGTAAGGCGATTAACGGAAACTGGCTTACAACACGTCAAGTTCTTATCATCCCCTGCCTTACACGTTCTGTCAGACAATATTCGGAAATTGTACTACAACTCACCGGAAACTCAGTAACTACGCTGCGTCGAGTTATATCGTTGTAGGACTTAAAGTGACTACGTCACGAGGCCGCTGTTGCTGTTTTGGGTCAATTCTGTGCAGAAGTCATTGGTTAGTGCCTTTACCCCAGTGAGGAATCCAAGGGAGGGGCTCGGCCCCTCCCCCACTCATTTTTAGACCAGACTGAGGCCCGAAGGAAAAAAATTTTTTGGGAGACCAAAACCCCCACCCCCCCCCTTTTTGTCTCAGGGTCTGGATGACCGCAGCCCCTTATCTGAAGGTCTGTATCCGCACTGTACCACTGGGGGTGATTTTATGCAGTCATGGCATTAAACTTGAAAAAGTTGGCTTAACTGTTTCAAGTTTCAATCCATGTCTATCTTTGCCATCCGTGGCAACAGAAGACAGGAAACAGTTTCAATGCCTTTTATTTTTAGAATTTAATTGAAACGAAGACACATTTTGACTTATCTAAAAGATAGCAAATAGCGTGGCGTCGCCCCTTTAACTACAGCGCAGACATAATCGGAAACTGCACTTAAACTCATCGCAAACTGGATTACATGGAGACGACGACTAAAACTGCGTCTGAAAATCGCGACCTTTAGATCTGACCAACAGCATGCAGGAGAGCGATATTATCGGGCGAGCGTTAGGTCGACTTACTGATTTTGACCGAAAGTAAAGGACGACTGGAGAGAGCCAGAGCCGATTATCAAGCGATGTAATGTAGTGCATTAATGAAATCTCTTTGGCAGCGCTTTTCGGTGGCAATGATTGTGTTTCACTTTATTCAAAATCGTATTTGGAATTTTTATCGCATTTCGTCTTAAGTCGCATCTTTACGTGAACCGTGCAAAAGAAAACTGCAATACACTTTATGTCTTTCACTTTTATCGAAATAAATATGGAATTTTAATTTAATGTTGTATTTGGCCAATACTAGTAGTAATGCAGTACAACTCCGCTAAATCGATCTTTCAAGGCAAACAAAAACAGTTCAACTTAGCGGGAGTTCAAGTGGGTTAAAATTTACTTAAAAAGTGACCCAAAGAGAGAGTAAAATTAGCGCTAGTTAGTGGGAGTTCGAGCTAACCGCGACGTTCTATTGCCGGTAATGCAAACTAAAACAGGGAAATGTAAAACATCGCGTGAATTTTCTATTCATTTCTAACTTTAACAGCAATGCCCGAGGCTATGTTTACACCATGCCGGGTAGCTTATCACGTCGACATGAAAAATTTTCCAGCCTGGTATGAACGCCTCTTCACATTACAAGAAGACTGGCACCAGAAACCTCTCCGATATTAGACGATCTACTCTCATGATCTGTGCGGAGCAGCATCGCTCAGTTACAGAAATTGCTCTGAAATCATCGTTCTGACGGTTTATGTGTGAGAAAGCCCTATACGATATGGCTTTCGTGCAAGCCTCAAGGCTATCTGGTATAGCCTAGACACGCGGTAGACATAGCCTAAGAATCAGTGAAAATTGGATTACAGTAAACGGAAACAGGATAACAACGCGCCGAGTATAAATATTTTGATTACAAACAACGATATCAGAGCAAAAAAAAGCACTTGCAAACTTCAAGGTTCTTTAGAAATAGAAGTACTTTTTGAGGATGATCCATTCATGGTGGAATTCAAGGGCATTTTGAGATAGAGAAGTATCGAAAGTTGAAACCTTTTCTCCTTTCGCTGCGAGTGGGTCAAATAATCAGAGGAAACTTTCGCAAATTGAATTAAATCATCCCAAACGTTGCTGTCATTTTTACCCATTTCTGGTACAACTTTAGACAACCCAAAATTACGAGTTTTTAATCCTTTAGGCGCTTTAATCAACAGATAAATTCTCCACACTCTCCTCCACTCATTTTCTTTATGATGCTACTGTGATCGTTTCTATATTCTCATAACCGTTCTGTTTGAATAAGAAATGATATCGTTAGGAGAAGTCAGATGCAAGTAACTATTACGGAGTTCTGGTTTTTAGACGTCACAAGACTTCCTAAAAAACAATTAAGAACATCATTCTTTCATGACAGTTTCGAAGTACGTCTGAACGGACAACATCGTTCAAGCTACGTTTGTCGGAAAATACGCTTTAAAGTGCGCGCAAACAAAATACTTAACAAATTATAGGGGCACTTCGAAACCACCCGCAAATATCAAGTACTTTTCAAGGATCATGGTGAAATTCAAGGACTTATAAGGACTGCTGAGATCTCTTAATTAAACTTAGCTTTTAGACTAAGAACAGTCTCTCTATTTTCTATTTTCCCCGGCGTTGTTTGCGCTCAAAAGCGTTGGGTTGTCGCGTTAAGTTATGTAGACACTAGGTAGCTTAAGCAACAATTACGGCGACGTGACCGAGAACGGCAAAAAAGCAATAGGTATAGATTAGCAAAGCAACAACTTTGCACGTGCATCACGCTTTTTTGTACATTTCGTTGCCGTGACTGCACGACTGCAACGTAAAAATGCCTAAATTCACTATTTGTGGAGAACGTGAGCACAAGAAAAGAATTTCCTTTTCTTTTTCTGAACGTCGATACAGTCCCTTAAAATTCAACTCCAGAAAAATTTGCCAACATTTGACGAATTGATCGCCGTCGTTGTTGCTTAAGCTTCCTACCACTACCAACTTGCATTTCGACGCCGGTTAACGACAGTGGGTGTGTGGGGAAGGGAGAAGGGGATAAAAAGGGGGTGAAACAATTGCGTCCAACCCCTCAGACCTCTCCTCCCCCCCCCCCTTCACTAACAGAACAGTGTCCTAATTTTAGATTTCTTCCGCCACATAATCCAAGATCCGAATCCACGGATCTAACGTAACAGCCAGATGATTTTCGGCAAAAACGATACAGTTAAAAATCCCACTAACGCCGGAAAACTCTATGAAATTAATGCAGATAAATATCTGTTACAGACACTTCACTTAGCTCCAAAGATAAGGCGAGGTCCAACCCCGGGGGAAGGGGGGACTCCCTTATTTGGCCCATGCGGGTATGTGCCACTGAACAGGGTATGGTTTTCAAGGTCTTGAGTCTTAATTTCCCTACTGAGCGTCTTAAACAGGGTGTCTTTTTGGACTGGAAGCCTTTCAAAGAGTGTGAACACTTGCGATGAGCGGGCTACATTTGCAATACCGATAATTTTTTTCCTAAATATCTATTTCCAATATTTTAGTGTGAAAAATTACTTAATTCTGTATGCAAAACAAAGCAAATCAGGGTCGAAAAGAAGTGTCTCCAGTCTTAAACAGGGTAGCGAAATGAGGAGTCTTTGTCTTAAACAGGGTCGGGGTTTGCGGGCCTCGGCGGCACACCTCCACCCAGACTTTCCTTGAGTGCCCAACCGGGGATCCCACATGCTGGTGAGTACACCTCTGTAATGCCGGCGGACATTTGGTTTTCCCCCGTTGGTGTCCCTTTTACGAAGGTTTGACTAAAATCCTTCTCAGTTGATCGACATAAGCGCCAGTTTGCCAAGCCGAGCGGGAGGCCGCTGATTCAAACATCGGCCGGACCAACGCTCAAGGTCTTTAAACATCTAAGGACAAACACTAAAAGAGGGCACGATTCCCGTCTTCCTCCCGTTAAAAGAAATTACGGAAAGCGCGAACAATGCGCTAAGGAATGGAACTTTTTAGACGCATCTTTTAAAGAAATTAACTCTCTTCTTCTTTTTAAACAGGGCATTAAAAGCTCAACCTCGTCCCCAGGGATTTTCCCTTAAAAAAAATGGGAGTCTATCTGACTTTGTAACATTTTTAACCTGGGGCTTATATTAGTTAAGTTTTTAGTTCTTAACGTTTTACTTATTATTACTATTACTTATTCATTTATCTAAGATCATTTGTTTTTCTATTGTTTTACAGGGCATCACTGAATCAGTATCACTCTTTGTGAAGTGAGCTCCTTGTATAAACATTGTTGTTATTATTATTATTATTATTATTATTATTATTATTATTATTATTATTATTATTATTATTATTATTATTATCATTATCTCTTTAATCACAGTCTTTGCTGGTGTTCTTTTTGTGCATCAGCCGGGCGCAAACCATGCACCTAGAGCGTCAGTCACTCAAGTCAATCATTCTGTTGATATACTGAGCACCTTTCTGAGGATTCGCGCAAATCAAAGCATGCAGATCTTTTGAATCTCTGTCATAGTAGCTCTCTCTGATACTTTCTTGATGTTTTCTACCATACCCTTCTTCACTGTATTATTATTATTATTATTATGCTCCACGTTCTTAGACATAATGAATGACATTGGCATTGACAAAAAGCAGCAACGTTATATAATCAAGAAAATGATAAATATAGCCATTAGAGCAACATATTACATCTTTTGTTGTAGAAACAGGAACTGGGATAGCCCAGACTTAATGCAATTTTGATTTTTTTTTTTTGGCTTTTGTTTTGTTTTGTTCTCTTTTTGTTTTTGTTTTTTTGTTTTTGTTTTTTCTTGTTAATAATCCAATCTCATGCAGCATTTGTAAATTGCCTATACGTAGCGAGATTTACAATTATACATTCAAAAACACAAATAAAGTTTCCATTATTATTATTATTATTATTATTATTATTATTATTATTATTATTATTATTATTATTATTATCATCATCATTAAAGAGCTGCCTTGTAATGACATCTGCAAACGGTCAGACTTTCTAGTCTTCTCGGATTAGGACGATAAACCGTAGGCCCCGTTTCACAACCCTTGCGCAGATAATAAATCCTGCTTGTAAAGAGTGGGGGACGTAGTCCCCGGTGTGGTGTTCTCTCGCAAATTCACACTCACATAGGTGGTCATCAACACTCATTCCTCATTACTTGTAACTGCACCATAAGTAGTCTGGTAAAAGTCCCCCAACCAGAGTTGTAAATTATCCCTGAAAAGCCCAGAGGGGAGTGGATACTAAGATGTTTACAATTTCAGGTTTCTTACCGTCAAGAGGAGAAGCGAGGAAATTACACCAGCAATTTCTGACCTGCTCCACGGCCAGACCGTCAGCAGCCTGGGCCGAGACAATGAGCTTTGGTATACAAGGTATGACAAGTTCACTGACTAGTTCCAGTCCCCTGCACACTGATTTCCAGTCACTACTGTTGAACATTTCTACCGCTAACTCATTCAAACGCGAAAAGCAAATGCGCCGCCAGTGGGTCAGCAGTTGCTCGTCCATGGCTTGGCCGACGTTGCTAGAAGCGTCCAGAAGCTTGGTATTGAGTTTGCATGCGTACATCAAATATGGCAATGCTTCACGATATCTGAAACATTAGATTTTTACCAGAATCTTGATGAGTCCTTCTTCTAGATGAACTTTTAACGCAATCATAATGACTTTTAAAAAAAATCTGCGTCACTGTGTTGATAGTGAGACCGAAAATCTAAAATTGGGCATCGACTAAGAAAAAACCTTAACCGGCCACTAGTCTGTTCCAAGCGACCGTTGTACCAATGATGGAGAACACTATCCAGCTTTGGAACAACTGGCGCTAGGTGCACAGAGAGCGGTGTCGCCTCGCGCGCCAGACGTTTAGGATCTTTTGCTTACAAATCCACAACTTCCACTAAAATATTTGTTGAGCATGCGCTGCACGTAGCTTGGATACAGTTTAGAACCCAGGCCTAACAGCCATGCACTTGGTACAGTGACCATCGGATTATCAATAAACAGATGTTCCCACTCGAAAAATCAGTTTGACGAGAGAGAACAAGATTGACTGGTCCAGAAGTAGGGGTTGTGGTGACTTCAAAGGCTTGAAGTGATTCAGGCAGAATCTCCTTTTCTCCTCCTTGATCAAGGACACAAAAGAAGGCTCTGTTCCCAGGTTGTTACTACGAGTGCAAGATTTGACTTGAAGTTTTTTCGCGTCTTCTCAAAATATAGACTCCCCGGAAAGCTTCATTTTACCATTTTTCACTGGAAAAGTTAGCATTGTTACCTTTAGTGAAGGAGATTACGCGCTCTACCGATCCCACAATGAAAAAACTTCTAACTTTGATATCTTGTTTTCGCCACCACGACATTCGCGCGAAAACTCGTGTAGAATGACGACGGCTATCACGTTTTCCCGCCAAAATGACGCTGGTTCACGCGCGCACTATACTTAGTATTGAGAAAATCTCGTACTGGTAGTCGTACTCGTCTTAGAATCTAAAGGTCTCTACTACGAAGCTTAAGCAACAACGACCGCGACGGCTATGGAAACGTCACTTAAAAAATGAATTTGCGCTGCTTCAAACTTTATCGCGCTTATTCCATCTCGTTTAATTGGTCAAATATTGGCGATTTTTTTGGAGTTAAATTCTAAAGGACTGCATCATATTGCAGGAACAAAAAAGGAAAGTTGTTGTCTTGTGTTCCCGTCCTCGACAAATCGTGAAATCAGTCATTTTCACGCCGTAGTCGTGCAGTGACGGCAAAGAAATAACAAAAAAGCGTGATGCAGGTGCAAAATTTATTTGCCAATCTAAACCTATTGCTTTTTTGTCGTTTTCTTTCACGTCGCCGTCGTCGTTGTTTAAGGTCCCTCTTTTAGTCAACTGTAAAGCTGTTCACTTACTTGTTGTTCTGTAGGTTTTCAAGTCCCGTGAGGAAACAGGAGTTGACTTTTATAAACAGGCTGTATTTTTCTTTCCAGCTCTAAAGGAATAGAATTCAAGGAGATAAGACGCAATAACATGCAACAAACTGTTCGCAAAGACAAAATGAAAATGGAAGCCTTGCTACCTAGTTAATCGGCAGCCAGCAAGGCGGGTTTACAAATGTACGTGTTTTCATTGAAAAAAAAAAAAACAGCCTACATACGCCTTGGGAAGAACAAGCTGATAATCCTACCATAATACCGTAAATCCTCTATAAAGCCCCCCGAGTGATTATTTATTTCAAACACATTTGAGGGGGGCTTAATAGAGACGGGGGTTTATTTAATTTAGCAAAAACGACTGTGTTAGTTCTCGATAAAGAACCATAATGCAAAGTGGAAAAGCTCAAATACAAGAAATTGGAGGTCATGCGGCCGAGGATCAGAATCAAATCCGATCTTCCAGTTGATGTAAACCATTCCGGATCAGTCCACTCGAAGTTTTACAGTCGTGATTAATTAATACATTCCAACATTTTTTAGTGAAGAATGATACGAGGGAGGGGGGGGGGGGGGTTTTTTAATTTTTTTCCCCGGAAAAGGGGGGGGAGGGGGTTAAAAGAGGGGGGGGTTAAAAAGGGGTTTTAGGGGGACAAGGGGGGGGGGGGAGGGGCAAAGAGAGGATGTACCTTTTCCCAGCCCCCCCCTATCCTATCCTTCCAACCCGTAACCGGGTCTTTTCTAAACTATGTTTTTTTTAGATTTTTTTTTTATCCCCTGAATAGAGGGGGGAAGGGGTTAAAAGAGAGGGGGGCTTAATAGAGGATTTACGGGGTACAAGGGAGCGGGAGACGGGCAAAGAGAGGATGTACCATTTCCCAGCCTCCACCTATCCTATCCTTCCAAGCCGTGACCAGGTTCTTGCTAAACTATGATTTGTATAGATTTTCATTTTTGCCTTGGTCAGATGGCCTGTCAAATTCTCTAAAGCCTTTGGGAAAGATTCTAATGAATTATTACCCCATGAAAAAGCAACACACGACTCGTTACCTTTGAAATTATAAGTAATAAATTCCAAGTGACGTAACGACTGGCTATTGACACTTTCAAAGTTTATAGGAAAACTTTAGAATTATCGATTTAAATGGTTTAATGAATCTACGCACAGTTGGGCAATGTGCCAGAAACAGCAAAACGTAAACGACTGGTTTGGTCCATTTACTTCCTAGCTAGAATCTTAAAACAAATAAACAAATGAGGACAAGCCGTAGTCACGTGCAAAAAGCTCTAACACTTGCAAACCCTGGTCAGTAACTGAATTATTACCTGGTATTCAAGATTAGATGATACTTGCTCAGCAATCAATCGATTCTGTCCACTCTGCTTAACCATCAGGAGACTGAAATAATGGGATGGGAGTGGGGAGATATTAGTCAGTGGAGATAAAGTGATCGGCAGGGCTGTCACTAAGAGCCGGGGGCCGGGGATTTCCTCCAGCTACTTTTATTGGAAAACAGAAGAAAAACAGGACCAAAAAAAATCCCTAGCTGTTTAATTCCTCTTCTACTTGTTGTATTTACCCGGCAACTTGAAATCTTAGTGACAACCCGTCGTCAGTTGAGAGTATCGTTTCACTTATCTGGGCAGCTTCGTCTACTTCTGGGTTCCTTTTCGCCCCCCCCCCCCCTTCCTCACCCCACCCCACCAAAAAACTTTTCGGTTCCGAAATCAAATATTCAAATCAAAATCTAAACCAGCCCTTTTTGTCTTGCTAACTGATTATATTATCTTCAAAACGTTTGAAACCTCGATCTTGAAGAATAAAAACAACAACAGCTTAATGGGCTAGTTCATTATCGGGACTTTCGAGAAACAGGCCCCTGTTCTCTTTCTATCCCGTGCCTTTCCACACATGTCATTCTATCCCGTCCCGTTTCTTCCCATTTGTCCCGTCCCTCTTCGGGTACTCACGTTTCTTCTTGTGTCCTGATATCGTCTACAATCTGCTCCAGTATGGCCATGCTGATCATCTGTTCAGGAGCTTTGCACTTCATCAGATAGATACCGAAGTGCTCCAGGCGCACATCTCCAGGGTACTCGGGTGTGTACTCCCGCGAGAGTCTCTCCAGTCTGGTCCGCTGTTGAATGCACCACTGTGTCAGCGCTTCCTCCACTCCCAGGCTCCTCGCAGTTTCGGCCAAGGAGTTAAGAGCGGATTCTTCGTCATTTTCAGACGTTTGTACAGACTCGGCATCGACGATAATGTCTGGCCTGGGGACAATGGCTTTACATTGAGATTCTGCGTGGTAAAGTGTATCAGTCAGTCAACAACGATAAATACGAGCGGACAGCTTGCCTCAAGGTGACTTTGCGGAGAAAATTTAGCCAATTCAGACACAATATCCTGGCCACCAAATTAAACGAAACACAAAAAAAAAACCTTCCAAACACTCACACAAGGTTTAACCAATATAACAAAGACGTCAAAAAAGACACATATGGGCTAATGAAAGGAGGGTAAAACAGATTATAACAAGGGAATTTGAGCTAATTACATCACTCAGTTGACGTTGTTGTTGTTGTTATTTAACCTCGTCCCCAGGGTTCCCCCCCCCCCTTTATGGGGACCAGGTTGGTTGTTGTTGTCGCTGTAAAGCGTTCCGTTTGTGTCTACTAAATGCAGGTTTAACTTCGCAAGGGTTAGCACAGTTGGTGGAGCTTCGGTTTAAGAGTCAGCATCAGTTTTCAGTGTTTTAAGGAAGGAAAGAAGGAGCGGGGGAGGGAGGAAGGAAGGAAGGAAGAGGAAGGTGGGAGGGGGAAGGAAGGAAGAGGAAGGAAAGAAGGAAGGAAGGAAGGTAGGAAGGCAGGAAGGAAGAAAGGAAGGAAGGAAGGGAGGAAGGGAGGAAAGAAGGAAGGAAGAAAGGTTGGAAGGAAGGAAGGGGGAGGAAGAAGGGACGGAAGATATGAAGGGAGGAAGGAAGGAAGGAAGGGAGGAAAGAAGGAAGGTAGGAAGGTAGGAAGGAAGGGGGAGGAAGGAGGGAAGGAATATAGGAAGGGGGGAGGAAGGAAGGAAGCAAGATAGGAAGAGAGGGAGGAAGAAAGGAAGGGAGGAAAGAGGGAAGGAAGATAGGAAGGAAGGAAGGGAGGAAGGAAGGAAGGGAGGGAGGAAAGAGGGAAGGAAGATAGGAATGGAGGAAGGGAGGAAAGAGGGAAGGAAGATAGGAAAGAAGGAAGAGAGGAAAGAAGGAAGGAAGATAGGAAGGAAAGAAGGGAGGAAGGAAGGAAGGAAAGAAGGGAGGAAAGAGGGAAGGAAGATAGGAAGGGAGGAAGGAAGGAAGGAAGGAAGATAGGAAGGAAGGAAGGGAGGAACGAAGGAAGGGAGGAAGGGAGGAAAGAAGGAAGGAAGGGAAGAAGGAAGGAAGGAAGGAAGGAAGGAAGGAAGGAAGGGGGAGGAAGGAAGGAAGGAAGATAGGAAGGGAGGGAGGAAGGAAGGAAGGAAGTAAGAGGAAGGAAGGAAGGTAGGAAAGAGGGAAGGAAGATAGGAAGGGAGGAAGGAAGGAAGGAAGGAAGATAGGAAGGAAGGAAGGGAGGAAAGAAGAAAGGAAGGGAAGAAGGAAGGAAGGAAGGAAGAAAGTAAGAGGAAGGAAGGAAGGTAGGAAGGGGGGACGAAGGAAGGAAGAGGAAGGAAGGAAGGAGGTTTTGCCTTTGCCCTACAAACGGCCAGACGGAACTCCACAAGGAAATGGCGATCTCGCCTCCAGCGTGGGAGGTAATAACAATTTCCGTAATAAGTAGGTCGTGCTGTGGTCAATTTGTTGGTGCTATAGCCTGTAGTCAGGCATTACCGCTGTTTAATCAAGCATTAAAGTTAATTGAAAGCTTACTGGAAGACGAAACTTTCATAAGAATAAAATCAAATGACAACTTTAATTACCTGCCACTTTATTCAGCTGCTTTTCGTCCCAGTCTCTCAACTCACTTTCAAACACAGCATTGTCCTTATCAACAAGCTCCTGTAAATCCGCTGGCAGCTCCTGAATTGCACTGCCGGCGCCGATACAGCCTTCGCGCCGAGCGTCGATGTACATGAGACAATACGCGCTCACGTGACGATAACCGCCTAACGACTCACGGGAAACTTCGTCCCAAGTAACCTCGCTAACAGTGATGTCGTTGAATTTGCACCATCGCTGCTGTTTGGGGTCTTGAATGTAGGCCCAGTAATGGCCACCGGACGCTTGACCTTCGTGCACAAGAACGGCGTGAAGGCGATACGGTAACTGGACAGAAACAAAACATTTCGATGGGTCAAAGCACGACTATGGCGAACTCGTAGATATGGTGTATCCCTTATTGTCTTGGAATAGCTTAAAATTCAACACAATGCACAGTGTGCGCACGATGCACGATCAGAGCGATCTTTCATCGCAGCGAACTTCGCCAAGAAAAATGAGTGGGTGCCTACAAAAATTCGCTACTACTCTTCGCGTATCCATGAGTTAATTTTTTTTACTCTTCAACGAGTCTTATATACGTTGCATCGGGACGTTAAATTGTCCTCCGGTGTCTACAGCTCAAGACATTAGCAGTCAGCTGTCTAAGACCCAAAGTTCTCTCACGGTTCATGGTGCTAGGTGGTGCTAGCAGCACTTGACCCCCAAGGCTGAGATTCAAAATCTGCCTAGGGTACACATCTGTACACATTTTATCATTTGCGACATCAGCTACTGCACGAACTCACCTTTTTAAGACTAGCATCGTCATAAATTGTGGAAATTTTTTCTTCTGTATCTCGAAGATGGGCGTTAAGATCTTTGAAGGAAAAAAGAAAAACAACTTACTTAAGTGATTATCGTCGGTGTCATGTTTCGGATTAGCCCACCATCATATACCGTGTGTATCAAAGGTTTTTTATCGTGTCTCGCGCGCGGCGGAATTTTTCGGAGTCGAACCTGGAACCCGGAGACATTTCGAGAGAGAGACGGTCGTCCCTCTCGCGAAATGTCCCAACGACGGGAAACGATGACGAGCGAGCGAATGCAAAATGAAATCAGAAACCGCGCATGAAAAATCTATGGAAACTAGGGGCTTTGCACTGAAAAGTTTGCATTGTTAATCACTGGAATCTGACCGGTTGATGAAATGAAATACAATGCATCGTGGGATGGGCGTTGGCCTTTGAGGGGGTGGGGGTGAGGGAGGGAAATAGGAAGGCCACAATAACATCACTTCCAGAGTTCCTAATAACGGCGCCCCGTTGACAAGTCTACAAAATAAATGCAGACATGAGAAGTCAACCTCTCCTCAAAGTCACCTCTATAATACGTTCACCTCTCTATCACGGACGCAATTCTTGGTCCCAAAGACAACAAACTTATTGCAACCCCCACCTCTATGCACACCTTTCTCTACCAGCGAACACTTGGCTCTGGCTCTTTGGTGTCCGCATTAAAGAGGTTTTTTGTCTCTATATTTTTAAGGCCAATCAGAGTGCCTGCATTGCGATTTGACTGCTGCAACTGCGGTGAACTCCTAATTGAAGACCTTGGTTTCTTAAAGTTCACGAAGATATTATGAGTTCATGAGCTATTTGAAGTGCAGTTCTTACTATGTAGTCACAACGTGGCCAATTTGTCTCGTTGCGTGTTAACGTTTATTCCTATGCTAAGGACAGTGTTCGGGTAAAATGTCTCTGGGGGATTTAAGAAATGTACGCCTTATCATACGTGTAATTCTACCTACTTGTGTGTAAAAGACCCCCGAGTAAACCATTTTTTGATTAAAGACTACACATTAATCATATTTCACTAAAAAATAGAACGCTAGCCTTCCGTTAGCTACCTTTAACATCTTGCTCCATTTCTCGCCGCCATCTCCGTAAGCACTCTTCTAATACGGCTACTTCTGTTTCTGTCACGTGACGCGGAGCAGGGCTCCACCGGACCTCCGATAAGGGGCACGGCGAGGGGGTAGCTTGATTGGTGTTCATCGGGGTGGGTGAGCCAGACATGGGGGTTTTCATATCCACATCAGAGCTAAGCTCATCACTGGCCGGGGCTGTGCTATGTACAAAGGTGAGGGTACTCTCTAGAACGTCTTGGACAGGACAGCGTTTGGAGCCTTGTCCGTACTTGAGGTATCTGCGGGAAGCAATTCATAGGTTGACAAAAGCCATCATCTATTAACGTCATTAACATGTATTAAAGCTATGCTGCACACCATCACTCACGAATTTTTGAGCGGAAACGCACTGCGAAGCTTAAAATGAGCTTCAAGCAAACGTCACCCACTGTTAAACGATTGCATGGGCACGAAACCCTGACCCGTGTGTACTCAATGTTGCGCAGTATACAACTGTAACATGGATTCTTTTTTTCGCGCACTTACTTTTCGAGGCTACTTTTAAGCATAGCTCTTCTTTCTTTGAGTTTCTTCACTTCCTCTCTATACGTTCTTGTGACTTCTTTGTTTCCCTCCATGTACCTAGAACAAAAATGTAAACACTACCCTTTTGGATTGCAACGGGTTTTAGATCCGCTTTCATAAAACCAATCAAATAGAGCTTTCCAAAACAATACCATAACACTGTTTAATGTGCAGGAGAATCGGTAATATAAGCGCTACGCACTAAGTTTTTAACAATTTTAAACCCCATTTACACGCACTAAACGTGCTGACGAATTTAAGGCACGGCACTCCTAATTTTCGACGTGTAAACTTATCGGTCCCAAATGTAATGTGGCACCAGTGCTCAAAATTTTAGGGGTGCTTAGACTACCTTCCGGAGGTAGTCTCGGCACGGGTAAACGACATTTGCATACGAGAACAGAACGGCAAACTTTGGCTTAAATGTGGGTCAAGTCCTGTGTTTTTGAGAAGAGAAAACTTTACATTTTTTTTCAAATCACACCGAAGCTGGAAGGTTCGTCAAATGACTGATAAAGCTGAGTAAGAGCAAAATTGGTTACCCTGAATTCATATCGCGCAGACCTATCGCGCACTCTAGAGAAGGACTTAAGAATTATTGGATCAATTTAGGTCTCCGGAATTATTGCACCCAGGTGAGGCTAAGCTTGCACATTGAAGAATAAAGAATATATGGTATTTTTTGGAACGTCTTTTACTCTGACCAATAGTAAAACGCGTGATATCCAATCAACACATCAGAACTTGCCAGCCGGCGCCAAGCGCGGAAAAAGCGTACGCACAGGGCACGACTGCGCGGGTTTGTTTCAACTTCTGATTGGTTGAAAATGTGGAAGGAGATTTGTGAGCCAATCACAAATCCTCAAATAATTCATATCTTACCGATCCATGTGGATCACGGGGTCAAACAGCAGCCTATCGTGAATCTTCTCTGCTCGGCCAGTTGATTGGTTAAACAAGAATCTTGACAGCATGAACTTGAGTACTACGGGAAGGCCAGTGAACCAGTGCTGGAGTGAAAGAATATTCACAACTTAACTCACAAAGTTAAATTGTGAGGACAGGTAACGCCCAAGGCCTTCAATCGATTGCAAAATCTGGGCAAAGTACTTTAAAGCTAAGGTTGTTTTACCACTCTTTAAATATTAATATAACTTTTTCATTTATTCAACCTTTGGAAAGCCTCCTGTAAATGTTGTAAGTGTTAAAAGCTAAAAATGGTGTTACTCTCGGCGCTATTTGTAAACATGCTCAATCTAATTATTTGAAGGAAGATCATCGCAGTTATATACACAACTTATGCAGTTGCGTAAAGAAAGCCTGGAAAAAAAAATTCAGGCTTGTACGGGATTCAAACTCTTGACCTCTGCTATACAAGTGCAGCGCTCTACCAAATAAGCTAACAATCCAACTGGGAGCAGGTCGTTGAATTGGTTCGTTATAAACCCGTGAAAGGATGATGATGGACTCGGGCAAGAAACCCTGGCAACGAAAAGAAACTCAAAACTTGCACAACTAGCCGCGAGAGGTATTTCTTTTATCATGTTGAAATCCTACTAAATAAAACAAAACCGTCCGCGGTGGACATGTAACGTGGTTTACACTCTACGTTTATTGACAAAATCTAACCGTTTTACCCAGCCTGAGAAAACAGCCGACATCTCACGACACCACCACTGCATGGTTTCCCCGCGAGAAGACGTCTGAGAAACGAGCGCATAAATTCCATACTGATGACACGTCACTACTCAGATCTGGGTAGTGCTTCTGATTGGTTGAGAATTTGCTTCATCTAATCAGAAGCATTATCGAGACCTAAGTAGTTTTTACTGGTTGAAAATTTGTTTCATCCAATCAGAAGCACGTTCCAGGGGCCCGTTTCTCGAAAGGGCAGGTAACTTTTCGGGTCCAAAGGCAAAAAATGAAATCAAAACCTGTTGAATAGTAGCACAGTTCCTTGCCCACAAACCGTTCAATTTCGCTTCGTTTCTGATAGTTTCATTGTATCATTTTCCAAGTTGTTGAAACTTTGATCTTAAATGCAAACACGGCAAACATCAAACAGCTTTCCGGGCCCGAAAAGTTCAGGGGCACCCAACGTCAATTTTCGGAAAATATCTGTTCGGAAAACGATTTGAGATCTAGAATTTTCGGAACATTTGTTGTAAAATTTCTTGCTTGCCTGCCTGCCTCTTCTAGGATTTCGAACTTCTAAAAAATGGTATAATTGCCCATTTTTAACGGATTTTTACCCCTAAAAAGGTCACCTAGAATTTTCGGGAGCCTTTTTTGTGGTTGAAATTTTCGAAAAGGTAAGTTTTGATCCTTATAATTTTCGGATCACTAGACTTTCAGCTAGGAAATCCGAACAGATGAAAACTTTTTAGGGGATGAAAATATGCGTATATCTACCGTTTAAATACTAAAATACGTTTAACAATACCTCGTTGGGTGCCCCTGAGAGTTACCGGGACTTTCTAGAAACGAGCCCCAGATCCGGGTAGTACGACGTCATCAGCACAGAATTTTTGCAGTCGTTCCTCAGACGTAATTTTGCCAGGAAATCAATGACGGCGTCGCAAAAAAACGGCTGTTTTTTCAAGCTACGTTTGATCAAGACACTGAATAAGTTGTACCTCTTGTCCTGATTTATGTGTTCCTTCAGAACCAACCGGTTCAATCTCCACCTGAGCCATGGCTCCCTCTAAACTGTCATGCAAGTCACTGTAGCCTTGTACTTGCAGAGGAAACGCTCCAAACGTTTCCTTTTTGCTGAAGGTTTTTCCTGGTGGACATAAGAAGGAAACACTGGTGAAAAGAAGTTCAAACTTGACTACGAAATTGTCCATGAACATAGCTCCTGTCTAGCCTACACTGCTTCAATATTTATTTATAATGAGTTGACACATTCACTTCTAATAATGGTCAAAGCTAAAATTTAAATTAAATTCCACTATTAATTTCAATTTGCAAACTCCCATAAAAAAATTCAGTGATAAGAGGGTTCAGTTGAATGACAACATCACTGGACTTCGTCTAAAGACTCAAAAGTTAGAAGTCCAAAAATAATCTCACCAATCTTAGTCTAGGAGTGATATGGTTATGAAAGGACGCTTTGCCTGAAATCTTAAGCCCTTTTATAAAAATGTTTTTGGAAATGATATTCAATATTTAATTCGGCGACCACTATAAATAAATATCTGCATGACAAATTAAAATCTTAAGTTTTGGTGACCTGTGGCATGCTGTAGCCACAGGGTGACCATATGACCAGAATTTAAACTGGTATTTGCGGCATGAGACGCCTACAAGAACGTACCTTCTTAACCCAACCCCCCCCCCCCTCCTCCACACACACACACACACACACACCAACCAGAGTTGATTTTAATGGTTTGCTAGTACCCACTTTCACATCTAGAGACGCCTACAAGAACGTACCTTCTTAACCCAACCCCCCCCCCCTCCTCCACACACACACACACACACACACCAACCAGAGTTGATTTTAATGGTTTGCTAGTACCCACTTTCACATCTGGGGAGGGGAGAGAAAGGGAGGGAAAAGTGTTTTTTTAAAGGCAACAACAACGGCCTTAAGTTCAATGCACTAACCAAAAGAGCACTCTGCCTCGATAGGCATAACACAGAGATTCAAGAGGAACTAACCTTCATAAACACCTTCCACATTGGCTTGGCCAAAAAATAGTTCCACCACTGGATTAAGCCTATACCAAAATAAAATAGACAAAGAGGGTAGATTTTAGAAATTTGGACAAGAGCCACAGTAGCTCAAATGCAACTGCTAACCTTGAATTCTATTTATTACAACGTTTTTCAATTTGGACTTGCCGCACCCAGGGATTGCCAAAAACCTGAAAGCCACCTTGTCCTTTTTGGTCATGCAATTCTCAAATCTTGCTGGCCAGAGGTCACTGAATGATAATTTGTCCTGTTTTATGATTTAGTTAGATGACTTGGCCATACCCTTGATTATTGGACAACTGAGCATCAGAAGTTACTCACCCACAGGCAATCCAATTGCAATGGAAACTACTGGACAGGAATTATTTCAAGCCTTCATACCCAGAACTTGTACAATTAAATATTAAATAACCTTTGTAAAGAGCTGCAGATAACAGCTAGTCATCAACAATGTCCGAATAAAATTGGGCCATGTCTAATAAAATCTTAACTGTGGTCAGACTGATGTCCAGACAAAGTTTAATTAAAACCAAAAGACAAATTAAAACTACCTTGACTGCATGTAAACTGTTGTATCAGTGAAATAACATTGTTGCCATGAATATAATTAATATTATAAACAATTATTGGATGAGGTTTCTGTGATATCAGGAATAATCAAGGTCGAGGTAAGTGTTATCAGCCAAACTGAAGGATGAGTCGCCTTGATTATTTATGATATCACAAAAACCTCTTCCCATAATTGCTTTAAATTGCTTGTAGTTTTCATTTTGTTGTAGATTGTCTTTTGTGAATGTTCAATAAAGTTGTATTGGAAAAGAAAAAAATAAATAAGTAAATAAAAAATAATTGCTTTAAATATTATACATTGTTTTGAAGAAAATAATGACAAACACACTGTCACAAGGAACCTGAATTGATATAATTGTTATTTGCAATCATGCTTTGCGTGCACAACCTACAGATTAGTTAGTTCTCTGCTGGTAGATAATTAACTAATCTGTAGGTTGCACTGATTTCCAAAATGAGCTGTAGGCTCTTGGCCAATGAGAAGACAGATAATGAGTACAATGCACAATAAGTATGTGTAATCAAATGGTGACGAGTGAAATTAGGGAATAATTTCATGCGCGTTTTGTCCACATCCTTATAATTTCCCGAGCCTTTGATTACCTATTAATATCATGGGTGACGAATTACGTTAGCAATCTTGGATTTTTGACATGTTTATCCTGGACTATATCGATCGAGAACTCCACTCTCTCAAATGTTTAGACCTTAAATTTGGCTCGTAAAGTTCAGAATTTTTCAGACTTTTTCGGCAAAATACCTTTTTGAGACCTTCTTGATGTTCTCTTGTGTGTTCAGGTTTTCTAAAGCGTCATTTTGTGCCCTGACATCTTCATTCACGGCATATTAAAATTGCATCGCCATCTTGACACTGAGACGTACGGAAGGTTGCCATGGCAATTTTGTAATTTCACATGTGAAATTACAAATTATCGCTGAAATTTCGCGCCAAAATTAAGGAGTAATTCGTCACCTATGATATTATGGAAATAATCAGTCTACCTGTGAATCCCAAGCCTACTATTGCCTAATTTCAAACCAATACACAACAAAAGACCCACATATTCAGAAAGAGCACATTAAGTTAAGGGAAAATCTCAAGTTTGGTCCAATATTGAGCAAGATACAGCTATCCCAAAACTTGAAAATTTATTACGATATATATGGCTTGCCAGATAGGCCCGATAAACACCAAACTTGAGATTTCTGCTCTTTCTGAACATGTGGGTCTTACGTTGCTCATCCCATAATAAGCGGACATGTACCCAGCCCCTCTGGGTTTGAAATTAGGAAACAAACAATTTTTTTGCACAATTTGTAATGTGCCCTTGATTGACTCAGATTAGATTTTTGTTTTGTCTTACCAAAATGCTAAATTAGCCAGTCATACATCCTTCCAACAACATCCAAAAAATTATTTGCAGCTCTGATGTTTTATGGATTGTGCTCTCTACATATGACTTGGTAAATTACCAACTGGATTTAAAATAACAACAGACCTTTTTGCTGGAGAGCTGCTAGTCTTCTTTTCTTTGAATGAGTCTTCAAGCCATTCAAGTAACTTGTGGGTGAACTCACTCACATCCTAGTGGAAAGTAAACAGAAGCGTTACTGCAAGAGATCTGGTTCTGGCCAAATTTATCAGCGAGTTTGTTCCTTGAAAAAATTGTAATCTGATCACGTGTTTTGACCTTCTATCACATGAAAGTTATACAGAGCGTCAGCGTTGAGGCAAGAGCATTTTGACCATTGACTAGATGCCTAACCTTTGGTTATTAATAGTTATTCTGGCCCAACCTAAGCTGCTGTGTCCTCCGTAGTTTTTTGAGGGGAGAAGACCTGACAGAGAGAGGCTTATTGAAAATATAAAGCTAAAATGGGAAAATGGTCTAATAGATAGGGGAAGTTACTTGAAATGATTAGCTGCAACAAGTTCTGATCAGTAGAGCTCAAGATACCTGTTGATTGCCAGGGTTGCTTTCACTGCCATTGTATTTCAGTGCTTCCTTTAATATCTAAAAGCCAAGAATATATTACTACTATACCATCCTACAGGAAATTAATAAGAATTATTCTTATACCTAATGTTGTAATTGAGGGCTATAGACTACAGTAATGTTAGATGATAGAACACTGCATTAAAGATGGAATGATCCATTTAGTGCATTGATTAGGAAATCTCCTCTGAGAAACAAGTGAAGTCAACAGTCATCCATTTTACCTGGGGGCCTTGAGTACATGCTTACTTGACTTTTATGCAGATAATTATGTCAAGAGAAATATTAATATCAATCATCACTGCTACACGAGATGGGAAATTTGTCACCAAATAAAAGTCAGTCAGTCAATCAACTGTACTTGACTTTTGCCTGGTGGACATAAGAAGGAATTACTGGTAAAAAGAAAAGACCAAATTTGGAAGAATTTTGCTTTTAATGAACTGATGATGTCAAAACTGCAGCCTTCTCGCAGGTTAATGCACCTTTAACCGAGAAGACCTGGGGATGAGGTTGAGTTGTTTTGGTTGTGAAAACAAAAAAGGCAGACATTTCACTCATTTCAAGAGTAAGAACTAGGCGAAATAATAGCTAAAAACATGGCAAGAACAGCAAGACAACTCGAAGGGCCACATCTGCTATTTGGAGAATATTTGCGGAGCTGAACAACCCTAAACGTGCACTACCGAAGATGAACTTAACATCAATAGAGGTAAGCATGTTTAAGTTATGTTTTTAAACTAGGAATATTATTCTTTTGAATGAATAATAAAACAATTAGTGAATTCAGCTTTCGTATCATCTGAAGAATTATGGAGATCTCGGCGGGTGTTATCTGCCTCAGCCTACAGCCTCGACGGATAACACCTTCCGAGATCTCCATAATTCTTTATAAGATACTCAGCCTCATTCATTATTGTTAATCAACAACAGAGTCTTTTTTAATTTTTATGATAGACACTTGCTGTTCTCATGAGCAACAAACTTCATTATCATCTCCAGCTTCACCGTGTCATCCTACTATACAGATGTCCATAACCCACCCTACTCTTTTACTATGCAGTCAGCTGCTCACCATTCTCTACAAGACCGTGCTTACACAAAAATTACCGGGAGCTCAAAAGCTCTATACCTTTGAAACTCAGGGAGCTCAGCTTTAAGATTTTGTCCACCCAAAGGCAAAACTAAGTAACCAGGGGCCAAACCCGTCTCCTATATAAGAGCACAGCCCAGTTCTGAGACACCATTTTTACGTAAAAGTTGGGACCAACACTAATATCTAGGTATCCTTTTTAAGGGAGGTGTCCATTAAGAGAGACTAGATTGTACGTGAGTCATAAAAAAAGCAGTGTGTAAAGAAAGTAGTTTCCCATAGCCCGGGACTAGTGGATTTTGCTGTTGGGCTAGTGAGTTCTGTTCTTAACTTGCCCCATGGGCAAGTGAAGTTTTTTGACGGGTTCAAATTACAGAAGAACTGTGTAATCAATCCTGCTTATCAAAAAGTTTTTGGGGCTGGTTGAAATGAATTTTGGGTTAGTAAATGCTAGCCACAGCTTACCCGAATGGCAAGCCATAAAACTGACTTTCTTTGCATCCTGAGAAGGTTTATAAACATCACTAAACACAAAATACCTGCACTGCCTTAGTAGGATCAACATATTTTCTTTTACTTCCAAGCATCAACGCAAATATAATCCGCAGCTCAGTCATGAAGGATACACGATAACTGTCCTAAGACACAAAGCATTGTGAAAGAAAAGCAAAATTAATCACAACACAACAGACACACAGTAACTGTTCTCTGACACAAGGCAATGGGAAAGAAAAGGCAAAATAAACCATAAACACAATAATCTAAATCAAGATGCTGAAAATAAAATTGGAGTCTTCTATTGACATTTCCTTAAAATAGTAAATTAAAAATTACTCAGTATAATCTAGTGATCTCGGTGATCTTAGTAAAATACTAGTACCGTACATGTGGTCTTACATTCTTAAGGTGACTCGACCCAGTTTTTTTTGGGGGGGTACCATCCTACTTTGAAGTTCTCTGGTATCCCCACCTTTACTTTTATTCGGAAGTCAGCCAAGCACGGTCATTACACGCGTGCTGAACAAGAATGCTGTATAATGACAGACTAGAAACAATAGACAACTCCCAAAGCACAAACTCAGCCAAAACGCTAAAATCTTCAATGTTTACTCAAGTTTGGGCTTATAGAAGATAATGTCACAGTTTTTCAATGACCATGAAATTCGGAGTCCGGGTAGTTAGTTAATCAATTGTGGCCCTGAAAAAATTTGAAGGAAAAAAAACTACGAATTTTTAAGAAAATGCTTTTTTCGTGAGAAGGACTCTTAAACGCTGACAAACGTCAACAAATAGCGAAAACTATAATTTCTATATGTTTGCTTTGCTCGAAATCGCGCGCATTTACAAGGCCCTAAAGCGTTTTGCTGACTTGCAAGGACCCATCTGTTATAACGATGCCCAAAATAAAGAGATGAATCTCATAGTTTATTAGATATAATCCGTGTAAAGTTTGCTTATCATTTTCGCATAAATTATGACCTAAATTTGGAAACCGCTGAATTTCTCGAATTGGGTCTTTGCGATTTTGGTGAAACTCTGTTCAGCGCAAGGCACTAATGCGCACTATGTGTAGCCGAGAGATTTTCACGAAAAAATGCCGGCAACAGCAGATTTTTGACTCAGACCTCAAAGGGGCGTGGCATTATAACCACGTGACATTTACTCCGATCACCAAAAATTTTATGTTATATTGTAGATTGATCTATATGTTATCCATTCTACGTGTTAGACTTACGATAAAAGTAAAGGTGGGGATACCAGAGAGCTTCAAAGTAGGATGGTACCCCTCCAAAAAAAACTGGGTCGAGTCACCTTAAGTCCACAAAAGCCCTTTGCTTATGGGTGACTTGAGAAACTTTCCTTGTGCATAAAACTCATTTTCTAATTCTTCTAAGAGCATTGCTTTAGATGGCCATTAGAGGAAGAAGGATGTCCATTACAAAGTAGCACACTCAAGAAGTAAATCACACATTGAGATCAAGACCAGGTACAAGAAGTTTGATCAATAAGAGTCATCATACAATATTATATTATTGCATCAGCTTTGTCATCTTTGTGATAAAGGACATTTTGCTAGTTTAAATAAGTCGGTGCAATAAAACTCACCTCTTGTTTGTCCGGGGGATCAGTGGGTGGAATATAATTCAGAACAAGTCGACGGAAGACAGGAAGATGAAACAGCGACTATTAAGAACAGCACACCAATAATTAGACACGCAATTAAAACAAGACAGTGAAGAAAAATGAGGCTTTTTTAACCCAATTGAAGGGATGCAATGCATAACTGAGGTTTTGTTCACAAAAACAGTCAAGGGTTTTTTTCCAAGTGCATTTGCATTCCAAAAAAGAGGCCATTGCAGCAGTCCATTGTCATTGTACCGTTTTTTTGTTCATTATACCATTTTTTTTTATTCATTATCATGATTACATGACAGTAATCAGCACCTACATGTATAATAGAAAGAAGAAGTCGTTACGTCATCTTGTCAAGGTAGCGAAACTTCTCGATGACAACAAACTGAAAACGTCACTTAAAAAGTGAGTTTGCACTGTTTCAACCTTCATCGATGTTATTCAGTTCCATTTTAATTTTAAATTTCCTGGGGTTGAAATCGAAAGGACCATATCTAAGTTTAGAAAAAGAAAAAGGAAATTTTTGTGTCATGTTCACATACTCCATAACAGGTGCGTAAAATTGGGAAGTTTCCCATTGCAGTCGTGCAACGACAGCTGAAAAATGTACAATAAAGTGTGATGAACATGCAAAGTTATTGTTTTTCTATGCCTATTGCTTTTTTACTGATCTCGTTGCTGTCGCCGCCGTCATTGCTTAAGCTCCTTTAATTGTTGTGATCCAGAAATTTTGCTACCATGATAACGAGACGTCACACTTTTGCCATTTTCATTTTTTTACTCATCATCGCTCCTCATAATGTTTATCTCCATTAACATATACTAATAAAAATATTTTCTCCAGTTTAGAGAAATTAGTAATAGCGATGGTACCTGAATGACAGCACTAAACCAACAAGTATTGCCAACATTCTTGAGGCCCACAGGACACCCATCCTGCCTTTGCCGCTCATACGGGTTCACAGGATCCACAAACCTGACCCAGGGATCACCTCTCTTTCGCTTCAGCCCTGACTTGTTTTCTGCTAAACTTGCTTCCAAAACCCTTCCACAAACCACACACAGTTTCACAATGATAACAAAAATAATACATTTGAATAAACTGACTTTTGACTGTATTTGGTTTCACAGAAAATAAAAATCCTACAAAATAGTACAGGTTGAGGAAGACTTAGAAAAGTGCAAAAGGTCTTACATTTTTTCCAGCTAAATGAGGAAGTTATTATTCTAATTTCAGAGTGAGGAAATAATGTCTTACAGTATCATTTTGCTATTTTCACCCTACCTGCTAATATCCTGTTCTTCCACAGTGATTCCCTGGAAAATGAACCATATCGATACAACAGATTAAATATATTTTATTAATCAGTACATCATTGTGCAGCCAGGCTTTGCTACAACAACACTCAGAGGCTCCTGGTGACTTACTTTTGCCTTTTGGGGTATTTGGGCACAATAACTTGCATGCTAGGTGCATCGGATTTTGATTCATAGCTTAGAATTTTAAGGCTCCTGGAAGTCCCCCTTACAGTGCAGCCTTGATTGTCATCAACCTTATTTACTGTAAAGAGAGCTGTCCTCCAATGAGCCAGAAAGTGCCCCCCTTCCCTTCCCCCACTGAATAAGTGTCATATTGAGGGACAGAAATATTAAAAAGAACAGCCCCCAAATAAGAGGCACATCCTTCAAACAACATAAAGATCAGGGCATGTGTCGTCACCATCAGAAGCGGTCGCGGCTACTTAAAAGAGGTGGTCTTTACAAGAGGCTCCAACTACCAGTATAAGGCTTTGACCAGGAAATTTTGGTATTTTACAAAGACAGTCACTTATGAAAGCTAGTAGCACATGGAGGTATAACTGTATAATTTTTATTGCTCCAGTTTTAACAAAAAGCAACGAGTAAGTATTTCTTTTTCTGTGCCAAAACAAGGCTCAATGTAGAGATTTGAAATGAAAGACAACATTTCAGCTTTTTCCACTAAGATTGCCCAATTAAAGTTGGTGTACCTGTGCCTCCTGTAAACTGAGAGCAATGGCTTTCTCCAGGTCATCATCCTTGTCCTTTGTCAGATCAATAACATCCGCTGGAAATCAACATTTGGATGAAACACTGTGTGTTAGTCTAAGAACCAATTTTGTTCAGCCTTTTGTTTTCAAGTATTGTTTTAAAAATACTACATGTACATATTAGACTGAGTTGTTTGTTATTTTTGTATTGCTTTATATTTGACCAAATTAGAAGTATTTTGCTTTTGCTGATCTGACAGACATAGAAAATTATCACACTTACCTTCTGTTTTACCAGGAGCATTTTGTGGTCCTATAAATGTTTGAGTTCCTGAACAAAAAAGCTTCATTTTATTAATTCTCATAAACTTTGCTCTTGATTAATTATTGATGCCATTAGGAGAAAATTGGTGTTGGAAGCAAAGCATAGTCTATAAGAAAAATTAATATTACCCATCATGACACATACCTGTCTGGTTAGCTTCACCCTGCAAAAGATAAAGAAAATAATGCTATTCAATATCATGGGTGACAATTTTGGTGCGAAATTTCAGCATTAATTTATAACTTCACATGTGTAATTATAAAATTGCCATGGCAACCTTCCATGTGTCAGTGCTTTAAAGATGGTGACAAAGTTTTAAACTGTTATGTATGAAAATGTCAGGGCATTAAACGACGGTTTAGAAAACCTAAACACATGAAAGAGCACATCAAGAAGGATTCTATCAGGAATTTTGTCAAAAAATTCTGAAATTATGAGCTTAAGCCAAAATTTAAGATGAAATCTGTTATTTAGCAAATTGAGTAATTTTACTTTTCAGTGGACAAAAACCTTGTGCCAGAGTAATTTAACGCATTCGCTCCTGGAGATTTTGCCAAAAAACGCGTTTTGAAGCTAGTTGAGTGGTTTTCTGGTCACTGTCGTGCTATAAAGAGCTAAAACTTACCACAAACCGGTTTACAGGTCGTACACTTCGCGGCCTTCTGATCCAGATGCAAAATATCAGCTTGCGAAATTCGGGCATGCGCAGAAAGCAAAATTTCGTCTTGACTTTTACTTTTCACTTTCTCTCCTCCCTTCTTTTTTCGCTTTTCTTGCCTCATTTTTTTTTTCTCTTGCTGGGCATTTAGTAGGCTTCAATTTGGTGGGAAGAGTTTTTAGGAAAGCTTTTAGGATCTTAGGATTAGGTGAAAGGAAAGGTAGGTGGGTAATGGAACAAGATTTTCATGGAGATTTTCAGGTCAATGTCTCGTGGTTTTTTGCTTCTTTCTCCGGTGTCCTTAACTGAATTGTGCTCATTCTGGTATGGTTTGAAAGATCTCTTCACTCTACACAAGTTAGCGAAGAAAGTTGTCCTTGACCGTTAAAACTGATGACGTCACAAAGGGTAGAAAGGACCTGGATCCGCACGGACAGTTACGGGCGGTTCAGGGGCGAATGGGTTAAGCAATATCACATTCTTTTTTACATTTTTCAAGGGCTATAGATATAATAATAAACACCAAAGACCATCTCTCTTGGGAGCCCAAGAAAATAAATGTCAAATTTCAGTCTCGTCCCAGTCATCCTTGGCAATTTCGTACGTGACCTCACCTATCAAGCTTGTCGGGAAAATTTGTCGAGGATGTCTCGTGCTATCACACTCAAAACTAGTGTGACTGAACATTTCATTTGTACAGCTGTAAGATGTCATTTTGTGAAATTGAACATTTATTTTCATGGGCTCTCATAAGAAATTTTCTATGGTGTTATTCAAGATAACTAATTATTACATAAATAGCCCCTAAAAAGGTAAAAAAGAATGCGATATTGTTTAAATTATTCTGGTATAAGGTTTTTGTCCACTGAAAATTAAAATTACTCAATTTCCTATTGGATTCCATCTTAAGCTCTAAGGTGTTCATTGCATGGAGTTCTCAATCAATAATCAATTTGATGAACAATGTCAAAAACTCACGATTGCACGCGTAATTTGTCACCCATGATATTTCAATGGGTAATCGAATGGTATGCTCGTGAAATAAAGGAATAATTTTACTTGCATTTCGTCATTGGATTTAGACAAGACATGTTTGAAATTATTTCCTAATTTCACTCCTCACCATTTGATTACACATACAAACCAAATACAGTGTACCTCTCAGAGCACAGACGACAACCAACAACAAAATGCAATCATTAAAAAAAGTAGTCTACTGAACACACCTTATATGAACCATTATGGTTTTGACGATCAGTCAACAAACCAAAGGCCTCATCAAAGTTGTGGTTGCTAGCCTACAAGAATTAAAAAATATTGATTAGACATACAAAAAAAAACTTGACACAGGTGCTTTAAGGTGGCTCGACTGGATTTTTTGGGGTTGATACCTTCCCAGTTTGAGTGTTAACTACGTCGGCATGAGTAAAGATATGAAAAAAAAGGTTACCACGGCTGTATTATATAAAGATGAAAATTTCTTATGATCTGGGTTTTATTGTAATCGGAGTCGCCATGGTAATGTAATGACGCCATTACGTTTTTCATTTATCTTTGTGTTTCTCTAAACCAGGAGTTTTTTGAAGAAATCGCTTAAGGGAGTATGTACCTGCTATAATTGCCTCCATTTTGGCAAAGTTTGAACAAATTCTATGAGAGCGTTTTCGAAATATTTTGAAATGCAGTTTTAAGAATCATAAAAACAGTGAAATAGCATGCTAGCCACACAATTTGCTGATATTTTAAGAAAATGATAAGTTTTGGGAATGCGGCTTTGTCTCATAGTGGTTTGATTCCATTGAAAACTGCATACAAAAAAAGAGGGGAATTGCTCTGGGCAATCGCGAGTAAGAAGAATTTTATTAACTTGCATTCAGCTGCTTTTGTTGCAGCTTTTGCACGTAATTTGGTCCATGCCTACAAATTTCGCATTTTTCAAAAAACCGCTTGATAAATTTTTTTATAAATTTAACAATCCCGAGATCAATCGTCAATAAATATACCCTGCAAGTTTCAAGAACATTGAAAACAGGGAAGGCTTTTAAATAGGGCCTCAAATATAGCCAATTTTCCCCCCAGATTTTGTGTTTGCAAGTGAGCGTCCTCATTATTCACTGGCATTGTTTTCAAGTTTCATATGCACGTGCACATTTAGTAAAAAGAAATAAATTTGCATCAAAAAGAACTCTCGATTACTTTTGGAAGAAATATCTGGAATATGCTAATAATTGGCTTGTCATCATATATAGATAGCAGTGAGAGCCGAAACGGTGAAGGTCACGGCTAGTCGTGTAGGATGCAATACTTAATTATCTTACTCGGGTTATAACATCACAGAAACTCTCACAGAGAGTTGTTCTGATGTTATAATGTATCACTAAACTCTTTGCCCGGTAATTAGCATATCCCAGAGATTTAACCGAGGGTCCTTTTTTGATGCAAATTCTATCTTTTTGCTAAATGTGCACGTGTATATAAAACTTGAAAACAATGCCAGTGAATAATGAGGAAGCTCACTTGTAAACACAAAATCTGGGGGAAAAAATTGGCTATATTTGAGGCCCTATTTAAAAGCCTTCCCTGTTTTCAATGTTCTTGAAACTTGCAGGGTATATTTATTGACGATTGATCTCGGGATTGTCGAATTTATAAAAAAATGTAGCGAGCGGTTTTTGGAAAAATGCGAAATTTTTAGGCATGGACCAAATTACGTGCAAAAACTGTATCAAAAGCAGCTGAATGCAAGTCAATAAAATTCTTCTTACTCGCGATCGCCCAGAGCAATTCCTCTCTTTTTTGTATGCAGTTTTCAATGGAATCAAACCACTGAGATGAAGCCGCGTTCCCAAAACTTATCATTTTCTTAAAATATCAGCGAATTGTGTGGCTAGCATGCTATTTCACTGTTTTTATGATTCTTAAAACTGCATTTCAAAATATTTCGAAAACGCTCTCATAGAATTTGTTCAAACTTTGCCATAATGGAGGCAATTATGGCAGGTACATACTCCCTTAAGTGATTTCTTCAAAAAACTCCTGGTATGGAGAAACACAAAGATAAATGAAAAACGTAATGGCGTCATTACGTTACCATGGCGACTCCGATTACAATAAAACCCAGATCATAAGAAATTTTCATCTTTGTATAATACAGCCGTGGTAACCTTTTTTTTCATATCTTTACTCATGCCGACGTAGTTAATGCTCAAACTGGGGAGGTATCAACCCAAAAAAATCCAGTCGAGCCACCTTAACTGAGATTAATCTCTTATAAACTCCACCCACACAGAAATACCTGACAATATAAAGTGTGTCATAATTCCTGAAGGGCATCAGGCGAGGATATTTCTGTCATTCTAAGTTTTCATACTGCTTGATAACCTTTTGGAGTCTCATGGCTGTGCTTTAACAGCACCCGGTGGCCTTTGGTGCCTTACATTTGCTCTTAAACAACTAGGATTCTTTTTTTGTAGAAACCCTGTGCTGGGCAAACTGTATTTCACAGGGCTCCCTTTACTTTTTCTAAGAGCCAGCCTTGAGTCACTGCATCAGCATGTTCATGTGGCACTTATTTTGAACCTCTATGCATGACTACCTATCGTAATTGACATAGCGATAGCAGCATGTGAGTACTGGGGGTAGTACGAAAAGTTACGTGGCTAAATGTTGTAATAATTTGAAGCATTTTGTTTCTCACTTATGGGCAGTTCTCGCTGATTAAACCTCTAGGCCACCCATCTCTTTTGGCAAGTATGTGTTCCACTGTTCATTTCAGTGTGACAGTGCCTGGTGGTAGCCACTCACAGGGTTGTCATGGACATGCTAAGCATTTGGCTTAGTTTTTCCAGAGGCCCCACCTTTCCTTATCAGACACCATTCCTCAAGCTCATTTATTGTTGTTGGGTTTAACTGATTAAGAGAGACCAGGGGAGTAGTGTTAAAAGAAAAATCTGCAGATTACAGGTCTGAAGAGGTTGGCACCTCTGAGCTTGTTATAAACAACTTACAATATAAGCTTGGTTAGCCTCCTCATATGATGCACCTGTAGCTTCTTGTAGTTGACTCACCACCTCAGTATTAACAATAACCTGCATGACAGGCAAATAGCCATTATCTACATGTTCACTGTAACTACAGATAGATAAATAGATAGATACATAGATAGATAGATAGTTTATTTGTAAAAGCTTGCAGCTACTAAGCTGGATTGTGTATTTACAATATAATATATAATATAATATAACAGAATCTTACAATAGTGAGTATAATAAAATGATAATGATAAAGTCCTAAATAAATAATAATATCCTATAAATATAAAAAAGCTTAAAACTGTTAAAATATATACAACGTCATCGATATCATTTACAAAACTCAACGGGCACTAAAATTCGTTATCAATACATGACCTTACTAAAAAACTATTTTTGAAACGCTTGGTCTTACATTTGGGAATCGCAAAACACCTTTTGCACCGAAGATTATAACACGACGGCCCTGACAATTGAAGCATGTTATGTAAGCGATGGGCCAGGTCATTAACAATCGAGAGGAAGGTCTTTTTATATAAGCTAGGCATGTAGTCATTGATAGACATAATATTTGAAAGCTCTAAGGCCTTTCTATAGGCCAGTCCCAGGTAAATGATTGATAGTGCCCGTTTCTCTACATTCTCTAGATCTTTCTTTAAATACAATGGCAGGGCGCAGAAAAACGCAGGCGATGCGTAGGTCATGACTGACCTTATACAAGATGTAGAACCCCAGTAATTTTGAAGGGAAACAAAAAACAGTTTGAGTTAGCAAGGATTCGAGTTATCAGGGTTGCTTGCAAAATTCAATTTTTAGTTTTGAAAATTGATATTCATTGATTTTTCTGCACTTCTGGCAGCGTATAGTGCTACTGCGGTGCAAGTTATTTTATTAGAAATGGTAACATGATTAAGCTTTTTTTTTTGACAAAACATGATCTGTTCATTGCACCAATCAAAATCAAATTGCCTTAAGTGTTAAAAAGTGTTAGATTAGCATTTTTAATGATTATACATACAAAAAGAGCTAATGGAATGGCATCCTTTTAGAGTTTCAATAACCAGAATGTGAGTTATCAGGGTAATTTTCAGTGACTGTTTGATCAAGGGAAAGGAAATTTAGTTTCAGTTAGCAGGGAATTCAAGTTATCCGAGCTTGAGTTATCTGAGAAAAATGACTGAAAAGTGGGGTGAAATCCAAGGGAAAATGGACTTAGTTCGAGTTAGCGGGAAGTTCAAGTTATCGGGGTTCTACCATAGTAGTACTCATAGATTACAGAGTGCATTCAAGATTAGAGTATCTTTTGATTGAATGTGCATATGGAAAACCACTGAGCCATGACTGGCTAGCAAGAGTTATTTTTCCCAAAAACATCCTTTCAATTTTTGGCGGCAGTTGCAATCATTATTTTTGAGATATATTGCTGAAATTTACAAAAAGAATTGTTTTTGTGCTTACAGAAAGTTGAACACGTGACCAACCGTTGCAAAAGGCCTCTATTCCATTAATTGAAATTCTGTGTAATATCTTGGCCGACATGGTTGGTAAATAGAAAGATAAACAAGCTGCACTTGAGCTTTTTTCATTGCCTAGCACAAGATCATGGTCTGCCCAAGATGTACTGGTAATTCAACAGGGTGCTTAAAAGGTGGACTAACATTGAAAAATGCAAACTTGTTAAAAAAAATGTCCAAGACTAGGAGTTGCCTTTTTCTAAAGTTGAATGCCAAAAAAAAGATTCATTCATTAGGAATTGACAGAAAGATTAAGGCTTAGATAATCTCAGTCTTGAATAATTGACACAATGGGGTTCTTCCAAATATCTAGGATGCAGAATTTCTTTTTTTGGATCAATTTTGAACATGATTTTGAGACAATTTAGGATTTTCATTTGCTTTTCATTTTGTCATGTGCTTTTTCTATCGTTTATACTAGATAATGCTCTTAAAAAACATGTCAATTACTCTGTGAGAAGAGGTTTCTTCCTCGCATGGCATGTACTCAACAGAAACCACAGATGGCTCGCTGCAGAGTTTTCTCTTGGTGGCGTAAACAAACCAACTACGCAAAGTATGGTGATGCAAACTACTTTGTGAATGCTAAAAGTCATGCCGCAGAAAACCTCTGCTCGCAGGGTACACATTGTTGGAAATTTTTTTTTGCTGAGACAGTTGTTTCCAACTCCTGAGACTGACTTTTAAACACTAATTCTTAATATCAGGCTACCTTCTCTACTATCGCAGGCCTCTTTTCCCTGGTATTCGCTTGGCAGGAGGAAAAGGGCCAAAGAGACCTCAAATCTTTGAATGAAGCCTGTTATACCATGAGTTCATACTTCCTTATACGAGTTTGACAGAGTCTACACTAAGCACAAAGAACTGCCGAGTATAACTACAATGACAGCCGGAAAAAGATCATTCGCTGGATTCTGATTATCATCAGAGACTAAGATTACCGGTACAGACGTAGTAAAACATGCAATTTTTGTTTAAGGTTAAAAACCTCCGAACACGTTGCTTTTTTCGATCGTAATCATTCGTTTATTGGTTTTATGAATACTGACGGGAAAAATTGTGAGAGGAAAGAGCTCCCTTCTCTTGCAAGACAAAATAATGTAGGTTTAGTGTCCTATATGTCATTATATAGTAAACTCAACTTTAAATGACTAAACTAAAAATGACTTGCGAGCTTACTCAACCTTAAGCTCAAGCTTATGTTAACTTTTACTACGACTTTGTAAAAAAAAGTCATGTCAATGAAACTATTACCTTTTTAGCCGATGAGGGGTGTTCAACGGTCATAACTGTCAGAAATCGTTGGCAGCAAAACGCTGCCTTGTGGCCATTCACATCGCTGTCAAAAGGACTCTCATCACTTTAGCTCGAAATGTCCGTGAAGCCGCCATTTTAGTCACAGAATATTACCCATAATGCATCGGTAGTAAACACTCATGGCGTGTAGGGGAGGAGTCCGTGAGTCACTCTGAAAGGATGAAAGAAACGCGCTTTTTTAGAAAGTCTAGTGAAGGACCACGGGCGATTTCATCATTAATCATAACTATAACAAAATTGTCGAATCTGATTGGCTATCAACTGCCCTGATTTCAGCCTTAATTGGACAGTTTAATAGGACAATACGCGTCATGCCTAAGTAATTGGACAGTACGCACCATCAGTCACGCGCGCGCTTAATTAAATGGCTTTTTTTTTTTTTTCACTGCTAGCAAAACAAAATTTCGAATTTCTTGTGTTTTGGTTTAAAAAATAGCCTATTGTATCACAAATTTTGTTAAAGTTATGATTAATTGGTAATAGAACTTCGTGTCGTCCAATTCAGTCTGTAATCATACTCGTGATTAAACAAATTGGACTCCACTCAGTCCTGTTACCATTACTAATCATCACCAATACTTTTTCCTCAAATTTGATTGGTGCATTAACTGCTTTATCTTTCACTAATAGGGTTGTAATCCGGCAGTGTAATCGGACAATTGGCTAGAATCGGACACCTGTAATCGGACAGTTACATTAGCCAATCATATTAAGGCACTCAGCTAAATCGACCAATCACACAAGTTATCACAAAAACCATAGCAATCCATAGCTTTTTTCTGGCCAATTCCGCTCAATGGTACCCTGCGAGCAGAGTCTCCGTCCATCTTCCTAGATAAGGAAGATCGAAGGAGACTCTGCTCGCAGGGTAGCTCAATGGTAATATTTTATGTTAAGCGCGAGGAGCCAGTTACCCGGGTTAAAAGGCTTTGCATATTATGATGCAATAGGCCCCTGGGGGCGCGGACAAAGGTCTTAAAATCCAGTTAAATTTTAATTATTATTTGTTTTGAAAAAAAACAAAACAAAACAAAACACAGACAAAAAAATAAAATAAAGGTAATTGGTGCTGTGTTACTGTGAGGGACGAAAAGAGACTGTAAAAAAGAATAAATTAATAATATTCACAACAGAAAATTTGACCTCTTTGGCTTACCATTAGCCTGCGAGCAGAGGTTTCTCTCTTGCATACGCAGTCGTTGGTGGCATGTGGCTTGACAGACAAGTCACGCGAACGACTCCGTAAACGCTAAAAGACATGCAAGAGAAAAACCTCAGCTCGCAAGGTGGCTTTCGACCTGTCCACTGGTGCAATTTTTGATTGATAACACCTACCCAGCAGCAGGTAATTAGAAAGCCATTGGATCAGATCAGAATTCATCAGAAATAAACCTGTTTGGTCTAAATTGTTAAAAAATAGCGTACCCTTCGTAGGGGGTTGGTGCCCCAATGAATGGGCTCTATCATCCGTAACGCTCTAGTGCATACTAGCGCTCTCTTTTTTCCGGTGTCTTTTGTCTAATGGCGATACTAATGAAATCATTTATCAAGCTGGGTCCGTGCTCAACTCGTGCTATGTTTAAGAAGAGCCCGTGCGGAAACATAAAGAGAAGGTGCGATCCCTATGGGAGTCCGAGAATAAGGGAATGTTGAGATAGGGGGTGATAGGGGGTTTCGGTCGCCCCCATCGCCTACTCGAGCCAAGATTGCGTGATACAAAGGAGTTATTCGGTTGCTTGGAGGCTTAACATAAACGCTACCGGGATCCAAGGAACTCCTGCTGTAAAAATACATTTTGATTCCTCTGCGGTCGACTCTTCTGCACCCACAAACATCCGGCTCTCCATCCGGAATGAACACTTCAAAAGCGGGGCGGCTACACGGCTATAGCCGAGCTAAGTAACCAAGCTTCCAGCTGTTGTGGGTCATTTCATCTGATCTGGGCAAGGCACTCTACTTTCGCCCGGCCGTCTGATTTTATGTATATATATTTAGTCATGTTTGAAAGGGTATTAACAGCAAGATCATAAACTCGGCAGCGAGAATTTTTTCTTCCAAAAGAAGCGATTTCAAATCCGCCATGGAGAAAGGCTTTCCTCCGCGGTTTGAGTTGCAGGAACAGATCGGAAAGTTAGTATACCGCGCGGTGGTGCGCGAAAGCTGTTCTGTCGTATGCTGTTAGTTGTGAGCAAAACTGCGAATCACCTTGATTTGATTGTTTGCATTATCTTGCTTTGATGACTTCTTATCTTCTCGTTTAACTATTTTGATGGTTTGTATTTTGTATTGCTGTCATAAATTGGATCGAGTAATTCAAAATTGTAATGTTGTCGCAGAGGTACATTCAGTGTTATTCGAAGATGTTTCGACAAGAGGAGCGATCGAGTTTGTGCTGTGAAAATTGTAGATGTGGCAAAGATGACTTCTTCAAGTGGCCTCACAGAAGAAGGTAGGAAGCTATATCTCATAATGAGTGTAATATTTAACCTCGAACAAGCCTGTTTGATTTTTTACAAGCTAACTCTCGACAATTAAGATTTTTATTACTGGTTCTATGCGTCCTTATATTGCATGTGCGCAAAAGCTGTCACAAAATCTTGCGACATAGAAGGGGTTTGCTTGCTATCATGCTGTGAATATACGGCCAGATTTCTGTTAGATAGCAGGCAAATAACTTCTCTTATGCCTTTTTTTGTTGTTGTAAAATAAACACTCAAGGAGAATAAATTACAAAAGTCCCTTAGGACAGGAATAGGCAAACCACAAAGAACACGATAATTCCAACAGATGGAAGCTTCGTTGGATCTTCTTTGTTATGATATATTGGACACAGCGAAGGTAGATCTGTTTTCCTCCGTTATTAGATCATTGTTGAAGAGGTTGATTATCAAATCAGAGATCGACCTGGTATATTTTTATGCTGATGTTTTCCGCTTCGCTTCGCGTGTTTCTGCTTGACTAACGTTTCGAGCAAGCGTTCGTGGTGTAAATTTCAAGAACCGAAAGTCAAACAGATTTATAATTTCTGTCAATGTGTGATTGTTGTTTTCACAGATTTACAAAGGGAAGCCCGCATTTGTCAGAAATTGCGCCATCCCCATATAGGTATGGATATCAAATACCCTTGACATAACATTTGTAATCATATAGTAATTCTATTTGAGACTGTTTGTAATTTTCAGCAATTTTAATTGGAATACCATATTCTTAACTATGTAAATATGGAATAATGAGTAGTTATGGCTGTGGCAGTCTCCAGAAAAATTCTTGTTATATTTAAAAACTTAGCTTTATCACTAGAAATAATTAAGATAAGAATAGCGTTAAAGTATATCAAATTAAACATTGAAGTCTTTCGTGGATTGAAGTCAAGTTAATATTCTTCAGCCGAAAGAACAACAAAAGTCACAGAATTAGTTTGGTTTTCTTGTAATTCTTGTTCCCTTTTTTCACCACAAAGTAAAGATCTCAAATTTTGCATAACCTAACAGGAAAAATAGAGCAAATTGTTTATTTCATTCAGATTCGAAAAGTTTCATTTTATTGAATAAGGGAATTATTGCATATAATAAATTTTGGCAGCTGAATAAAGGCAAAAAAACCTTTAACCCAAAGAAAAAAGACATTATTTTGAATTAACAGAGTACTCATTTGTAAAAAAGAGCTTTTTGACAAAATTATTTGTTTGAAATAATATTGGAAACTTCCAAGAAAAATACATAGAAACTTTTTCCTAAATATTATGAAGGTGGGATGTCATACCTTACCTTTACAAATGTAGCTGAATATATATTTCCTTGTTGAGTAAATAAAATGTTTCCTGTTTTACGTATGTTTTTCGGAATGAGGGGTTGTTGTGATTGGTCTAAAGAAATTAATTAATTATTTTTCAATTCTTTTTTTCAATACGGGCATATTTAATTGTGAATCTGTCAGTTGTCTTGTATTGAGAAGATATTTACATTCAGTCCATTTTTTCAATGGAGGCATATTTTAAGCATCTATCAGTTGCCTTGTGTAGTTGAGAAGATCTCCACATTCACTAAACGTAACTCTTTTTGTCTGTATTGTCTAAACCCAAAGGCAAGGGTGATTGGACAACTAAGTAGGGTGAATGTTTTTGCCCAATATTTTGGTTGGACGAGGCTGCCAGAAGCTTAGTGAAATATAGAATAAATTGATTGCAAAATTTAAAATAAGTGTTAACAGAGTCAAGTAAGTTTTCTTTTCTTTATCTGAGGCTGTGATTTTAAAATAATTTTTGTGAACATTCAATTGGAAGCTATTAATCTGTGCCTCCTGGCAGAGCTGCTGTAACAATACAACAATAATTTTGGTGATACATATCTTGATACCACTGTCATCTAGATGACTTACATTATACTTGTATGATAAAAGGTGACAAAACTTAGTGAAGGTCTGAATATCAATCATGTTTTTAGTTGAAAAATTTGTGAGTGCAATGTTATGGAAGTAATTTATAAATTCATACATTTCTCAGGACTCAATAGTACAGTGTGTACCTGTACACTAAATTGTGGGACAATAATTTTGAGTTTAAATCATTGTATAAATTGCCACCCCTACCCAAAAAAAAAACAACAAGAACAAAGTAAAAATGAAGTGATCAGAGTTATTGATCTATTTTTGCTTACTTTTGCATAAGTTTGAGATGGCTGAATATAAGCCAATTGCACTAAGAGTTCATGTGACATCATTTTTATGAAAATGAAAGTTATATGATTTTTCCTTCGAAAAAAATTAGTGGGTCATATCTTAAACAAAATAACAGTGATATGGTTTTTTCAAACCTGCACTATTTTCTTAAAAATGAGTAAGTTTGTAGCTGGTCATGTGACCAAAATGTGATGTGTAAAATTATGAATTACCCATTTTTGAACACAAATTTTGAACTTTCAGGTCAAGGAAAATGTTGAAAAGATGATGTGGTAACGTTTACAGCAAATCTGAGTGTAACTATCAAACGTTTAACAAAGATACAAGCAAAAACTAGTTTTTGCCGTTATTTTGGAGGGCAAGAGTATGCTCTCCAACATCACAGCCAATACAAATCATACTACTTTGTTGAAAAATCAAAGTGCCATATAATATCTCCCTTAAATGTATTTCCTCTCAAATTGCGGGTGTAAGATAGTAATAATATTTAGTTAATTTTATGTGCTGTGTCAATTTTTGGCATCAGCAAGATTCCAACTCACTGTTTAAAGGAAGCGTTGGTTATGTGACTTCTTAGTTAGTGGCCTATTTGCCAAGATCTTTCTTTTTTATGGACTGAGACTGACTGGACTGAGTTGAGGTCAATAAAGTAGTGAAAGTAATAATAATAATAATAATAATAGTAATAAGTTATTTCCAGTTACATTAATATCAAAGGGTTTATAAAAATATAAATGCAGAAATGTATTTTGGGTCTTAACCAATTTTGATATATTTTGTGATTGCATGCAAGCAATTACTTGTCTTTGTCACTTTGAAGTGTAGTGTTTTTCTTAATGCTCTTGCAATAGAAGTTTAACTCTGTTGAAAATTGACTCTGTTGAACTGCTTTTGCTATTAAAAATATCATTTCATTGACTTATCTATTGACTTCTCCAGCTTCATTGCCATCCTTATCCAGCCCATCTTCATGCTTTTCAGGTTCACCTGCCATTCTCTTTGGTGTAAAAAATGAACTTAGGTTTTGTTGTCGTTTCATAGTGAAATAAAAGAACAAAGCCAACAAAGGAAGCGTGAATCAATCAGCACAGTAGTCAAAATGTATGCTCCAGTCTCTCTCGGAATTGCATCTAGAATGCCTGACACAAAACCTACTCATCAGAACTCAGTCTGAAATAACAGTCATTTTTCCTTGATCTATTTCAGTTGACATGCTTGGCGCTTACTCAATGGATGGCTATATGTATATGGTGTTTGAGTAGTAAGTAATAACATTTAATATTTATTATTTTAAGGTGATTCCCTGGTTTTGCACTGCGCATCTCTTACTGCGCATAACAAGATGGCCTCCGTAAAAAAGAGCTTGTGAAGTAACATTATTAAAATGAAGTTGACTGAAGAGAAACGCTATTGAAATTTTTGCTTGCGGTTGTTTCTTGCCGAGGTGAGACTCAATGTGGTGGGAATATGCATAACGTAAGCAGTACGCGTGTTGCTGAGTTGGACTTCCTCACGGAGAACCTCGATAGTGGATGTTTAATTTGTGCTTATTCACTTTGCTTTTCATTTAAACGCTTTCTTTATCACATTGTATCCTAAATGTGATATCTTGATGTAAATTCTGTAAAAACGGATTTTTTAATACTTTCTTCCCCCTTTCACACACATTCTATTTTAAAACTCGCCCCAGTCCTCTCTCAAAAATCAAGCAAAATGCATTTGGTGCGCACTTTCTGCAGCTCTACCGCAAAAACGAGTACAGTGACCCCCATTTTTTATTTCATGATTTTAATAAGGACAGTGCTTCCTTTCGGTGAGAAAAAAATTGGCACAAATCTATGTTCAGTTTTTTGGCAATTTTAGATTGAGCTATCACGTGTCGAATAGCGCGTGTCCAATTTAATTCTACTTTGGAGCGTAAAGTAAAAACAAGGGCATTAAAAGGCATTTTTATGGTACGTAAGTGGATAAACAATACATTAAAGTCAAATTCCATGTGATACCACATGAATCATTGAAAAAATCTTTCCTTTTTGTATAGTTTTGGGCTGCGCGCGGTTTTTGTCAAAAGGTCCAAAATAGCCGTATTTGTCAGCATTGTGACGTCAAAACGAGCACGGTGACCCCACTTTTTATTACTTTTTTATCATCTTCTTGACTTGTTACATCAGTGTACCAAGTTTCATATAAAATCTATGTTAGGTTCTTTTACTAGGGAATCGCCTTAAACTTAAATTTAGTAGTTAATGATATCTTTCATCATTTTCCATATTGTACACGCTATTATTGATAACAACAATTTGTGCCATGGGATTATGAGGATAATAATATTGTGATAATTATGATAACTTAGTGATCATGTGTAATTAAAGGATTACCATTCAAGGAAATGATGTCATCCTTGCTGCTGTGTGCTTTGTGTACTTTTGAATTCTTGTTGTTCACAGGGTGCAAAGAAAGCCGGTTTTCATGCTTGCCATTCGGGCAAGTTGTTGCTAGTGTGTGCTAGCCCAAGAGTATTTAAGTAGCCGAACAAAATTTTTGATTAGCAGCATTGATTACAGTTCTTCTGTAATTTGAATTTCCCAAACAACTTCACTTGCCCTTCGGGCAAGTTAAGAACAGAATTCACCAGCCTGATTGCAACATCCACTAGCCCCCGGCTATTGGACACAACTTTCTTTGCACGCTGTGTTCATGTACGCGATCATTCTTGTGCAGCTCTTACTGGCATCGATTTACCTTCCCACCTCTCCCATGGTGGTCTATTGTAACTTTTGTTACATTTTGTCTGATCAATGAATTAAACCTTTCACCAAACATCAGTCTCTGTACCTGTAGTTTATATTATCTTAAAGAAAAAAGTTAGCGTTGTCCTTTGACAGTTGTAAACTGTGTCTGATTACTACGTAGTTAAAGTGTATAGAGCAATCCCCTCAGTGACTATCACAGGTACAGCACATAATAACAAAACTGAAATATTATGAAAACCAATGCCTTTGCAGAGCTCCAAGCTGCCACAACTTTAATTGCCACCCACGAGTAGAAACAATTTAAGGGACCAACATTGCAGCAGAAGTCACCAAATTAGCTACTTGTACAACCAAAGCACTTGATTCAAAAATCATGTTTTTCCAATCTTTATTCTGCTCTATAGCTTGGATGGTGCTGACCTTTGTTTTGAAATTGTCAACCGTGTCAATGCTGGATTTGTTTACAGTGAAGCTGTGGCAAGGTATGTAATTAAAGGAAAATAACATTTTACTTAATAATAATATTACTTTTGACTGATGTTACATACATTAGTTTGGTGTTGCAATCAGCTCATACTAAGTATTAAGTATTATACAGCGTCATGGGAAATCATGGTCATGATTTTCAGGACCTGGAAAATTTCATTTTCAAGGCTTAGAAAGATTAAGAAAGTCATGGAAATTAATCAATTTATTGTTGGTCCTGGAAAGTCAAGGAAATTTATAGTTTGTTAAGGTAGATTAATCACTGCAAATGTCAAATCAAGGACAAAGAGTTAGTAATATAAGGACAAGTCATTTAACAGCACAACTGGCACATTTCTTTTCTGTCTGTTGAACTGAGACATTTTAAAAATTACCCTCAAACAAGGATCAATGCACTGTACAGGGCTTCTGATATTTCGCGTGGTCGCGGTGCTGTGAAATTCACCAACAAAAGCAAAATACCACGAAATTCGCTGGAAATCTTATCAAATACATGTCGATACAACATTATTTTTTGAAACTTATCTTTTGCTATTGGGGCTGTTTACTTGCCATAATCTTGCAAATTTATCTTGAAACTTCATCGACACATAGAGCGAACAACGTCCCAAAACTACCAGGCGTAAATTATGTTATGAAAAACTGGGTACTAGTCATGATGTTAAAAGCTTTGCCATTGGCTCATTTCTCGAGCACTTTGTCGTTAAAATAGCAAATGATTAGATTTGTTAAAAAACACGCTCGTCAAATCAGCACAAAATTGATTGATTTCTAGCTAAATTTGCCCAGAAAGTTCTCACGAAATCGGCCGTTTTTTACCAACCGTTTTTCAGGGAAACAAGCCTTGAAAATTTCTGCAAAATTCCCGCGAAATCAGCCAATTTTTCTGCAAATCTGTCTCTGAAAATCTCTGGAAATTTGACTTTTTTTCCACAACCGATCAGAAGCCCTGACGGTAATTTAAAAAAGTTTTGAATTTGAAGGCTATACTGAAGGTCATGGAAAACTGGAAAAAGGCATAATTTGAAATGGTCATGAAAAGTCGTATAATTCAATGGTATAAAAAAAGTATAAACCTTGTTATTGTTGTTTTAAAAGCAGTATCCATACATGTATATTTTTACAGCCATTACCTCAGACAAGTTCTTGAGGCTCTGTCGTTTTGTCATGAAAACAGAATTATTCATCGCGACCTCAAGGTAAAGTTTCACCCTACATAATTAGTTAACCCTGTAAGGCCCAATTAATTATTTTCTAATGACATCAATAAATCATCAAGAGAATTGTTAAATACCAAATGCAAATATGGCGGACCTCTTGACTGGCCATGCTCCGGGGTTTTCACTAAAAAATTCTTGTAGCAGGTGAAAGGTGTAACTCAACAGGAGAATATTCTGAAAGACGCTCCATGTCTGAATAGAAAAATAGTCATAGACTATCACACGTTAGCGGGAGAATTTTTGTGTAGTAAACAGAGAATTCTCCTAATTAACACCCTGATGCTCTACCTGTAGTTGTTAAAAAGCAAGGCTAGGGAGACCTCTTAGCAATTTAGTTGATCAACAATGTATGCTTTAACTACATTACTTAATTGACTTATCCAAAGTCCTTTCACAAGACAAGTACTGGATTCATGCAAGTCGAAACAGTGAAGAAAATAGAATTCTGTTTTTATTTAAGGAGAAATTAGATGCTTGTTGACCACTGACAGTGTTTAAGGCTAAACTGCTCTTTGCACACATTCTGTAGCCTCCATGATTATTTTTTGTCTTGTGTTGTGGTAATGAACTGAGCTAAAGGAATCTCTAATTGATGCAGTAAGTCAAAATAAAAAGATATATATTATATACAATGAAAAAACTGTTTAAATTTTCCTCATTACAGCCTCATAACATTCTCTTAGCAAGTAAGGAGAATTCGGCACCAATCAAAATTGCTGACTTTGGCATTGCCACTGAAATTGGAGAAGAAGGCTATGTAACGAGTGGTAAGAATAATTGAAATTATTATTATTATTATTATTATTATTATTTTTGTTAGCAGAAGTACAACTGTACGCATGGTTTTCACCAATATTGCAGAAGGAAAATCATGTTCAGACTATGAATTCAGCAGATCAAGCATTCTTTTGCAAGATCACCTTCTGGGCAACTCGAGTGCCAAAATGTTTCTAAAAAATTAATAATTTGAAAATTAATGTAATAATGAGGGTTTTCTTGCACTTTAACAATTTTAGGCCAATGAAATTGTAGGGATGTTTGTTGTTGTTGTTGTTGTTTATGAAACAAGGATATTCATGCAATTCTCTGAAGCTTCACAGCGATCTCAATGAAATCACAACTGTTCAGCACAATACAGCCAACTAGAGTGTTGCACATAAATAGTGAAACATTACAACCACAGTTTATTCAGGACAACATTCACCAGGACGATGATACTCAACCTACTTATCAAATTACACCTGGTAAAGTGGTCATATTCACATATTAAGCTCACTATGCATGACAACCATTCTGTTGTGGTCCCATCTTGGAGTTTGCTGGATTTAACATTCATTTACTTATCTCTTATCTTAGGCCGAATAGGAACCCCACATTTCATGTCGCCAGAAGTTGTTAACAGGGAACAGTATGGAAAACCTGCAGATGTCTGGGGATGTGGTTAGTACTTTCTGTTTTGATGTTTTTGTTATACGTACATGTATGTGAAAGTCCTTGAATTTCCAAGGAAGCCCACGACATGGCCTTGAATTTCTTTAAGGTCCCAGAAAAATCTTTGAATTTTCCCCAGTCTTATTTGTGGTTGAGTATTCCTGATTTTTTCTGAATTTCTGCTAGACGTCCATTCCACAGGCAAGGTAACAAGCAGCTGCATGTACATATATGTACATACATGGATAATTTCCATACCCATGTGCATGAACTATTTCATGTCATGACATTGTTGGCGGCTCTGTTTGTGAGAAATTATGCCCTGAAAGTAGGCTTTTAATCTAAATGGTTGTCCAAGGAGAAACAAAACTGGTCCTTGAAAACTCCTGGTAAAAAGATCGAATTTCCTGTGCTATTGATATAAATACATGTACCAGTTAAACAAATAATTGCACTGATGATGCATTCCTTTTCAAGAGTGTTATAAACAACCAGAGTTATATGATGTAAACTGATGTTGTGTCCCCTTTTAGGTGTAATACTGTTCATTCTTCTTAGTGGTTCATTCCCTTTCCATGGCACCGGGGAAAAAATATATGACTCTATCCGAAAAGGGATTCCTACGGTGAGTAACTAAGTTGCTACCATGGCTTTTAGACAGTAGAGTCTGCTAGATTTGACTTTATGAGGGTGTATGAGATTGAGTACAGTAAGGCCAGGGTCAAAAATCAAACCTCACATGTGACAAACCTGCTGATAATGAGCAAAATCAAATCTGGCTTTTTCAAACCAAGTTTACTACTGTAGACAGTAATATAATACTGTAGATTTTACCCAGGATCTCTTGGACTCAATACATTTCCAGTCTTATGGATTTTTGGGAACACAGTTTTCCCTATTTGGGTTTCTTTTTTATATCAAATTGTTTTTGTTATTTTGTATTTGAAACATGATGAGCTTTAGTAACGGGGAAAATATGCACTGTAAGGGATTCAAGGTCTGAGAATTGTCTTCCTGCGTGGTCAAATAATAATTATTCTAAATGATTAATGGCAGTTGTGATGGTCACACTTTTAGCCAGGAAATGATTAGTTGACATCAAGCTCCAATATCCCCCTAGCAGTTCAAAAACAAAGATGTCCAAAAAATCACTATTTTTTCTCCAACTGGGTATCCACAAGCACCCAACTGGTGAAAACCGTGGTGACTGTTACAGTATTAACAAGTGCAAAGGCTGATTCTCACTTCCTTATTAATATTGTGAATTCTACAGATGAGAGCTAGAATCTGGGACAACATATCTGATGAAGCAAAGGACCTAGTGAAGAAGATGCTAGCTAATGACCAGAATGAACGACTGACGGCACATGAAGCCCTAGAGCATCCATGGCTAAGGGTACAAAGATAACTTCAACAGTAAAATAGTGTAGTTGAAGGGGTGTCTGAAAAAATGTAACCTGTAGTAAACTTTTAGAATCCCTTTCCAAATTGCTGTCTGTTTGCTTGTAAACCAAAGGAAAAATTTAACAGATGTTTTTTTTAGTAGGTTTTCCTTGCATCCCTTCAATTATTGGTGAAACAGAAGCATGTACAATTCTTTTTGTTTCAGCCCTGAAACCAGTTGCTCTTCTTGACTTGGCACATTATTACGTAAAAGTAATATGTTAATTCTTGCCATTACTTTTAAAGCTTCTGATAGGATAAGTACCCGGTATATGTAATTTACATGGGTGTGTGCAAAACTGTGGTTACTTTGCAACAATTTACATAAATGTTTTAGGATTTATTCTCAGTTGTGATTTCTTTGCTGAGTCCCTTGTCAAGTAACTATAAAAATAATGGGTATATTAACTTGGCCAGGTACTAATTTTTTTAACAATTTTTTTTTTTTTTCACATAGAATCGAGAAGTTCCTCAAAGAATTCACCTTCAAGATTCAGTTGATGAAATGAAGAAGTTTAATGCCAGAAGGAAGTTAAAGGTAATGTGCAGGTCTGTGATAAAATCAACAAGGGAATGGCTAGAGGGCATCCAAGGGACTTCAAACAGCCTTCCCCCCCCCCCCACCCCACCCCCCCGCTACTACTACCACCATTATGGGGGAAGATAGAGGGTGGGGAGCCCAGAAGAATAGGGGGCTTGCTCTTATATCACAATGATATTCTGTGGTAAGATCCTTCTATTTGAAAAATCGTTTCTAAGTGCTATGCTGATGGGCAAGGTTTCTCACATTTCATTGTTCTTGATTTTATTCAGAGAAGGGAGGGTTTGGTTTTCACTGCTTATTACATGAGTCTGATTTTTCTTTCATTGTAGGGGGCAATTTTGGCTGCTGTTGCAAGCAGAAAATTTCCAAGTAAGATTGAAAAATCTAAGAGTTTTTAGGTCTATTGAACAATAGCATAACACAGCTGCAAATAATTTTTCGAAAGGACAGATGTCTGGCAAAGGCATCTTTTTGGTGCCGGACATCACAAAAAACGCAATTAAAGATGCATAACACATTTTTAACAAAAATTGTGAATAACCAACACAACACTGTAGAATGATTGCTTTCACATATTCACTGTGTTAAGCTAATTTTGTTAGTACAACAATCCACAGATGTTCAAGATAGATTTCACCATATTCAAAGTGATAATCTTCAGTACTGACTTTGTCTGGACATCTTGTCTGACCACAGTGAAGATGTTGTTAGGCCAATTTTAGTCAGACATTTTCTGATGACCTACTGTTATTATCGCACCTTTGGTATGATGGTCTGTAAGTTATAGTACAGTTGCTCTTTTTTTTCTTTAGTTTAGTGGCTATCATTCAAAATAAAATAATTGACAGAGGGGATTTTAAAAATACAATGTTTTTTTTTTCTCTTCGTTTTAGTGGCTAATGGAGATGTCGTTGGGGCTCAGGTATTTCATTATTCATATTTGCATGTTCATCTGTTTACCCTTAGACCCAAGAGTGACCAACATCAATTTTCTCCTAACATTTCCAGAACATAATCAAGTGATAAAGTTGTTAAAATTGACAGAAAGATCAACTAAGAAAAAATGATCTGATCTTTTAACAAATTCTCTCAACTTATTCTTTAAGAAAATGTATAGTGACTCAGTAGGGAGAATTTGTATGCGGATATTGGTGGTTAAAGGTTTAACCTCATCAGCAGATGAGCGTGGAGAGGGGGAGGGTGGGGGCAAAACTAAGAGGCTGTGGGGCCAAGAACTGCAGCCAAGTCCGATGCGTAACCTTGACAACCCTGAGAGTGGCATCCACCCAGGCGTCGTCACACTGCTACCAGTGGAACCTAGCCTACTTACCATACAATTACCAAAGGGAGGGCTGGGTAGGGAACAAAAACGCTAGAAGCACGAGCAACCAGCGGCAACGTTAATGTAATGGCCTGACCTCAACAACCCATCGGCCGCTGCGAAACAATTAGTGTGGCCCAGTTTTCATCATCATACGTTTCTGGGAAACTTCCCACATACCCCTCCCCTAAGTCAACATTACACTTACTTCTCACTTAGGGCAAAATGTTGGCTTAGGGGAGGAGTAGGTGGGCAGTTTCCCAGAAACGTAGAATGATCCGATGGGGATCCGATGAATCTCGCGCAAAAGACTTGTGGCCAGTCTCTGGCTTATGCTGACGTCAAGTTTAATCACCATGTTGTTAGCGCTAACAGAGTTGCTCTTAAAATTCCGTCTTTTCCTAGGATGATGTTTTTGAATACGAAGATGATGATCTTACCGCATCAGGTACGGATTCGAGAATTTTTCCCCCATTCTGTGATAAAAAAAACTGTTTTGAAGCGTTTCATTTATAATCTCAAAGTATCTTGGAGGGTCATAAAATGTTAGGTCAAAAGGTTTGCTGCAAGGGACAATGTTAGACTCCGAATGGTCCCTGTTGTTTCTCAGTGACAGTAGGGCAAGGGAAGTGCTCGAGAGAGCGTGAAAATTGCTACCCGCGTGGAAGCTGATACGCGTGTCACCTTCCGCGCGAGTGAAAATTTTACTCGCGTTCGCGTATTTCACTTGCTGTGCAATCCCTGGGGAAGATGATGGACTACTTGTAGTTTAGATCATTGAAGTACTTTATGTTTCAATTGACGTGTAACTGTGCAGTGTGACCTGTAACGTAACGTGGGTTTCACGCAAGGCGAGATCGTTAACATTAATTGCAGTGCTTCTATAGGTGGATTCATCGTGACTTCGTTGCTTACTATTTTCCTCATTAGCATACGAGAAGATGTAGCCGTATACCGTAAAATTCCGAAAATAAGCCTCTCCATGTATACGCCCCTGCAAATATAAGCCCCCAAACTCGTAACGCAAAAAACCCTCCGTTAAATCGCCCCTCCCAATATAAGCCCCCCGGGGGGCTTGTACTTGGAATTTGCTCTCGAATACAAAGTTAAACAAAGCAAACATGGTAAATTTCCTTCCCACTACAAGCTAGCCCAATCGATTTTGAAACGCAAATTTCCCTCCATACATAAACCCCTCCGAATATAAGCCCCTCCAAAAATAAGCCCCTAAAAAAGGGCCTTGGAAATAAGCCCCGGGGCTTATTTTCGGAATGTTACGGTATACCAGTTAGGTTCAAAAATTAAAAGAGCTCGTTGATTTATACAGTTTGCGAAAGTTTCAGCTCTTTGCAATCAGTAACAAAGAAAATAGCAGCAGTTAATAACTACTATAAAAACTGATGGGTGGCAAAACTTTAATGAGCTCATACATCCTTTGTCAAGGAGAATTTCTCCGAAACTATCTGGTATATCGGGCTCAAATTTTCAGAGATGATTGAAATTGTTATGCCCTTTCAATATTCAGAAATTTCATTTTATTAGCTTCATCAGATAATGATAAGCCTATGCTAATGAGGCAAAGAATGTAAACAAGGATTCGCCTATAGAAACAAACTGTTCTGCTTTTTATTATCTTCAGGGGCTATAGGTCAGCTCCTTGACTCACTAGAAGAGATTCAAGTCCTTACCGGGGCTAGCGATGCCGACGTCAACTTTTTACAGAACTTTTTCGAGCATCAAACCCTACAGGCATTATTGGAGGTGAGAACCTTGGTTGTTTTCTTTGTAGAAATTCTGACTACAACTTAGTAAGTTTACAGTGATTTGGAGGTCTGTATTAAAACTATCCTAAGAGATCCTTCGGAGTTTTTGGCGTGTTTCATGGGTAGCAACGTATACAGACTAAGGAAATTGTTTGCAAATTGCACATGCAATTTGAAGCCGTCCTAAATCGATATCAAATCCTAATAGTCACTCACATAACGAGAACAGTTTCTTTAAACATGTTTGAACAATATTGGAACGCACGAAAATTTCGAAACAGGTATTTGCTTGTTGGATAAAAAACAGTGTGTAGTACATTTTTTAAAATTTTATTACAACGTTTTTCTTTTTTCAAAAATTGAGTAACAGTGCAAAAGTGTGAAATATTTTTAAGTCTTGCTCTCTCCTTTGTACAGACAACCAGCGTAAACTGTTTTTCTTCTTTTACCCCTTAATAAGGTCACGCATTGCTTCCTAATCATGTCTATTAAATGAAATTGCTTTTTAACATACCAGTGGCAAATAGAACACAAATATAACTGGCTCGCAAAGTAATTTTTTAATATTTCATCTTCGTTCGCAGAACCAGTAATTTGAGGTTTTAATTTCACGATTCGCTTCTTCTGTATTTATAGATAAAAAATATTGATGTCACTTGTTTTCTGTTTAATATGTTTACTGAGAATTAAAGGCTCTGTAACTCGTTGCACAGAAAACCGTGGCGTGTGCTGTTTACAACTTGGGTTGAGTCTTCAAATAGTATTTCATCAGTTCTAGATTGGCGGTTTTTAGTGATATTCAAATGTTTTATTCCAGTGGTTAATAATTGATTTCGCTTGTCATATTATATCAGTGTAAGTTGAGGGAATATCAAAGGTGAGCTTGTTACTTCGACTTTCTTTCCGTAATGCATCAGGTTTATGACAGAAGTCAAGAATGGACTGATGAGAACAGCACTTGTCCGCTATCAGCCTCGCCCAGCGCCGTACAAGACGCCAAAGAGGTAATTACTTTGCGAATTTCTGTATTTTTCAGAATTTATACACAAGCTTTCCCTTTAAAATCTCTTCAACGACATTAGAGAAAAAGTCTTTTTGTGATAGTATCTTCTTCAAATTTATCATAGTAGAGTACAGTTTGTTTGTAACGTACTTTTTTGCCAAGGCTCAAGTTATTTCCTGTAGTTTTGTTAGCGGGAAGCACACCTTTCTAAGCTTGATAATGTTTGTTTATAGTTTGTGCGTATGAAGAAAAAAACAGCGTACGGTTATTTACCTCTCCGGTCTTTTAGTGTCGGTTGTGATCATTGACATATGATGGCTCGTCTTTAATGTCTTTTCTCAAAAAGAGTCGTGAATGTATTCTTTGCTATATGTGCTCGCATTCTATTTAACAACTAAAGCGATAACTGAAAACAGGCATGTTTTTTGTACTCTTGAAACTATACTTAGTCAAAATTCTTCTTACTTCGCTGAGATTAAACTGCAAACTTTTTATTTGGAGATATTATCATTCGTGAAGGCATTGTTTCCAGTTAATTGATTGTTCCATCTGAAAACTTATCCCAATGTATTGTTTTCTCGATTCTGGGTCTTGTGAGTTTACCGATAAAAGCTGTATCGATTTGTTACAAGAACTCTTTCCTCAGGCAAATTGTCAAGCCAAACTGAGTTTCTTCTTGGTTTTATAAAGCTCTCTGCCGTTTCAGTGTGTGATAAAATAGTGTAAAGTCAGCCTATAAATCTACTTAGCGAGGATCTTTTTAAGTAACTTAGCTAGAGAGATTTGGTTGCTGTACAATAATCGTACACTGTTTGAAATCCTCTCTTTATACAACCTACCCCTTATACTTGCCAAATTCGCTGTTGAGCGCCGGACAAACAGCGGGGAAAACAGTTAGCGGAGCGGGACGCTCTAACCGCACCCGACCAGCTACGTTTGGTACGACTCACACCCAGGGGTTTCTTTAAGGTTTTGAACAGGAGGGCTACTGAGTTTGACACCCAGGCAAAGAATTGGCAAGGCCCTCCGGGCAGCGGGGATCTGGGGGCATGCTCCCCCGGAAAAGTTTGAAATTCTATGGTCGCAGAGATAACTATAGTATAAAACTTGAGCATAAATTGACAACAAATAATCGAAGAGGGGGGCGGGGGGGGGGGGGGGAGTGGGTGGGGGGGGCAGTGGGAGGGCGAGCCGGAGGAGAAGTGGGGGACGCGCGGTGGGGGGGGGGGGGGGGGGGGGGCACCCAGACAAAAAAGATTGGAAAGTTTGAGGAGGGAAAAGAAAAAAATAGAAGAAGGGGGGAGAGAATTGAAAAAAAAAAGAGGGGGGGGGGGGGGGGGGGGGGGGGGGGTGGTATTTGCACTCATCATATCTCAATATATAGCATTGGACCCCCGTTTTTTATTTCATTTCTGCAGCCTACATGTACTGAATTTCACGTAGGAAAAGTTTGACAAAAATCTCAGTGTAGCTTCCATTTCAGATGAATGACCTTAACCCTTTAAGCCCCAATATCCACAAGCAAATTCTCCAAACTGATCGCTATACATTGCTTTAAAGAATAAGTTGAGAGAATTTGAGAAAAGATCAAAGCATTTTCTCTTTGGTGATCATTTAATTAATTCTCATAACCTAATCTCTTGACAATGTATGGATATCGTTAGGAGAAAATTGATGTTGGACACCATTGGGACTTAAAGGGTTAATAAGGGTTCACCGTAGCAAAGTGAATTGATGAAGCAAATCCAAAGTAATTAATTATGCGTGGCATGTACAGACGATGCCTTCAGTTCACGTTGTTATGGAACGATCTTCTCGGGTTTTCTTTTTCCTTTTTCCTTTTTTATAACTTTCTTCTTTCTTCGTCGTTAACTTTTCTTCAGGATGTTGAATATTATCTTTTTTTCTTCTTTTTTCAGGTTATTGACCTGATCGAATACAAAGCAGAAGACGATGACGATTGTTACGAGCTGCAAAACATCTTGATGGACCCACATGTCGCGGTAAGTCATTTAAAAGTTCCAAATTAACATTAATGTTTTATGAGCTTAATCAGCCAAGAATTACCGTGGGCCGACTGAAACAGTCCTTGTCCACCCAGAAATCATTGCGCCGACTTGCACCCATTGCACCTCCCTAATACAGTAAGGAGCTGTAGCACCGACGACGGCGACAAAACGAGAAAGTCAAAAAAGCAATGCGTTTATTAAGCAAGACAAAAACTTTGCACGTGCATCACACCTTTTTGTACATTTCTTGCCAACACTGCTCGATTACGACGTAAAAATGCCTACTTTTGCGTTTTATGGAGAACATAAACAAGCGACGATGAACATTTCTTTCTTTTTCTAAACTTTAGTGCGATTCCTAAGAAATCAACAAATCAACATTTTCAGCGAATTCATTTTAAAAGTGACGTTTTTGCTGCCGTCACCGTCGTCGATGGTAAAGCTTCCTTCTGGAGTAGGGAATACGCGTACATTGCAACGGATCATTTGACCACCTACCCCTCCCCTTTCGTCACAATCCTGCAATTGAATCCACTTTTTAAGTATCCATTTTCTCCCTTTAGGCATTACTTGAAGCACATGATGAAGTCCTGAAGAATTCTTCCGGTGATGAAGTGAATCCATATCAATCGGAAGGGAGCCCCGGCTATAACAATAGACAGATGGAAGACTCTGTTGGAGACCGGCCGGAAAAACTAACCCGGGTGCGGCTGGTACAGTTCCACAAACATCCCAATGAACCGATGGTAAGTTTGCTCTGTAAGTTGTATGTGTGTGTTGTAAACCGAACAGGCGAACTGAGTGGTCCATTTTTAAGCACGAAAACATTCTTCCTGATTTGACTTGTTGAGATTTATTTCATTCCTCAGTAAGTATGTGCGTTATTGACCAAGCGTGAGTTCAAGATAGCTGGATTTTGATTGGCCAAGTTCTTTTTTGCCTTTTTATTGACCAAGACAAAGGCGTGGTCGATAACAACGCTAAAAAAACGACCAAGCTTGGTCATTAAGGGATTTATTATATGCCTAAAAAGACAACTTGTTCTTGCTGGACCACCGCGGGAAATCCCGAGGGGGTAAGATGAGCCTGTCTTACCCGCTCGGTAGCCAATTGGAAAACAGGGCTCGCTTCATCTTGCCCGCTCGCCGATTCAGCCATGTACAGTCGACTCCCGAAAACTCGAGCCCTCTAGGGAAATCGAAAAAAGTTCGAGTTATCGGGATTTCGAAGCAAATAACCGGGAATAAGGAAATAAGCAAACGGAATGGGAGGAAATGCAAGTATCATGCACACTTCACTTCAAGGGCAGCAAGAGACATAGATTAATATTTGAAAAAGGAATTAAGGAACAAAGCTTGTTTGGACACTGAATTTGAACCGGGCAGAGTGACAAAAAAGTAAAAACGAAGAATTGACACGAAGAATTCTTGTTTTGACTTTTTTTTATTGTTTTGTTTCTTCAATGTTTCGGACTTTAGTACACTGGTTTTTTTTTCGACTTGTCACGCCCTTAAGACGTGGTTCGAGTTATTGAGGGAAGGATTATATACAAATGATCTGAAGGGAAACAAAAATTACTTCGAGTTACCGAGGGTAAAATTACAGTAAATGTATGAAAGAAATCTAGGGGAAATCGATTTTGGTTCGAGTTAGCGAGAGTCAACTGTATTAAAAAAGGTGTCAATAACTTTTGCTTTTTTTCATGATGCTTAAAATTGATCGGCAGAAAAATAGCAACTGTTGACTTATGATGTAGGGTTTTCTAATTTTGGTTTAATGATTGATTATTTTTTTAAATATTTTTATTCATTGATTTTGCTCAAGTATTTTTACTTATTTTTTTCTCCAGGGTATCACTCTAAAACTGAACGAAGAAGGACGCTGTATCGTTGCGAGAATTATGCACGGTGGCATGATTCACAGACAAGGTTTGTATTTTCTAAAACTAAAATAAAGCACACGAAATTTTAGTCACCGAAGTCTTCTTTACATCGGTTTACTAGGATGCTTTGTCGCGTTCATGGAAAGGCTAAGGTAGATAGCTAGAACCATTACCAAGGGCTGTGCACTTACACATGATCTGGGAACATTGTTAGTCGATGAAATAGTTAGAAATGGTGGCGACATATATACCGAATACTTTCCCGGTAAATTTGCGGATGTGGCAAACGCTTTTAAAGTAACTAGAGCCACTGTCATAAACTTAGGGCAGCGTCTACATTTATGTGCGGAACGAGAAGCCCACAACCCAGAGCGATCAATTCGCACACTGGGCTTTTTTACAGCGTTTTCACGGACCGGTTCATTTTTGTTTACATGTTGTTACAGTGCTTCATTATTTGAAATCATTCTCTCACAAAAAGAGGCTTTATCAATTTTATTTGAAGTGAGGGCAATTCTCACATACGGAGGGGATGTTTTTTCGGAATTTTACATGTGTTACAAATCATACCTACTTGATTACATTGTCTTCTTCCGTTGAATCGCGCTTTAGGTTATCCGCTATTGCGCTTGCGCAGTAAGTATTCTGGGGGCAACCTTTCAATTTCTGAGCGTATGTTTTTTATCATGGTGAAAAAAACACATAACCAAGGGGCATGTCATGGGAAAAGTCTAAAGATGATTTCTGCTTTAGGTATTAGAGTATCTAGAAATAAAGAATAATTTATAAATCGACTCCCACAATTGTACTGTATGCATTTCGTATAAGTAATCATTTGTGGCCACAGTGCCCCTTGCCTTAAACTAATGAGTAAGGAAAATAACGATCTGGGTGACGTCAGATCTAGTGGCAAGTGTCACTTACAATTTTTTACGGGGTGCAGGCTGCCCTCGGGTGATCCGCTTACTTCTGCGGGATGCCCGGGTTGTAGCGGCCTCCGCATCAAAACCCCACTATTAACGTAAAAGATCGAAAACGGGATATACCTTCATTCCTCTTCTATGCTTTCGTTCCAACTTTCTCGACGAACTCGCGCGAAAACGCTTGTTACGCAGGATTAACGAACTTGATAGCCCTCCTGTCAGCCGGCACGAGCGTTTATACTGTTTTTGACCTGGTGTGTTATTGCCTTCGGCTAGAAAGTGTGTGCACGGGTAGCGTCCACTTTTGAATGAGCGATACATCATTGCAGCCGATTGTCGATATTGACACAACACGATAGCAGTCGATTCGCCTTAAATTTAATACTAGTGTTATTACTGGAAGCTTAACTTCCGTTTTCTTGTTTTAGGAACTCTCCATCCTAGTGACGAGATTAGAGAAATCAATGGAATTAACGTGGCAGATAAGTCAGTGGAGAATCTACAAGCCATTCTTGTGAGTGATGCCTAATGAAACAACGTAGTCATTAGTATAGGTAATAGCATGATTTGTAGTGATATTTGGCATGAATACGCGCCGTTAGGCGAGTGAAATTTGAGACAATTTTGAAATATCTCGAGTGGTATTTATGCCAAATATCACGTACAAATCATGCTATTATTTGTTTATACTACTACCTGCAAAATGTTTGTAATTTTCACATGTAGGTATTTCAAATTAAGCTGAAATACCACTGCTCTGAGCCAATCAGATTGCAGAAATTTCTTATGTAGTAGTATAACTAGGCTAACAGTGATTTCGCCTCTTTGGAAACGAGGCGGGATCTGCAGACGAAATGCGTCTCGCAATTGTTTCTGGGATGGTTACTGGTGACGTGCCGGTCAGCTATTGGCCAGTTTTTTCCTTGTCCCTGGTAACAGTCCCAGAAGTCTTTGCGAAAGTTAACTCGCCCCAGTTATCTTCTCGTATTTTCAGGGGCGGATCTAGGGGGAGGGTGTAGGGTATGCGCACTTCCCCCCCCCCCTGATTTGACCTGCTGCTTTCTAATACAACTGGTATTCGTCACCATGTCAGTTAATGGTACACTCCCTCCCAAGAAAAATCCTGAATCCGCCCCTGATTTTAGCGTGTGCACAACCATTTTAACCAACAATAACAACCACAATAACTTAATTTACCCACGCAGTGAATTAATCATTAGGCAAGTGGTGAAATATTTAAAAATAAAACAAATTAAAACTAATAACATCTCCATTGATAAAAATGATATTATTTATTGTGTCAATAACAGAATGCTTGATTCTGATTGGTTCTTGACAGCCCATATTTATAGCTTAATTTTGCTATTGTAACTCCAACACTGTCCAATTTGACCTGTCCGATTATCAGGAGCTTGTAATCAGACAGGTCAAGTCGGACACTTAAAGAACCAATGAAAATCAAGTAGCAAAAGCCACTAGCCGATGAAATCTGTAAAACTCCAGAGCACATGATAACCAATCAAAATCAATAGAAAAAATAGCGACCAGGTAAGCTGTCCAGCTTCAACTGGAAAAGAAAAATGGATGAAATTAACTGGTCCAGTGACTTTTATTTACGTTAATAAATATTCCAAGACTGAGATTCTCGCATTTTGTTATTGACACAAATGATTAATAAAGGTAATAGGACTGAGTGGAGTCCAATTCGGTTTGTTATCATACGCGTTCTCAGCTTATGACTTTTAATGTTCCCATAACATACACATACAAGTATGCCAGTTTTGGTAGACGTAAGTACTTTACATAACTTATTTACGCCTGTTCATTTTTATTCTTTTTATTATTTTTTTCCTTCGCAGCGCGAGGCGAGCGGGAATGTCACTTTTAAGATTGTTCCCAGTTCAAGAAATATTAATCAAGTTTCTGAGGTAAGAGACCTGTGCGGACTTCGTTTTTGTTGCTAATACAAGCACATTTTGGTAGAACAAAGCTGTATAAAGGTTGGGTGTCTTGTTATTTGATTCGTGACAAATCCTCAACATTTTGGTGCCCGATTCATTTTGCCATTTGCACGCGGAAACGTGAGTCCGAAATGAAAATGTTCCGATGTGGTTGGTTTGAATGAATGTTCTCGGATTTAGTAATGTGTGCCAACATTTATAAATCCAGAAAAATCTCCCCTAGAGAAAACGCAGCCTGAGAATGATGCTTTGGAAATAAGCTTGCCTGCGTAGTTAGTGGGATCGTGAACACGAGCAAAGTTATGGGAGAGGAGCTGCGAAGCCGTGCGGGGAATGGGGAAGAGACCTTTTGATGGCGTCTTTGCCGCCAAAACTCTCACACTCGCGAAATCAATTTCACCAGTTATACAGGCTAGAAATAGAGAGCTTTAGATTTGAGGAGGAGAACGAGTACGAGCGCGAGATTTAACTTAAAGTTTTTGCGCGTGCTCTCAAAAATAAGGCACCCCGGAAAGCTTCATTGTACTTTTTTTCACCAAAAAAGTTAGCATGGTTATTTACACTAAAGGATGTTAAGCCTCCTCCCGATAGCAAAATGATAAAACTTCGTATATTTGATAACTTGTTCCTGCCACTACGACATTCTCGCTAAAACTCGTAGTAGAATAACGTCGGCCACCACGTTTACCCGCCAAAATGACGCTGGTTCACGCGTGAGCAATACTCAGTATTGTGAAAATCTCGGACTCATAGTCGCCCTCGTCTTAGAATCTAAAGCTCTCTAGAAAGCCTACACTGTTTACGACAGTGTTCCAGTTGCGGAAAGCGGTCTTCCCTTGAGTTAACGTCACGTGTCTATACCAAGCTATTGTTGTTCGTTTCAGGTGTATGTTAGAGCCCTGTTTGATTACGATCCCCGAGGGGATGACTTGATACCGTGTCAGCAGGCCGGCTTATCCTTCACCTGCGGGGAAATCATTCAGATTGTCAGCAAAGCTGACCCATACTGGTGGCAGGCCATCAAGGAGGGTGATAATGAAGGCTTTGCGGGACTTGCTCCGTCGCCCGAACTACAAGAGTGGTGAGTATGTCCGGAACCAATTCCTTTTATTATTTTCTTAAATGTTTGGAAAAGAAACTCAAAGGTCATTTTAATTTTGAAAATTTCAAGACCCAAAATGTCGAATCGTTTTTTTTTTTAATTCTCTAGTATTACTCTTGTTAAGAGATACTTTTGTGCAATTTCTTTACGTTTTACAGTATTTTTTTCTTCAAGGAGAATATGTCATTTTAGATCCCCTCTACATTGGTGCGTTTCGTTTTTTGGTTTGTTTTTTGTTATTGTAGTTGTTGTTTTCTTGTTGTTGTTGTCGTTGTTGTTAAATATATTTTGGCTTTGCTTTCTACATTTAAATGACCCAAAACGGAGGCTTATGAAAGAAGATTATAGAAGATTGTATTGAGAACACAGTTCTATCCCCTTTGCGTTAACCATAGAATTTAGAAGAAATTAACAAGGCGTGGACACCAAATGCTGCAATAGTTACGACTATTAATGTGTGGGTTGAGCAATGTTTTAAATCTTGATTGAAAAAAACTGGAGTGGCTGTTAAGGATTTACCATGTGAACTCTTCTTTCTTTTTTTCAGGCGAATTTCTTGTATAGCTGCGGAAAAAGCCAGAAAGCAAAATGGAGGTGAGTTGTTTTTTGTTTTAGTTAGTTTTCTTTCACATTGTTCCCGATCTCTGACGCCGCTAACTACGGCAGTACTAATCCTCTCGTTTTTATGAGAATTTCGCTAAAATACATCTGCTTTAACTCGCATCTCTGTCAATTTAAGTCTCCATTTAAAAGCGAGGAGCCAACCTTGTGAAACCACTAAAAATCAAGCTTATATTGAAAGGTATATATTCTTTATGTTCCCCGCAGTTCTCGTATATGATTTTCATATATTCATAACTTCGGTATATATTCTGTGGTCAGGTTTATTCAAATTCGGCAAGCTATCTACTTACAGCCGCCTAGCTATCGACATTTGGTTGGAAACCAGAAAAAGTGCATTCGTTGTTAGCACAGAAATATAATTTAATGGATTGTTGCTTTGTTCTCCATTTCAGCAACTTGTATGTGGTTCGGCAAGAAGAAGAAAAGTAGCCGGGATAAATATGTTGCTAAGCATAACGCAGGTCTGTACATACTGACACCAATGTGATTGAAGAGACTTCAAGTCGCGTTCCTTTTACCAAATATATCTTAAATGGACTATGTTATGGCGAGTCAACATGATATGAGCGAGTTTTGTTTCCCTTTTCTTTTTTAGTTTTTGATCAGCTTGATCTTGTGACCTATGAGGAAGTTATAAAGCTGGATTACTTTAAAAGAAAAACGTTGGTTCTTCTTGGTAAGTTGGATGATTAAGGCCACGCGAGGTTCAACTTAACGCGCGACCTTCCATATGTTGCCTCTATTTTATTTACGCACGTAAAAATATCACGACAGTGGAAATCCACCTTAAGGTTTGCTGTTTCATTTCAGGTGCGCACGGTGTCGGGAGAAGACATATTAAAAACACGCTTATTAACAAATATCCAGAAAGATTTTCATATCCAATACCTCGTAAGTATAAAAAAGAAATTCTCGTCTTTTGTGATTCCCTCGTTTTGTCTCTCAGACCCAGGTCAAAGGTCGAACGTTGCTTGGTACCGAACTTAAATGCTATTAAGCAAAAGTATTGTTCTAGCTCATTAGCGTAAGGTTTGGGCACATTGAAGTTTGACGTTTGACCCAGGCCTTACAAGCCCTAGCTTGCGAACTGCAGACGTATTTCCGGTCGTCGTTTCTCTTTCTCAGAAGCGGCAACCGGAAATAACTCCGCGGTTCGAAGGCTGTACAGGTCTCATCGACACGTATCCGTTTTTATTTGAAAACGAAAATTCTTTTCCTCTGGTTTAGCCCACGTCCACACGTATCCGGGGAAAATGGTCACCGAAAACGCATCTTTTCAAAAACGCTCTCCAGACTGTGGAGATTTTTGAAAACGCCGGCTTCTCGTTTACGCGTGAACGGACGAAAAGGGAGATTTTCGAATACCATGATGTCATACATCATATAGAACGAGATTTACGCATGCTCCGTAAGGTATGCTATAGTATTTCCATCGTTTTAGCGCTTTCGCGTTTTGAAACGATTCGAATACGCTTTGTGCGGGAGCGAATATGTTTTGAAGACGGAGAAAAAAATCTCCGTTTACAAAAATATCCGGATACGTGTGGACGAGTCCACAGACTGGCATATTAAACAGTCTTACACAGCGTAAAAACAATACTACAGGATGGCAATGCTCAGTGGCTTTTATAGCCATGCTATTTGAATAGTTACCGTTCAGGCTAAATAAGTGATAACTGGCCAAAGTAAAAACTCGTCGTTTCTAAATGTTATTTCGTAAAATGATAGAAAAAAGTACCATGTGAAAGAGGTTTCATTTGAATGGTCACAACGTAGGATTTCGTCACTCAGACTCAAAAATTAGAACCACTTGCAAGAGTCCATCAGTCCTTTGTGAGTGGAAAGTCTAACACCATGATAAACCAGCGAATCACAGAGAAATATTTCTCGGTCATTTATAAAGTCGACCTAGACTTAAAACAATTTTGTGGGAAGTATCACTTGAACGTACCGCAAAATGGCTTTCACTTAACAGTTTAATCCCCAGCAACAACTTGTATATTCTCCACAGTGAGATTCATAAATTTTTTGTGGTACTGCTTGAGATGACAGAGAGCTTTAGATTAAAGGGCGACATTTAATTTTACTTTTTTTCGCCTATTCTCGTAAAACAGACACCCCGGAAGGCATCATTGTACTATTTTTCACCACAAAAGTTAGTTCGCTCATTTCCGTTGACGGAGGTAAAGCCATCTCCCGCTCGCTAAATTACAAAATTCCTACTATTTGATATCTTATTTTCGCCACCACGACATTCTCGCTAAAACTCGTAGTAGAATGACGATGGCTATCACATTTTCCCGCCAAAATGAGGTTGGTTCGCGCGCGCACTACTCAGTATTTGGGGAAATCTTGTTCTCGTAGTCGTCCTCGTCTTGGAATCTAAAGCTCTCTATTTTGCTCAAGAATAAAGACATTTCATCTTAGGTGATTATTCCATTAATTCTCATGACCTGTATGTGGTATCAGACAATGTTATTATTGGGAGAAATTGGATGTTGGTCACTATTAGGACTTATAGGGGTAATCAAGTGGTCAGCATTTATTGCATCGAGAAACATAAGTCATCAACCTTTGAACTTCTTTTTGTCAGATACTACTCGTGAGCCCAAGGATGGAGAGGAGGATGGCAAGAACTATTTCTTCGTTGCAGCGGAAGACATGCTAGCTGACATAGAAGCTAACAAGTATCTAGAGTACGGAACTCATCAAGGAGCCATGTATGGCACTAAACTAGACACCATAAGGGACAATCTCAATAAGGGGCTCACAGCCATACTCGACGTAGAACCCCAGGTAAAGAGGCCCTCCATCTCTGTAGAATACCCCTTTCTAACACACTTTCTTTTAAAAATACAAGGGCAATTTCCACTTAAACCCTGTATCAGTTACTTCCAATCAATCCCAACAAGGGTAGAAATCTGGGAATTTGGACTTGTATTGGAGGAGGCTGGTAAGAGTAGGCATATGTAGTTTTCTCTTGAATGATATACAGTGAAAAAACGGATTCGTCTCGTGTTTACAGGGAATTGGTTTGGTGCACTAGAGTCATCTATACGCGTCGTGTCCTGGACGCAAGGTTCAGCGTTCGTTGCATTGTGCTCTAGATTTGAAGATCACTAATTCAAGCTCCTGCTGCGCGGTTTTTCAACGAATCAGAAGCGAAAACAAAACCACTTGCGCGCAATAAAACCGTTCAAGGCGTAATGGAAAGGATTTGCTTCCTTTCCAAGAGAACACGCGCGCCGCGTATTAAACAAGGAGTACCAAGCACGGTTGTCTGGATTCTCTATGTCTGCTGTAACTCGCCGAAGTAATTACCTTGGTTTAAGGCTTCCGACGTCAAACTTAATAGTAGCCTCTCTGTTTTGTTGTAGGCTTTAAAGGTTCTTCGCACCGCTGAATTCTCTCCGTACGTCGTATTTATTTCCGCTCCCTCCATTCTTGCAAACGACGGTATGAAGAGCCCATCCACACCAAACGGAGACGTCGCTGTAAGTATATAGGATAAATTACTTGAGTCAAGCTACTGCACTTAAGGGAAGATAAATAACATAAATAAGGACTTAGAAGTAAACATTCGTCTACCATTTCTGATGGAATTGGAATACCGGAGTACCCGGAGAAAAACGTCTCGAAACAAAGAGGAGAGCCAACAACAAACTCACCCCGCATATGACGACGACGTCTGGATTTGAACCCGGGCCACTTTGGTGGGAGGCGATTGCTCTCACTATTGCGCCATCCATTGCTTCCAAGATACAGAATCAAGAAAATAATAGGATGGCTTTATTTCAGTAAAAATATGTTTCCATCCCGCGATACTCATACAGCTAGACCGCAAAAGAGTCCGTTTTTTTTTGCGTATTGAAGTACGCGCGAACAGTCAAACAAAAGGTCTAGAGCGAGGCTGAAAACGGAGAGCGAGACTGGGGAGCAGGGCGTCTTTATCCGCCCTTCTGGGGAGTGTGAGGCTCGCGCTTCGCGCTATGCTTTACCGATTTCTTTACCGATTTTCAGGGAAAAAAACTTGACTGTTTTGCAGTCTACGATACCGTCTTATGTGGAAGCCTTATTTAAGGGGGCCGTGTCGTGGCTGGCTAGTTTATTTTCTTTTGTCAAATCCCAATTATGCGTCCTCTCCTTTTTCGCTATGGAATTTGAGAAATTACTTACGAATGACAAAACGCAGCAACGTGTCATGCTAGCTATTGTGTCTCCTGAGCATAAACGTTACAGACGACAAAAGTGAACTTTGAAAAACTGTTCTGGCTAAAAACGTTTCAAAAACCACAACTCCTTTTCTATTTTGCGGTGTTATTTATACCTTCTTTTAACCTTCTGTATTTGTTTCACTCAATTTAATCATAGTTCCTACTGTTTGAATTTTTCAAAATGTCGCGACGCAGCCCCTTTAACTTAGAGTGCTCTCTGTTGCAGGATGAAAGTCTCCAGAAGCTGGCTAAAGAGTCGGATAACCTTCGCCAGAAATATGGCCATTTGTTCGACCTCACGATCGTAAACAACGACATCGATGATACTATTCGCCTTCTAGAGAATTCTTTCGAGCAGCTACGAACTACTCCCCAATGGGTTCCAGTTTCTTGGGTCTACTAGCCTCACCCTACCCCTTGTAAAGGTTCGCGCATGGGATAAGTCACGTGATGCGAACTTGACATGGAGTAGTCCTCGAATACAAACAGACGTGACGTCACTAGTCCTAATCCCGCTCCTAAGCCAGTATCTGGACAGAGTCACTTGTATAGTTGCTTCATCTATACGTAATGTCAGTGCTGATAAATGAATGCAGTGCTGTTTTGACATCAGCTTCACTCCTTTGAATACACAGTTCACGCAAAAAATACGACTATTGTACGGGTGCCATTGTAACGTTGAATTCACGGGGAGTTATACCGATGGAACTACGCGTCGTTTCACACGCACTGATCACACATCGCCAAGAAATCACGCTGTGTTTTAAAAAGGGGGAGTAGGTGCCTGAGTGGAGTATTGACCACGCCCTCTGACTCATGATCTTCCACTATAAGAGGGCCAGAACTCAATAATAATAAAAATGTATGTAACTGCTGAACAATTCAAGATAATTCTATCTATTGGCGGAGCAGAAAAAGCAGACGTAGTATTGCATCTGTTGTTTTTGTTTGTTTTTACTTTTTTTGTCATAGAACAATATTGCTGCTCTCCGAAGCGTTTTATATCAGTTTATTTGCTGTCACTATATTTTAGAATGCTAGAATTACTGCTTCTCTCTTAGAGAAAAAGATTGAAAGGAAATGTCAAATTCACTCGCGTAAGACAAACCGTACGATTTCGTTTTGCTCTGTAAATTAGTTAGTTTTTTGTCTAGTCACGCAACGCTTCTCGTTACGAGACAAAAACGACTGCGAGGGACACTATAAATTAGCCCTTCGGATATTGCAGAATTGAAAAGGGAGTGCTGTTTGTGGCGGGTAAATCATAACGGATAAAAAATAAATCGTGGTTCCGCTTATACATAGGGTCAGAGATTCAATAAGTTCGATGCTGACTTGGTGCTTTAAGCTACCTTAATGTAATCAAAACATACAGCAGACTGGTTTTGTATCTTAAATGAGTGATTTTGAAGCAAAATGAAGACTAAAAATTAGTTCCGTTCAGGTTGGGTTATGCGTTTTTTCTCTTGTTACTATTATATGGCTATAGCTGCCCCAGAAAACCGTGTTGAATTGACCTCGCTAAAATATGTGTAATCCCATGACACAATATTTATTAATATAATATTTTTTTTTAACGTGGCTAAGGGTATAGGGCTTGAATTGCCCTTGTCGCAGAAGATCAGCTAGACCTTGCAGAGCTTTTTATCAATCAAAGCTCTCTTGGTTCTCGACCCTTTGCCTTGGCTTTTTAACCTATTTGCAGTCATGCGCAATTCACTTTTTTTTCCAGATCAGCGACGCTGTCCAAAACGAACTTGGAACGAGAATGAGCCAATCAAAGCAAACTTTTCCTTCGGTTGTTACAGCTTGGCCGTGGGAGGGGTGGCTTGTACTTGTACTTTCGGGTTGCTTTGTTCCTTTGAAAACCTGAAGGGTATCAGCGAAGATTGGCCTGGTTTAAACGTCGCATTTCACATGTGCCGAATCGAATTCAAATTAGTGAGGAAGATAAATTTTCCTCATTAGCATTTAGGGGCTATACCACGAGGATGTTGCTGCTTGATCTGGGAGTCATCATACGTTTCTGGGAAACTGCCCAGCCACCCCTCCCCTAAGCCAACATTTTGACCTAAGTGAGAAGTAAGTGTTAATGTTCGCTTATGTGAGGGCTAGGCACTTTCCAAGAAACGTAAATGCTCCTTTGATTTGAATTCTGTGCTGAATTCATTACTTAGCGCCTTTACCCATGCTAAAAATGTTCCTGTAGAGTTTTGAAGACGATATGAAACGAATTTAATCGGGGAGGTGATTTTTGCAGGCGCATGTGAAGTGTTCTATGAGAATGTTTTGATTGGGCAAGAAGAAATTGTCCATCGTCTTTGCCTCCGAATCGCTGAACCTCGAGTCAAAAATTTCCCTAATAACGAAGCGTTCGTAATAAGCGGGTGTCCGTTTAGTCAAGCGGCGTTCGACTGTACCGGTAGTGTAGCCTACCGCTGGCGTTTTTTTTGGATTTTCACTTTTAGATTAGACCACGACAAGTACGAGTTTTCAAACTGATTTCATCCGCCTCAGATTAACGCCTGTCACAGTAATTTTATCTCTTACGTCTCTATGTTCTATAGCTAGTCAGAAGATGGCAAATTGGGTACAAATCTGGCTTGAAATTCCAAAATCGTATTGGTACTCGATCGCGTATTCGTAGTCAAATAACAAAGTAGGTAAAATAGATATCTTAAATCACTTAAATACAGATCGTCGTATTGCTCGTGATATGTAAATCAGTTGGGTGGGCTGTTAGATGGGGAGTTGCTTTGCGCCGTACAATTTTGCAATGGTGAAATTTTATAGAGGAAAATTTGTACAGGTGCAATAAAGTATTAAGAACCTGATCGCTGACTCATTCTTTCATCCGCCTCTATACGAATTCAAGTTCTCGAGGTTGTCCTTAATGAAGTATGTCTAAACATATATTATGTACCTGATTTTGTGAAGTAAACACTTTGGTTAATGAAATAAAACTAAAGGGCTGTGTGGAATAAAGCTTCCAGTAAAAAAAATTACCCAAAATAAGCTATACCTGCAAATAGAAGCTCTGGTCTTTGGACAACTCTATTGTGTTGTAATTCCTCAACAAAATGAATGACGAATCACGTAACTAGTACACACAAGTAGAGTCTTAAATCTTTCCAGCCCCCTCCCGAGTTAAAATGGAAAGCCTTGGAGCGAGGTTGAACAAACAGTAAAGACGTTGCACTAAAGTGAGGGCCCTCAATATTAAGGTTTCTTTAATCCCGTCATCCCGACCCAAATCTTTGCTCGATCCCGTAACCCCGACCCAAATCTTCGCTCAATCCTGTCATCCCGACCAGATGAATATAAGACAAATCCCGGATCCCGAAATACCCGTTGTAGTGTGATTGATGGTCAGTTATCCTTAGGCCATTTCCGAGTTTGCTAGCCACTAGCCACTGTTTCAAAGCAAGGCTAAGTGTAACGCCAATAACATGAAAATGATTTTTTATTCTCCTGCAAATAAAACTCATTTTCACAAGAAAGGTCTTGCACTTAGCCTTATTAAATAAGGAAGAGTTTTTGGAACTGGGCTGTGGCCTATTCAGAGTTGCCTCTGATGATGCACAGTAACTTCCTGCAATGTACTCCATTGCATTAAAGTAAAGGCCATCTGCCATAATCGAAGGAAACAATGTTTAAAAGAGAAAAAATGTGGGAATTAAGCGTGTGCAAGGAAGTAAATGTCAAACTCGATAAAACCGAGAACACCTACACTTGATTCTAATAGACTCATCTGGCCATGGATTCAAGAGTCCGACCACTTGGTCAGTGGTCACCAAGCCAGATGGCCACGTTTTTCATTCTGCTCAAGTAAAAACAAAATGGTTGTCATAATATAGATTTTACTAAGGGGCACAATATTTGTCTACCTAGATGTGCCCCTCTCCTACTTAGTATTATTTTATTTCCTGTAATTAATAGTTCTGCTGATTAATGCTGAGTGCAGAAAAATAAAATACAAATACAAGTGTCCGAGCGATCGGTGAAATAACATTCCAAGGCTCAAACTGGACAGTGTAAAAGAAAAGGCTAACAATCAGTTACTCGATATCAAATTAGGGAATGGGGCTACTGTTAGGATATAAACTGATCCCGGAGGGTACTCCCCTGTAAAACGGGGCTGCTTGTCGTCCTTTAGGGGCTTAAATTTGTGGATTGGTACCGCTTAGGGTGCTAAAGCCTAAAATTACTGTTTTCAGAGTTGTCTCGGTACCTTTTAGGGCCTTCGGTAAGGTAAGCGCCCAGGGTTATCGATCTGAAAAATGTTTGTGCCAGTAACATAATTTGTTGTTGTTGAATTGGTACCTCTTAGGGGTGGAAATGAATTTGCGACACGCCCAGAAAACAAGATTCTGGTACCTTTTAGAGGTGTTCTCGAAATTTGCCTTTTTGATGGAAACACGTGGATTTACTTTAACAATTACTAGATGTTAGCAACAACCCAGCTATACGAGCGGAGGATGATCCTGGAACAGCTCGCAGCAAGCAAACAACGTCAAAGAGGAAGAACGTTAAGAGCAATGACTGCAACAAAAAGCCAAGGAAGTGAAACGTGTGTAACAGGAGGCAGAAAACTGTTTTAAAGGATTATACGTAGTACAAGAGTCAAACACCGGAAGAAAGAAAGACTGTTCAAAATCAAATATGTCACGCTACCTCGTTACTGTTTTTTTTGTAGTACTGTCAATAACATTTTATTCACCCGTAAAAATCTAACAGTATTTGAACAGGGTACAATGTCTACAATTATCACATAACATTTGAGAGCACGTACTATGCAATATAACTGATATATACTCTAGACTTTTGAACAAGTAACAGCGACAAATTTTGTCGTGTAAACAAGTCGAACATTACTTCCGCTCAAGTAGAATCTCGGCGTCATTAGCTAACAATACCACACGAACTAGTTACACGTTAAGGAATGGGACTGCTGTAAGAGGTCTTCAAACAAGAAAGATCAAATCAAAAAGTTTAAACGTCTTCTGCTAAAGGAAAGACCAATCTAATATATTCTGTCGGTGGATTTGAGGATTTTGTTACTGGTTTCCAGCAATTCGCGCTTAAATTCAGCTTCCCTACAAAAAATGCCCTCGTTTTAGCACTTTTCAAGTGCAGGGGGATAGTTTTTCTGCTACATAAAATGGTTATATTTTGTGCTTAAATCATAGATAAGTCCCTTATTTTCAATATCCCGTTAGTGGATTTGCCATTTTAAAGCTAAAGAAGATAAAGAAGTTGCGCGAACGAGTTTTATCAAAGCTGGTGTGCCAAATGAGGCCCTTTCTTTTCTTATTCGGAGCTCATTCAAAGCGCTCGTGCGTTTGAATTTGCAGCTTGGGCGGTCATGAATCTTGAACTAATGATGTCCAATCATTCTGCGCGATGTTTACTGGGGTGTTCCCATTCATTTATTTCTGCTGAGCCAGATTTTTAAGAACGTTCCAAAGTAGCCATTATATTAACTGAAAGTAGAACCATTGCTTTTTTCTCTTCTTTCTTCCTCCTCGATCGGCTTTCATTTTCTCCTTTCCTTTTCTTTCGCTGGTACGATTTTTGAATCTATCGGGCGCAAAAAGACCCTACCTTTTGGCCCTTTTTCACTCAAATGGCTGCAAATTTCGTTAGGTTCGTTTTCCAAAAATCGGCTGGATTTATAGATGGATATTTTATTTAGGCTTTTGTGGACTTGGCGCTCTGTCTCTAGTATAGGTTCTGATAGCATTAGCAGGAACAGCTTTACGGTGAAAAAAACCTCACGTTTCATAACTGGAGTGTTGCTCATATTTAGATGTGTCAGCGAAACCTGTATCGCTGGTGCAGAAACGCAACACGTTCACGGAACACAACACGTTCGCCTAAGACGCCCAAGGATCGAAAATAACCCTTGAAGATCTAAAGGAAGTAACGCTTTGGGGAAAACTGAAGTAACGTCACGTAAACTTGCAACAGCAGTAGGGAAAAAAAGATAAATTTTGTCTTTATAGCAACAGGAAATGCTATATAAAACTTCTTGGTAACAAAGAAACGCTGCAGTGATTGACAGGTATCACAGGAGAAAGGGGTTTGAAGGTGGGGTAAAGACATGGCGGATATCTACACTGACAGTTTAGTTAATACACTATAAAATATAAAATAACAGGATCAAGCCATTATGCGGGTTTATCCTCTTATTTTTTTTGTTATAGTTATTTCTTTTTTTTTTTTTTATGGAATTTGGCACAGACCAACAGTCATTCAAATGCTGACTAGGCATTTAATCACATTATAAGCTTACCCCCTCCCCCACCCTCTCCCACTTAACTCTCCATCCCTTTCCCCGCCATCTCAAGGACAAACAAATGTAAAATTTTATTGCTGCTGCTCTTTATGTCGCCACGAATTCGCTCCTTTTTGTGGGGAGGAGCGTTGCGCACGACACAAAGAACAGCAAGCAAAGGACAGAGTTAAGGACAAAGTCTATTTACTTATTATCTCCCCTCCACCCCGCTCTTCCAAACGAAAAAATAAAATTCACTGCTGGCTAGGCATTTAAACATAAACTCCCACCCCATCACAAAAACCACAAAGACAAACCAAATTTTCTTAAGCGTACGTGAACACCTCTTCAGCATTTGGTTCCCATTATCATCATGCGGTTTAACTGCAACGGACACACAGGATAAAAATAGCCGACACTAGTTTTGTTCAAGAAGC